GACAAGCGTAGGCGAGGAGAGCATTCAACATTATGAACTACGTGAAGGATGTACACCCTTCCCGCCGGTAAAGGCCTAAATCAGCCGGTCGGTTCCCGGGTTTTTGCAATGTTGGGAGACTCGTGGGGAGCATTTGCGAGCCGGTGTGGCTCCTCATCATCGTTGAATGCACGTACTCTGCTTGCCAGGCGCGGGTTGGATGGATGTTGATCCGTCTCTTGCATCTCTCTCTCTAAACACTGAACATTGAAGCGTTCAATGTTCCCGCCCGTGTTCATGTTGTTAATATCGACAGATGTACCGGCAGGCGTCCCATTCCCCAGTTCCAATCCCACACACACACACACACACACACACACACATCTAAGGCCTCTTCCTTCGCGCAGCCAGCGTTTTCCCACAAGAAAAATTGCGTGAGAGGCGGCTTGTGCGCGCGTCGGTCCAAATGGAACGGGCAATGGGTGTGGACGCGTTACGCTTGTGTGTGGGTTTGTGTCTACTCTAATATGTTGTTTTGAATGTGCATGTATGTATGTACGTACGAGTCTACGTGACGGTGAAAGAGAGCGCGCGCGCTTGTACGAGTATATTTCTCCAGAGTAGGCCGCTTTTGCCGTCCCAATAAGATTCTTCGACCACAAGCACGACCGACATTGCTCTCGGCCAAATCCCTAGAAAAACCCGCGCCACGGCGGTTATTGCGATTGCGAATGATCCTTGTGTCAGCATGAGGGTGGCAGTGGTTTCCAACAATCGGTAGAGCAATATTAGTTCTCTTGCAAAGAGAAAAAAGAAACGAAAAAAGAAAACAAAGTAGAGGGGAAAATACAAGGAGGTAGGTAGGTCGATCTCGAAGGAAAAGAAGAGACGAAGAAGGTCAATAGGGCGTGGAACAATATATCCCCGCCTCCCACAAGCCGTGAAACGGGAGAGCGCAGTCTCGTATTTTTTTCTCTCGGGTCGCTTTTTGTATACAAGGATGTATATATAGATGATGCGTGATCATCGACATTTCCCCAATGGATGGTGTTTCCGGTAGATGGGATGGATGCCATTTACACACGTCCATTCCCCGTCGATCCATTCTATTATTTGGATCCCGCCTATATCAAGACTCTGGCTTGCTTTCCCCACACTATTAACCCCGAGTTAATACAGCCCAGCCCTCTCCGCTATTTGATTTGGACGGATGCATCGTTCGTGTTGGACGAAGAACGCTCGAAAGTGGCCAACTGAGTTGAAGGCTGACCCCAGGTCTTGATATTGATATCTTGGCTTGCTCGACGCCCTTTCCTTTCTTGGTTGGCACCTCGAATTTGTCAAGAGGGCAACAAGGATCCATGGATGGATGTCAAGGAAAGAGCTGATACAAAAGGTGCCACATAACGAGCGGCCCGGTAACAGAGGAATGAGGCGAGGGCGAGAAGCAGGAAGAAAAGGCATAATAACTGGATCCATCGACTGATGATCCCCAAGCCACTGCAACGTTGCCTTAAAAGCTATCTTTTTACTTGCTTCTTGCTTCCAGAGTCTCTCGGGGGCGTTGGGCGCCTTTCTATCAACGCTACCTCTGTATCCAAATAGTAAATCTCACCAAGAGAAATGTCGAAAGAGGAAATGATGGGAAAGCCTTGCCGCGTGGTTCACCTCTTAGTTCCAAAAGAAAAGAAAAAGAAAAAAAGAAAAGGACACACGCGTTGGGTCGGCGTTATGTGCACTGCTGCTTTTCTCCGTGAGATGGATATATTGCTTTGAAGAACGGGTAGCTGTCGTACAGTCTCACCTTGACCGTGAACCATTTAGATATCCTAGGCCATGGGCTACATCTTTTGGATGCGTGAGGTGAAGTCATTCTCGGGAGCCATCTCTCGCACACAAAGGCTAGTCCGAGGCGCATATCTCATTTGCATCTAGCCTTGCTCGTGATCCTGCGAGAGAAGTCTTTCCATGAGAGGTTAACTCCGCTATAAAGAAATGAGCACAGATAGAGAGCCCCTGCTCCAGGTTTCCTTTGGAGGAGCTACGCATCAAGTATGACTTTCTAGAGACGCGTATGCTTTCCCAAATTCCCATACAACCTCTTGTCGTGTCCCAATATTCTGACATCTGTGTTCTTACCTTCGGGCAATGGACGGAAATAAGATGGATGGCCACAAACAGGGCGTCGCTCAAGATTGCCCTAGTGCGTTGGTATAACAAGATACTCTATGCCTAGACGACTTGACTAGTCTTCGGAGAGTATTGATGTCTAATGTCTAGACTGTTCCCCAGCACATTTTCTTTTTTTCTTTTTTTTTCTTTTTTTTAAAGTTTGGTGATAGCCCCCGTCCCCGGTACACGAAGCTTCTTCTTCTCGGAAGAGGAGCACAACTGGGCGCCGTTCTCGGATATCCCCTTAGTGAGGACTCCAACAAACTCGAGTATGTTGCGCTGACTGTATCTGCCGCAACCCCTTGTTTGCCAAAGATCGGTCTGCTACGGCTGCCTCCGAGAGGCTACCGTCATGACACCCTAGCACTCCAGGGATATCTAATGCCGCTAGCGAGCCTCACTCTCCGTCTCGGCTCTCACTTCAGCCAGGATATTCTACAGCCTCCGCCTTGAGCTCGTAGACGCTTGCTTCGGAAGGCGTGGCATCAAAAGACACGGAGCGAGGGGTGGGACTAGCATGGTAAGAGGTCTTCTCGCTGTGGGCACATTGGACCGAGATGTGGAGTACGAGTTGAGGAGGCTTGAAGACCGTCTGAACCTATGTAACTACCTGGGCTCGGTCAAGCCGAGCGGCGTACACTCTCGGGAAAGGGATAGGACTGGGGCTCTTTACGATTCTCAAGACCCTTCAGACCATGATCACCGTTGGAAGATGGGCCGAGCAAGGGGGTATGATCCTCAACCCACACGCCACCTCTACGGGGCGGAAGCTTCGATTGCGTTTACGAGCCATCCGAGGCCTTTCTGTGTCCTCCAGTCCACCTCCAATCCTTACTCTTGCCCAGGGAGGTAGCCAGGAGGCAACGTCTGACGCCGAGCATAGATGTGCTTTTGACACCCTAATCCCTCTCTGACGAGGCACAGCCCACTTCAATGCTAGAGGAACATGTTGAGAGCCTACAAGAGACCGAGCCGATGCCCTTGTGCGTCCCTGACCTCTTGTATTTCCAGCAGTATAGCCTTCTTTTGAGTAGGACCAGTCTAGATCGCCGTTCTATGCCTGGAAAGAGGACTGCGAAGTAAGAAGTGCATGGTCATCGAACACTAAGAGCAGGGTGCATACATTCGTATCCCTTCGAGTTGAAGCCGTCGTAAAACTGAAGAGTCGCCTTATCAAATATAGCTCGCCTTTTCCCTATTCCCCTAGGCATATGCCTCCCCATCTTGCAAGCATGGCACAGGCAGTGTGAGCTAGGTCAGAATAGGGCTTGGTTCAGATATAAATGATCTCACTTCTAAAATATTGGCAGGGAACAATACCATGTCTTTTTCTAAGAAAAGAAAAGGGAAAAAAAAAAAAGAATTCCCCGATTTGTTGTTATTCTAATCATAGGCTCTCTCGTCAAGGCCTTGCTTGGTTCCAATCATGTCTTTTCTTCAAGCGTTTTCTTCCAATCTTTCCAAAAATACATCCCATGAAATGTGTCAGTTCCCTCCCCGAAACAGGATAGCGAATCAAATTGAAGAAGTCAAGCGGCTGCGGATCGATATCCCAGCAAGGGGCAGCCGATGGTACGCAGCCTCCTGCGAGGAAAGAAAGGGGGAAAGGGGGTTGATCGGGAATACGAACTTTGGCATGGAGTGATGTAATGCAGAGAGCGTTTTTACGAGCTGTGACGGAAAGGACAGAGAGCTAGACGGAGCGAGAGCACGTCCACCCCCACCTACTTAGCTGGAATCTGCAAGCACGAGGTAAGCCCTAACATTTGGTTTCTCATAAGTGGGAGGGAGCATGGCCTTGCACACAGACTCGACTTCGGCCAGAGACCGGGAGACGGGAGACGGGAGATGGGAAGAGAAGGGGGCGTGAGTAGTTTTCACTGGACAGCACTATCCACTCCTCTTCCCTAAAGGAAGCGCCAAAAGGGGTCAAAGGAGCCAAGGCATACACAGGTGACGCCCTCGTCGGAGAAGGACCATCATCCAATTCCCTGCCGGCGTCCTCGACCCCGTTCCTCATACGAAGTCGCGCAGGGTGGCTTCCGGGGCGCCCGATGTCTTCTGATATTTAGGTATTGCGTGCCTCGAGTATCGTGGCCAAGGTAGGAGCAACAGCAACGAAACACCTCGACAGCGCCCTCGTTTCACTGACGGGGATCGCGGCGAGAGCCTCAACGATTAGCGATAGCGACGAAGCGGAGCACGACGCAGCGGAGCCGAGGACAAGAAAAACTACGCCCTGACGAGCACGTAAATTGTAAGAGAGGTCTAAGCTAATACGGTAGATATAAGAAATGGAAAAAAACAAAGGAGGGAAAAGATGTGAGAAGAAAGCCAAAGAACGGGGTAGCATGAAGAACATCCGACTCTAGAATGTGGTGTGGTGTGGTCCACTTCTAGATCTCTTGGATCTCTCATCCGCCCAAAGGTTGGTTTCCATCTGTCCTCCTGTTAGCTCAGTCTCCCCATGCTATCCCATGCTTCAACTTGGAAGAAATGAAAAGGAAAAAAAGGATGAAGCAAAAGAGCTAAAGAAAGAAAACTACCCATGTCGGCTCTTTTTGTACCCTGCAAATGCCCGTCCTTTGTTCCCCTAGCTTCCTTTCTTTTTCCCTCTCTTTCCATGTCACAATAGTGAAATTACCGCCGTCTATATCCACCATGCCGTACGGGGCAAGGTACGGATGGTATTATAACCCGTCCTACGCCCTTTGCCTTTGTTTTCCTCCCCATTACCATCCCGTTACCCGTGCTCCCGTTTCAGGCTTTCCGTCTCTTTTTTATCTGGTATCTTTCATCATCGTGACATATCTTTCCTCTCCATTTCCCATGGGCATTCATTTCTCTCCTTAGACTGCATAGGTCGCCGCCAGGGCTTGGCGGTCTTCCGGATTCATCTGTCCCAGGAAATCGTTGAAGTGGGGGATCATTTGTTTGTAGGTGTTGACGGCCTTCGCAATCATAGTTAGCCTCTAGCTCTTCTGTAAACCCCCGGGTTCGGTAAACGCGGCCGAAGAAGTCGGAGAAGAGCGCGCGCTCTCTCTGCAGGAAGGGGGCAAGAGAAGAGGAGAAGAGGAGAAGGGAAAAAAGATCAGAAACTTACCTGCTGGAAAACATCATGCAGTTCCTGCTTAAGGGGTTTTTGAAGAGTAGGGTCCCGATACCGCGCAATGGCTGAGAAGAACTGCAAGAGTGTCTTTTCCATCGCCTCGGGGTTCTGGCCCACAATCATGGTGAAGCCCTTGAACGCGCTGGCCTTCTCCTCGCTAGGGTCGACATCCTCCATCGCATTCATAAATTCCTCCGAGAACTGGGGTAATGCAGGGCCCAAAAGGTCCGCGTTATCGAGACCCAGCCGGCCGAGAGCGATGGCGGCGTTCTCCACCAGGCTCCTGGGCACACGCGGGTTTGTCATGAGCTCTACAAACCGTTGGAGCATCTCAGTGATATACGGCGCCATTCCCTTCTTGTGCTGCATCGAAATTTCACCCACCGACCAGCATGCGTTGTTAATGACGGCAAAGCTGCTGTCGATATCCTCATCCGGCGCGCTTTCAAAATCGAGCTGCTTGAGAAGAATCGGTAGCATTGATTGAAGATAGGCCTGCAGTTGCGGGAAGACATATCTCGCGCAGTCGCCAAGCAGCGCGTAGGCTGATTGCCTAACCTCATCCGAGGGATCCTCGAGGCAAAGCCCCAGCAACTCGAAGAGCGATCCGTTGGTGCTGTTCACGAGCTCCGTTGAGCCACTTCCTTCGAGGACCTGGATAATGGAGCTCAAGAGATCCAAGCTGGTGACTAGGAAATCCTTGTCGGGTTCATCAATTTCGGGGTTACTCGTCGCTGCCATGGTTTGCTCAAGGTTCATGTGGATAATGTTCACGCAGCGCTGGAAGATGGGCTCCGCGTAAGGCGCAAACGCCTTGCGCAGGGCCATAGCAACGTACGAGAGGCACTCGAGAAGCGCAAACAGCTCTCTCGACTCGTCCGGGACTTTTTGGTAACGGGTGATGAGGGCAGGCATAAGCTCGTTCACGAGGTCCTGTCTCGCCAACACGGGACCGATCTGCTCGGCCAGTGTCTGGACACAGTCATAGAGAATGTACATGTTTTTGTCCTTGTAGCTGTTGAAGCACCTCACAAACTGCTGGATGATGGGACCCGCATAGGGTTCGATCTGCTTGCCTGAAGTTTCCAGCAGGTTGGCCACGGCCGATGCAGCAGCCTCCTGTACCTTTTGTTTCGGTCAAGCATGCGCTGCAACAAATTGTCGACCATGGGCTCGAAATACTGCTTTTGAGGGCAGAATCCGTCAGGGAGGACGCCCACGAGGAATATCGGCTCAACGTCCAGCAGGTAATTTGGCGTACCACCACTTCTGAATCATTGAGGAGGGTGATTAGGTACGGAACCAACTCAGTGAGGTGAGGGAAACGACATCCATGCATCCTTCGGACACGGCACCCAACGCGAGGACGGCGGCCTCGCGGTAGGGCCAATCCGGATGTTTGAGATTGTTCGTGAGGAACGGCAATATGCACTCGAAGACGCGATTCTTGAAGTCGCGGGCAAACACATCCAGGGCGGCGGCAGAGCTCTTCCGGAGAGTCCAACGCTCCTCAGGGTTGTCCCCGTCCTCCGATTCGTCAATCTCGCCGTCCTCCAGATCGCCATCGTCGAGGCCGGGCATCTGGTCGGCACCAGCGCCGTTTGAATCTTCCTGAGCCCCCGTTTTGTTGTAGTTTCTCGCTTGCGACTTCTTCGCGTGCGCGGGCTTGATATCTTGCGCGAGATCCTCCTCGTCCTCATCGTCCGATTCACCGCCAAGGAGCGCAATGTCCTCACCGCTGTAGGCCATGCACTCGAGAAGGGTCGGGATAATTTGGTGAATGTAGGGATCCAGCGCCTTCCACAGGTGGTCGTGTTCGCCGACAGCAAGCCAAAATTCGGAAGCTTCGAGAGCAAGATCGGGGTCGTCGCTCTTCTGCTGCGTCAAGATGTAATCAACGAGGCCGGAAATATGGGGCTCGAGCTTGTCGGGTCGAGCGTCGACGAGCTGAACAAAGGCCTTGCACACCTGCCGACGAACGTCGGTATTATCATCGGTGGCGAGGAAGAAAAGATGCTGAAGGAGGTCGTCGATCGAATTCAACATGGCTTGCGATTTGCGCGGCACGAAGACGTTGATCGCGGTCAGCGACTGGGTCCGAACCTTGACCAGAGGACTCTTAGTCGCCTCGATGAGTTTGGGAAGAATGAAGGCCAGGGGCCGCTGGCCGTTCAGCTCGCGATCAAGAGTCTTGGCGCTGTCCTCGCAAATCTTGCACATGGCCCCCATGGCTCCTTCTTGAGCGGCATCCGAAAACTGACCACCCTCGTTCGTCCACATGCTCATGAGTGTAGGGAGAAGCTCGGGCCAAGCTAGGAGACCGCCTCGCTTGATAAGTTCCGTCGCGACGATGCCAATGTGGTTCCTGATCCAGGCATGCTTGTCCTGGAGCGCACCGATAACAGCAACCTTGATGAAGGCCAGGCTATCGGCGGAAATTTGCTTGTAATCCGATTTGACATTATTCTTGAGCATGACGGCGGAGGAGGACCGAACCATCGACCAAGCGTCATCGTTCATCGTAACACCATTGGGGAGCTCGGGGTGGGAAGCAATATAGGCCAGGTAGTTATTGATATCGGGCGAGCTCTTGGCTTGCATGAGCATCTATCCTCGAGGAAACGGGTCATGGCGAGACAAGAGTCAGCATATGCGCAATGTTGAATAGGCTATCAGGGATACCGGAGCCCTGTAGAGGGGGCCATGATGTGAGAGGAACGAGCCCAGGTCGCCAGTAAATGAGGGCGGACTTGGGTGGATGGCGGCGAAGGGCAGACTTACCAGCTCTGCTTGCTTTTGGGCGGTTTTATCATATCCGCTCAAAGAGTCCCTCAAAAGCCGCATAGCTGGCCGAGGGACTCGGGATTTGGCTGCCAGGTAGCCATCGCTAGTTTGCAGTCGTGTCAGTGGCACCTGGCGGGCAAGAGCGCTGCCAAAGGCGGGTGGAGGGGAGGTGTGTGATGATAATGGTCGACCAAAGGCGGGGTTCGGTGATGGCGATGCCGGTAGACCTACAGGTTGGTAGAGGGAGAGGGGTCCAAGATGTAATGAAGGGAGTAGATGTCGTGGAATGCTCAATTACATCTGGAAATGCTTCCTTCGAGCTGGGGGTGAAGAAAACAGTAGCAGAGCGAGGCCAACGCTCGTGTAAAAAAATAGGTAGTAAAAGTGGCAGTCGATAATTTTAGTGGAGGAGCGATGATAGAGGGGAGTCCACTCCATGAGTGGAGCAATAGATCTATGGGTTTGAGGGAAAGGGCGAGGGTCATTGCAGAGCCCGGATTTTGGCGGGGTCGCTCCTGCTTGTTTTTTCCTGTCACCAGTCCCGCCCCTGTGTCCTTTTTCCGTCCTTTCCCCTCTTCCCTCTCAGATTTTTCTCCCACCCTTCGCATCCGCGCCACTGATTCACTGGTGTTTGATGGAGGGGCAGCGGAGGGAAAGTGGGCCAGCCACTGAGGTATCCTGGAGTACTTGGTACCGCCTCAGCCACGGGCTCAAGAACCACTTCATCCAACTGGATTTCTTCTTCTGATGTAATATTTCTCTTTTGAGCCCATTACCATGCTCTTAGCCCATTAAGTCCTTTTTGCCCGTTTTTTTATCACTTTTCTTTTTAGCCCTTCCTCACTTCCCCCTTTCGCCTGGAAGGAATTCCGGAGGTACAATGTGAGCAAGCAATGGCTCTTGGGCAGCAAAAGGTACCGTACACAATGGACACAATGGATCTACGGATATATTAGTCCATTGTCGAGTTTGGTCTTCTTCATCTTGCTATTATTTTCTTCATTATCGTCTTTCGCCCTCGACTAGAGTATCTTCTTTTCTTCTTTAACTTGTAAATGTATTACCTTTTCCTTTACCAGTGGAGCTTTCGAAGTCTGCTGATATGCGGATGTTTCTATCCATGAGGCGGCGGGGAAGGTCACAGGCCAACCATGGTCGAGGCCATGGCTCGAGGCATGGCTGGGGTTTCAGAAGCTCGACGGTTCACATGGTACAACCAGGGGTCAGGCACAGCTCCCAGCTTGTCAATAATCCATCACCCGTCAACTTTGGAGCCAGCTACTTTCATCTTCAAAACTGCTCTGGAATTCACATAAGCTGCCACCCTCCTCGTGCTACCGTTCCCATCTTGTAAGACAGATCGACGGGGTCTTTTTCTTCTTTCCTCCCTTGGCAATCATCCATTCCCTTGGGGTTTTTTATCAGCATAGGTGCAGCCTGTCCTTGTGTGCGCAGTATTGCACCTCGTTTCCCTCAAAAAGTTTCTCGGCTTCTTGCAGAAGCAACCATCCATTCAACCCCACGCCTAGGACGCAGACTGTTTGCTTGAGACAACAACCCATTTTCTTCGTGATCTCATTCCCAATTACTTGATGTCTCATTGTGAATGAACAATGGATAGCTTAAATAGTGCACAAGGGGTTGTTCCAACAACTGAATGGCCAAGAGCCTCGGCAGCTCGCTCGAAATGTTGCAAGACAAAAGAAATTGTTTAGGGGTGAGCTAAGTAAGAGTTCCTTTGAACCTGATGAGTTTCATTATCCATCATTCACCGTATTATTAGGGCGGTTTCTATAGGGAGATCGGGCCTCTACATATCTGGCCTCGTGCTTGACACATTGAAGAGACGTATTATAGGTGGCATGAGATAGTCCCTCCTCCGAATTGTTCAAGTGAACCGAGGCCTTCTTCCACTACCCTCCCTCTGCAAGGCCAACCGCAGGCTCGAGACATTAGTAGTCGGCCTACGCTTTCTAACCATCGCTCAGCCAATTCGAGGCTAGGTGTACGCTACTACCTTGGTCGCTCGATACCTACTAAGTAGTTAAGAACCGAAGGACTTCATTCTCACAGCCTTGTTGCTACCAGCATCGCACCCATTCTCCAAGCAGAATCTGCTTTGCAGGGATGAAGATGTGCGACGCAGAAATCGATGCCGCCGTTTATGGAGCTCAGCCATACACCATGAGGACTCATAAGTTCCCCCATCTCTCCGCAGTGCATCGCGCGCCTGCCCCTAGGGCATACATGTAGTCTCAATCCTTCCTTTGGGCACCCTAGAGATGATAGTGGTAGAAGTCCATCAGAAGCTACACCTGTGCAGGATCGATTTAGGCCTTGACGGATGTCGTGCTGGCCGTTTCTGAGCCAGGCGGAGGCTGACGAACGTGTTCCGTTTTTGCCAAGATAACCTCAATGACCTTCTTAAAGGCCTCCATCTCCTCTTCGGGCGTGCCGCCCATGCCCATACTGGACAGATTTAGTGAAGTGCCCACATAGGCGGGAAGCTGGGTTTTCCTTGCTAGGAGTTTGGCAATGCGCGTCGCAAACTCTAGGTTGGACTCTTGGGTGAACAACGGAGTGGAGATGGGTTGGGTCGGGTTGAATCTCTGTAAGACGGTTAGAATCAGCTCTCTGGCTGAGTGATCCAGAACGCATTTACCGGGGATACTTGCATCTTGGATAGCATATACAAACGAGCCCATGGAGGGCGGCGTCGAGAGATCGTCCGTTGTTGACGTTGTCACAAACACCAAAACGGACTTTTGTCTGATGGTCAGGTGGGCGTACACACGCGTATCAAGAGCCCGCGGGAGCGGAATGATAGCTCGATTACTTCACTTAAAGGGCTTGCCATTTTTGCTTGTAGGTGAACAGGAGCAAAGATCAATGTATCCTTGCTAATGAAAGACAAGGTCAGGATTCTCAAATAGCGGGGTAACTGTAGAAGGAGCTTGTGGTCGTGTAAAGTCCCAAGGTGACGAGTGAAAGTGACGCCCTAATAGTGAAGGCCCATCGAAGCCTAGCAAAGACCCAGTAGGAGAATACAAGTAGATTTAGCTCGAGGGCATGCTAGAGCGGCCCTTTCTTTGGATGGGCGAGTTGCTAAAATTTTCGCGGTTGATGATTATCAGAACGGTCACTCGACCCAGATCAACTTCAGGCCATTGATGATTGATCCATTTGATCAATGTCAGGTTCACTTGCGAGCCTGGACCCAAGCTAGGGGCTCCTGGTTACTTGATTGGCTAATATTGCCACAACCGTTAGAGCTCGTTGGGGGCCAGTTGACAAAAACGTCACAGCCCTAAAGTGGCAACATCGATCCATCCGGATGGACCCATCCAGATCAATATCCATTACTTCCCAATGCCACTAGTGGAAGGTTGAGTGAGAGTCAAGCGGCTAGAAGAAGGTCCCGAAAGAGAAGGGGGAAAAAAGAGAAAAAAGAAAAAAAGAAAAAGAACCCGAAATTTTTGAGGGAAATTTTGAGAAAAATAGGCCAGAAGAGGAAGAGGGCCTTAAATGCCAGAGAGGGAAAACTGAGGCAAGGAAAGAAGTACAACTCCTGAGGATGGCAAAGAACATCAAGAGGTCTATTCTCGAATAAATTCACACGAGCACTTGGCTTAAAATTACTAGTTGGCATCACACTTCCCTTTCCTTCTAACCCCTCCCTGCGCAGCGTTTGCAACGGCGTTCTTTCGTACCTTGGATCAGCTGCGAGGTGTTCGGCACTTGGCCTGTCGTTCGAGGGCACCTCGGATTCTCACTCGTCAATCCCCACCAACTACTGACTCCCGTCATTTGGCTGGCCGCCGCCGTCGCCGCCGCTGCCACCACTCAAGTCGTCTCTGTCACTGCGATGACTCCAGGCGCGATCAGCGCCCCGCCGCCCTCGTTCCATCCCACCACACATCTCGCCACAACACCACGCCCAGGAGCAAAGAAGTCCGAGGCTCGCCAACTCGAGCAGCCCACCCTCACCCAAACCTCGGAGAATCTGTCCAGTCTAAGCAGCCAGGCGCAAATCGCGCCTCTCTTCCGGATCAACATGGACGAGGAGCATGAGTGGGATGATGCCGAGCATCCTCCAAGACCCGGAAGAGCTGAAGGTGCTCTTCACTGCTTTAGATTCATTCATGTCAGTCAGTCCAACCGCCGGGGATATCCCCCTCTCAATCCCCCATTTACAATTATGCCCCCTCCCACTCCCATATGTATGCTCAAAGGCATTTCATGCTTTTAATACTCTTACATAAAACTTCAAAGTGATTTCTGAGCAGCGACAAATGTTGTTCAAAGTTCTGACGCAGGTTACAGGATGTATGAAAAGGTGGCGCGCTTCAACGTAACGCACCTCCGAAGGCAGTCGTTTTATGCGTTACCGGACGCTCAGTGGAAAATGCTTGCAGCGCCCCCTTTCAACTTTTTGGAGACGCTAAGTAAAGTGGATGATGCGATAGGCGAGAACGCAGACTTGGCCAAAGCTATCGCGCGTCATGGCCTACGTTCCTTCCACGACCCCTCCATTCAGCCTCATGACGAGAGTGTATGCATGCCTCGCGAGTGGAATGGCGTCGCTAAGCACGGCGATATCGACAAGGCGAGGAGCACACTCCGTCAGTTCTTCCGTGACTGGTCCGCCGAAGGTGCTGTTGAGAGGGCGGCATCTTACGGTCCCGTTATGCGTACCCTGGAGAAGGAGAGGGCCAATCGACCAGATAACGAACCCCTAAGGGTTCTGGTTCCTGGAGCCGGCTTGGGCCGGCTAGTTTTTGACTTGGCGCAGAGCGGCTATAACACCGAAGGCAACGAGATATCTTACCATCAACTTCTCGCCTCCTCCTACATACTCAATTTTTGCGAGCGGGCAAAGAAACACACCATCTACCCCTGGGTTCACACATTTTCTAACCACCTCTCTCGAGATAATCACCTACGCGGATATAGCGTCCCGGACATTCACCCTGGCACAACATTAATGTCATCCCCTAACCCTGGAACCATGTCGATGACGGCCGCCGACTTTCTCTGCCTCTACGGAGATTCCGACCATCGCGAGACGTATGACGCCGTGGCAGCCGTCTTTTCCTCGACACCGCACCGAACCTTATTCGATACCTCGGGGTCATCTTTAGCTGTCTTAAGCCTGGTGGCATTCTCATCAACATCGGGCCTCTCCTATGGCACTTTGAAAACAACGCTCCGGGGAACCATGGTCACGACGATGATGGTGATGGCGAGCACGACTACAAGAATTCGTCTGGCATCGCCGATCCCGGAAGCTTTGAGCTTACCGACGACGAGGTGATGGCGCTTGTTGAGAAGCTCGGCTTCGTTCTCGAGGCAAAAGAAACGGGCGTAGAGGCGCCGTACATCCACGATACCGATTCAATGCTCAAGACAGTTTATCGGGCGAGTACCTGGGTAGCGCGTAAACCTCTATAGGCACGGGTCACTCCTACATACTATCTTTACTTCATCATAGTTTTGGGCGGTGGGTTGTTTTGTTTCTTCCGGAAAAGATGGGGAGCTCGTGGGTTTCATCGTGGGCAATACGGGGTTCACGCATTATGGGAGCAGATAGAGCATGGAAAATATAGAGGCGCAAAGGAGACAAAGCCGCAGCATATTTGCACAGAATTCTTTTAAACGTCATTGCCACCAACTACTGCGGTGTGCCTTGAAGCTAATTCCAGATTCAAATTGGTTTGGGATGGACGTCCACCTTCGTGGAACCCGCCGTGGTAAAAGGAAAATAAAAAGTGTGTTCATGCCATGGATTAAAATGTACATGAGAGTATTAGATTACTCTCTTGGGTTGGGTTCTTCTTTTCTGTTAAGCCTCCTTCATCTCCCTCCATATATTTAGAGCTTGGGCTCGACGTGGAGCTGGCCCCTGTTCCATCGGCTGCCACCGTCCAACGCGACCACCTCACCGTTCACGTAGGAACCGGCCCTACTCGTGAGGTAGACGATGATACCAGCAATATCCTCGGGCCTGCCCAACCTGCCGAGAGGGTTCTCAGCAGCGAACTTGGTGGCACCGCCGGAGAGCTCGAGGAGACCGTTGGACATCTTGCTAGGGAAGAAGCCGGGGGCAATGGAGTTGACGGTGATGTGCCTGGGGCCGAGCTCGATGGCGAGGTTCCTCGCGAGGTGAATCACGGCGGCCTTGGAGGCAGAGTAGCCATAGGTGCCCTGCTTGCCGAGGGTGCCGATGCCGAGACCAGCGACAGAGGCGGTGACGATGACCCTGGAGGGGTCCTCGATAGAAGCGCACTTTTGGAGGAGGGGCGCGAAGAGCTTCACGGTGTTGAAAACGCTGCGGACGTTAAGATCCATGACCTTACCGAAGGCGTCGTCGGGGTGGTTGTCGAAGGCCGCGCCCCAGGTGGCTCCGGCGTTGGCGAGGAGGATGTCGACGCGGTCGGTGTGCTTGCTCACCTCGCGGACAAGGTGCTCGATGCCGGCGACCTTGGCAGAATCGGCGGGGACGGAGATGGCGATGGCGCCGGGGGCCTTGTTAGGCAGGGCATTGAGAGCGGCTACGGCCTCCTCGCAGGCCTTGGCCTTGCGGGAAGTGATGAAGACTTTGGAAGCACCGGCTTGAAGCAGACTGGAAAACGGTGGGGGTTTTGCGCGGTTAGCTCTTTCTTTCTTTCATGTGCTCCTCTATTCTGTCACTCCCTCCTTGCTTTTTATGATTTCTTTTGGGTCTCATTCCCCTAATCCAGAAAGTTTGGACAAGACTTACGCGGAGGCAGCGTGGAGGCCGAGGCCACGAGATCCACCAGTCACAACGGCAACCTTGCCCTTGAGAGAGAAGAGGGAGGGAAAGTCGCGGAGATCAACGTCAGACATTGTAACGGTTGTGGTTGGGGGCGGGAAGGAAGAAAAGTTTAATGAGGGCCCGAAAGTGCGTTTCAAGAGAACGAAACGGAAAAGGGATAGTAGATACTAAACAGGGTAGAGAATTTGGGATAGATATTCCGGAAAAGGAGCAAGATTTCGGGGCCGAATGGTAAACAAAGGGGAGTCAAGGCTTAAAAGGAAAGAAGGGGACGAGCAGGATTATGGCGATGGCAGGATTTCCCCAGATTAGTTGGGGTTATGAGGGGGCTGACAGCAAGGGATCAAAGACAACGTGCCCGGAGACCCGGCGACCGGCAGGCGACCGGCTATTCCCTGTCAAGATAGTGGTACGGAGGTAGCTACCCCAAGATCCCTCGGCTTCTTTTTTGTCCCCCTTAAACTTTTTTCCTTTCTAATCTAGGTCGGCCAGGCGACTAATAGAGCTACTCCTCCGTGGCGGAGAGGAGAGAGAAGGGAAGCTTGTCCGCTTTCTTTGGTGTTCCGAGGCTTGTCTTCAGTGGCAAGGGGGCAAAGCGCCGTGCACTGATTTTCTCCGAAGCACAACGGTGGCGCTAGGTCGAAGATGGCCGCAGAACTGGGTGGTGGGGACGGAGGGGAAATGCTAAACGCCGTTATTTGTACCGAGGCACGCTGGCCCGCCTCAACCTTTAGTCATCAGCTGACGTCCGCACGATCACTGCGGAATGAACTTCAGTCCTGCATAGTTCTTCTCGTCGGCACAGGCTTCGAGAACAGTACCCTATTAACAACGACTAGACGCAACAAATGGACATGTCTCATGATTCACTGTCAACTTCAATGGCTCTGAGAAGAGCGGAATAAGAAGGCCAACATTGTTCGGTGATCAATACCCTATGTACCGTTCAAAAGTATATTAAATGCAACATGTTCATCACTACTTATCCAATAGTTATTCTTAAAGTCTAGGATATGGTGTTCATTAATATTTCGAACCTTCGTTGAGGAGAAAGAAAAGAGGCAGGGAACGGTTAAGGAGCGCAATGTATGATTCCATGTACAGCATAGGGCAAGTACCATTGCTATGATGTAGTCTAGCAATCCTCGAGCCGGGCTTAAAGAGAATACATGCCAAATAAATAGGGAAAAGAGACAAACTGGGAGGGAGGGGCGAGAAACCCTAGACGAAGAAGAAGAAAGACTTGAGGAAAGAAAAGCACCCGAAACATCAAATAACAAAAAAGGTGAAAAAGCAAAGGATAAAGAAGGAGAGAAGATAGAGAAGCAGCCACAAGGGGCTGTAAAAGAAAAGAAAAAGGCGCGCAGTGGGGCAAAAGGGAACAATGCTGGAGCTCGTAGAAGATCGCCTAGAAGAGAGGCCATGGCGTTGATGTCATATATCTTAAGTCCAAACCTTCATCAATCATTAGATCCTCAGCTATCGATTAGCCGGTCAATGCTCCAGAGAGTCCCAGCGCAATATTCTTCGGGCCTGTTGAGAACCTTGGCAACAAACCCTTTAATGGCTAATCACTGTCCGTCTCATCCCAGCAGAAATGAGTGAGAGACCAGGTAAAGAAAGAGCACCTGGCTTAAGCGAGAATCGCATTCGTCAAGTCTGTATGCGAGTGGGCCAGTAGATACACCCATATATATATATATATATGGGTGTGTGTGTGTGTGTGCGTGTGTGGCTGTCTAGCCTTTTGGATCTTCTTCAGCCTTGCACGGAAGGCTAGCCCGACTACCGAGCTATCAAGATACCTAGCCTACGGTAGACTTACAGGTCGGCGCCGACCTCCTAGTCTACCAGAACGTATATAAGTCAACTGAATCATGGTTGATAACAACTGTCAACTGTGTGACTGTTGATAATCCACAATGAGTTGACGAGAAGTCCGCCACTCGCAAATTAGAGGGCGGCAACGTGGAAATCCCAACAAGAAAAAGTGGGAAACGGAAACCACTGGTGTATGCAAACTCCGGGACGTTTTTTTATCGTCTCCTGTGGTAGAACGTTTTCTCTGCCCAACATTTATTGACCGAGTCAGAAACGAGTTGGTGGTCGTCTTCGAGTACTCTGCCGATGAAGAATACCTTGACGTTATGCTCCACAGTGATGAGCTTCGAATAATTAGCGCGGGACTGCCAGGCAATGGATTCGCCTTCGGCTATCATTCTCATTCGCACCGTCGGTAACCCTGGAGTCGGCTCCCCGGAAACCAGCCTGGCTCTCCTCCCGGCCAGTGTGACGATCCCGTGCTTTTCAGGTTTGACGCCTTTCTTCTTACATCCCTGGTTTCCGTATGTAAATATGGGGCTATATAGGGGTATTAGTGCTGAAATCTGGGATAGAATTTCTGGGAATTATTTGACTTACACACATGTGCAATGGCCAGAATCGTTCCCGATTACTAGAAACCGTCTAAACCCAACATATATCATTCCACCATAGTTATCCCGGATTCCTTGCCGTTCGGAAGCCATTGATGTTTTAGAATCTGTTTGGCCCGACGGCTCCGGCCAAAGAACTTTAAAGACCTGCAAAATGAAATTAGGAAACTAGTCTGTATGCGTAGGAACAGGCTCTTACCATTCCAGGCTGAAACTTATTCGATGGCTCTATCCTGTAACCTATTTTGCGTTCGGGCGGGTCAGATTGTTTACTACCAACGTAGAGTGAGGGGCGAATGATGACATACGTGGGTCGAGCTCTTCGAGATACTCTGCACCGCTGGCTATATGATTGCTCATGGTGTTCGTTGAATCTAGGTTACGCAAAGAGCATCAACGATCTTGTTTCCGTTACAATCTTCGCTTCAGCTTACCACCGTATTGGGCAGAAGTGGAACCTCCCCCGATGTCTGCCGTTGACTCTCGTGTATTGCTTGGCTTATCTCGTTCTCATTGAAGTCGTCCAGTGCATCTAGGCCGGATGACGGCCCATAAAGACCTTGGAAGTTATCTTGCGGATATTCATTCCCTTTGTACCATCATATTAGCACAGAGGAGACTTAGGTACTCGCGTGGGAATGCGCTGGTATAACCTACTCGAAGAACCTGCACCATAGCCTTGGTATCCGGAAGCTGGATCTGTATTGTTGCCTCAAGTTAGAGAGTTTCAACCGGTCAAGGGGACTATCGCGGGGGCGCACCTTCTGGGAACGGTGAATGTCCGTAGCCGGGATAGCCACGCTCACCAAGGCCTGCAACGCGAGGGTTAGGATCATGAGTCGAGAGGAGAGATTGGGTGGGCTTTCCTTCTTCTTCTTCCGATTGACTGCCGAATCCATCAGAGGTTTCTTTGCCCTTGCCTTTCCTGTCCTTCTCGTCGTCCCTGCTTCCTTTCTCCCGTCTCTCCTTCCCTTTGCTATGCTTGGTTCTCTCCTTCTCACCGCTCTTGTGTTTCCCTTTCGAACTTTTCTTCTCCTTTTCTTTTTCCTTGTCCCTTTCTCTCTCTCTTGTCTTGCCGCGAGATCGACTGCTTCCTGCTTCTTCATTCCTAGGCGTTCCAGAGGCTACACGATATTCGTCTAACAAGATAGTTAGCAACCATCAGGGGAAGGAAGAGGAATAGTAGGAAGGTGTGGTAGTAACTGACGGTCTTGATCCTCTTCGCCTTCACTCGCTTGTTCATCATCACTATGTCTGCCCTCCTCCCCTTCATCAATCTGGGCTCTACCAAATGACTCGGCGATGGAGTCTGCGAACGACTCAGTGGTGTTATCAATATGTTGACGTGGCACATCGTCACCTTCCTCTTCTTCGATAATAGGACCCCAGAATGTCTCAACGTTTCCTAAACATATTAAAGGTTAATATAATCTCCAGGACTTTAACATGTTGGATAAGAACATGCCTCGGTCATCGCAACGCTGCCGGTAGTATCGGTAATGAGTCTTGGACCAGACCCATTCTCCCCACGCACTCCACTGGACGGGCGCCGATTTTATAGTTCTTCCCATCTCTTCATAGTCGCATCACTTTAGACGGTAGTCCGAGTATAGAGTATCTAGAAAAGAAATACGCGCGAATCCAGAGCGAGAGTGTTGATGTCGTGCCACGGATTTCCTGGGGGTTAGGCGTGGCAGGGTCTGCGCAACAGGCCTTTCCAAGCAAATCGCCTCTATCGAGTGGCCAATCCTGAATATTCGCAGTTCTTTGTGAGGATGTATAGGCGAAGCAATGTGATCACGAAAGCCACAGGCGTGAAACGCAAGAAGCCGAGCAAGCTATTGCTGGAATGAAAGACAGCGGTCGCTCGACTGATGAAAGATTTCAAAGTGGTTGGAAAAAGAGCACAAAGAGCTGCCGCTATCTTGCAAGGATATACCGCAATCGCTAGCGGTTAATGATGTTGGGCACTCTTCATTCGGTGCATCGGGTGCCTATGCCGGGAGGGGCAGGAATCGAGGGGCGGGGTTAAGGGTGATTCGTTGCCGGCTTGAAAAGCGGTGGTGGACAAGCCGGAGAGGAGGCAGCAGTTCTCGCAGTGGACCACGCTAAGCTGCGGCGGCACGCAAGGCTCGGGGAGGTCGAGATCTCCTCTTTCTCATTACGCTTCCTCCCAAAAAGGAGAAAGAAATATAATCAGAGTGTAAAGACGCAGATATTCGGGCGCGGCAAGAAGTCGTGACAGACCCCAGCCCGAATATACCTTCTTGCAAATCGGTGTCACGTTTATTCATTCAGGAAATCTCAGAGCACTATTCTTGGAGCACTATCCTTGAGAGAAGGCTGCGAAAGAGAAGGAGGGAGGGGAAAATACAAATAGATTATTACATTCAAGAAACAATGAGGGGAAGGTGCATCGTGGTGATTCCAGCGTCGGAGGAGTTGCAAGTCTAAGGTACAAGAACTCTAGAGATTCAAATCCCTGTTGACAGTGTCCACGAACCCACGGACTGTGGATTGCGGGAAGCTCCGCTTGGTCCGTGTCCAAGCCGCATACGATTAGTCATGGCCCATTTCAACTTTGGCGTCTCGCCCTAGTTTAGTTGATTGACGGAGACTTGAGTACCACTCGAGAACCAATCATGAAGCGGTTCGCCTCACTTTCACACTTCAGCCCTCAAACCGTGAGCTTTCCTCATCTCTTTTCCCTATCCATGCTCCCAGAATCACTCGAGAGAGCTTCATTTGACTAGCCAAAGTGCCGTATCAGGGCCGCCTTCATATCTGCCCCGGAGGACCAACCTCCGTTCAGTATGAACAACTCGATGCCATGGCTCAACTGATGGCCCGAGCAGGCGCCCCAGTTGGATTCTCCGGACACCGTGAAGATGATTCCGGGTCCGATTCTGATGATGCCGCCACGATTTGTGCGCCGGAAGATGGGCGTCGCGACATCGAAATTTTCGTCCCTCCCCTACTGAGCATTCCTCCCCTTCGCCGCACCCTCACAGTCCGGGTCACCAAATACCGCTGATCGCAGCTAGCCGCTCGAAGTCTTCGCCTCCGCCTCCACCCTTAGAGTCCGCTTCTTTCCTTTCACCCAAGCCATTCACTCCACCACCGTCCCTACCACCAACGACGCGATTACATCAGTCAGAATCAGAGGTAGAGGGCAGTCCTGGGGAACGCGTCCTCACTCCTCCTTTAGCTTCCCAAACCCCTCTCCTCCGCCTGTCGATAAGTCTTTCACTCCTCCACCACCTCGCCCCCGCCAAGTCAAGTAACGCCTCCGCTCCCCCTACCATACCTCCACCACGTTTACCAGCATCAACTCCTCCGCTCAACGCCCCTCGTGCCCCACCTCCAAAATCAAGCGTCGGCTCGCATGCTGAGGCCCGCAAGGTGCCCCGGCTCTCGAGCGGCTCCACATCTATCCATCCGCCTCCACCGCCGCCGCCGCCCGTTGGTCGTACCCTTTCCGAAGACGACGAAGCTATACTGAGCCCTAGGCCCATTAGAAGCGCACGTTTGCGGGGAGCTTAGGATCCAAATTGGGCTTTACTCACACCGGCTACACGAGTGAGGACAGTAGCAGTGGGGATGCTTCCTTTTATTCCCCTACATATCCCGCTCGCCAGCGTAAACACCGGGCTTCCCGACCCGAATTGAAAGCGAGAGACGATATAACACGTTCCATCGCATCTACCGTGGCGCAGCTCGAGGAACAGAGTCGGCTATCGAATGCCTCACACTCGCCAATTGCCCCTACCAATGCCGGGCGCGACATCCAAAAACTATGGTCGGTTTTACGGGAAAAACGTCAAGATCTAATCAAGATAAGAAAAAGTATGGAGAAAGAGCGCAAAGTCTTGCAGGATATCCGCCGACGGAGGGATGATGCAGACAACAGAATGCAGTCCGCTATCCGCCAATTGTTACCAAAGCTCGGATCTTCTTTTAGGGAAGCTTTGCTGACGCTCAGGCGTTGTGGTCAGAGTATAGCACGCAGGAACGAGTCAATGAAGCTCACGAGTCTAGCATGGGCCAGCTAGAGACCGAGGTGTTACGTATGGAGATGCATTTCTTTGCGGCCCTCGCTGAAAAACGTGGCGTTTCCAGTATAGACGACGAATCATTGACTTCTAGCGATGATACTGAGAGCGTGGTTCCTGATGACCTACCCTTGGAGCTTGTGGGCATAGAGGCTGATAAACACAAAGAGGACATTCACCCACTTTACGACCAGTTCCAATCCGAAATTGGCAATCTTGGAGTCTTCCAGGAGAGCTGGGATGAGCTACAAGCTGCGAAGCAGAATATCGACTACAAACTTAGCTTCACACATCTGACCGAGAAAGTGAGGCTCACCGAAGAAGAGGAAGATCTTCTCGCCGAGTTCCCTGACGAGGAGTACCGGATAGCCCAGGACCTTCGGGAGAGCGCGGCCTTGGCTCGTCGCCTAAGGGCTTTGTGTCAGGAAAAGGGTGTTCTAGGACAGCACCTCAGTTTCAACATGACGTATCTCCTTCACAAGTTCTTTCCTTGTGACAAAGATAACCCGGAGCTCGGAGAGGACTTAGACCTCTTGGAGAAACCGGAAGACACATCCTCTACTCTCGCCCGGCCGCTGTTCCCACGCCTACTGTCCCAGTCCGCTCATCTTTTTGGTGATTTTCCAGTTCTCCCTGAGCAACAATTAGCCCGGGTTCAAGACTTACCGGAGAATGATGAGCACAAGCCTACCCTTGTGCAGATAGCACAGGAAGAAGTATTCCTCGACCGCATCTTCACCGACTGCAATTGGAAAGAACCACGCAATTTTGTAGACCGTTGGCTTTTCCATCAGCTGAGGTCTTCCTCGCATGTGGCGCTCACTGCGTTCAATACTTTCGAAGATACCGCAGACTCTATCGACTTGGTACATTGGCAGGAACGCATTCTCGACACGTGGTGGGATGCAAGTTTGCCTATAAGTCCACCTCAGGATGACTCGAGCATTGGACAAGGCGATTTATCACAACCCAACTCCACTATATATGCCCAAGAGGTTTACTCGATGGACAACGTGGTCTTACGCATGCTAAAAGCAGTATGAAGGAGTTGAGACAGTCATCTCTGTTGCTACATCATATTGTAGGCTTCGATTCAGTCTGTACCTTTTCCTCAAACTCGGAGGCGGAAATTGGCGTCACCCCGTCTCTGTTTTACCATATGCCATGGCGCATACAATTCTATAGATACCACAAATCAATTCTCGATGACTTATTCATAATCCACTATCAATGACGGATCTCAGCCTATCCTCAGTATGTTCAAGTTGTGTTGGGCCAACCCGATGCCTCACTTATGAACTACACTAGACTAAATTCAGCAGTGGATCCATGTGGGAGTGGATAATAATAATAAGCTTGATGGAATCGTCTCCGCCCAGACGACTCCACACGATGATAGGCCGCTAGTACGCACTGTGCACAGGGGTTGGTAGCGAAGTCCCCTCTACTCGAGCGACAACCTGCATCTATATCGTCACTGCATCCTGTGACCATGCGTTTCTTTGAAGCCTCTGCAACTCAAACATGTAGTTGAGCAGATATGGCACCAATCCTGCAGGTCTCAGAAGCGGTAGCTGCCTCCGCTTGCCACCCCTCACTTTGGCGAGAACTGATAGCAAGTCTTTTCGCTTGTTTTCGAGCCATCTGCTGACCTCCAACACCTCCTTCTGCTCTTTCATCGAACTGAAAACCGAGTGAGTCGCCAAAGGAAAGGTAGCGCTCTCAGATGGGATTCCCAAGCGCCGCTTTTCCTGCTTCCAACCGATAAAATAACGCCCCTTCACATTTTCACGCGAGGCTGGAGCTGGCAGTCATCTAGACATGGATAAATGGATGGATACAAGGCTCTTAATCCCCACGCATGAGCACTCCCTGACCTCCAAGGAGTGGTGGATCGGCCCACCATCGTGCAGGAGAATAGAGGGGTGCTCGCGGAAGCCCGCAGAACGCGGTTGAGGTTCCATGTAGCATTGAACGAATAGAAAGGGCAACTGGATACCGAATAAGTAGCATGGTCAGGTGTTCAGCAGTCGCCGATTTGCAAGCCCGTGGCGAGAACTTCCAATTGCCTGTTGCTGGTTGGGCGAGAAAAATTACATTTTCTTGTCGAACAACTGAAAACCAAGCTTCGCCGCAGCCATCAGGAGTGATTAATTCCACATGGGAAAATACATTGTTGCAGCCACTGAAGCCTACCAAGTCTAGCCACTCATTTTCTTTGTGATGTGGCCCTGCATGACTGTTTCTAGAAGCTTGAATAGCCGACAGGCGAGGCCTTAGGATGGGGAAATTACAACGGCCGCACACCGCCAGGAGTTTGAACTTTGTAATTTTCAGATAGGCGACACCAGATCACCGGCCTCATTAGCGATCGGCCTCGCTCACTACATGTATTAATGATAGCCATCGCCAGATCTTTGGCCATTGTAATTTCCTAGGAGAGACTGAGAGGAAGAGGATGGGCATTTCAGCCTTGATCAATTGATGCCTTACTTAACATCTTACTGCCCAAGAGCTCTTCGCTCACTTCTTCAACGTTCTCGAAGCTAGGACGGCCCACATGCTTGAGGCGACCATCTAGTGGTATCTTACGCGGGATGGGAAGCCGCTGAGATTTCATATAACGTTTTTCTGCTCGAAGAGTAGGGGAGGAAAAGCGCGCAAAGGCTGGAGAATCAGCGGGGAGGCACGACTGGACATCATCCACCTCCCCATGATGGGAAAGGGTGGGAACAGGCTTTTGATGCGCCGACATTCGGGCTTCCTCCACCCACCTCGCCACTCGAATATCGGCCCCGGCTAGTGATTTTCCGTTCGTCGCCGCCGCTCTCCTCAAAACAGGGGCGTCGCGATGTAACAAGGCCGGCCGTTCATTGCGTGTCAACGCTAACGGCTGCGGCAGCAGGAGAATGCTAGCCCTCCAGGAAGACTAGTAGTTGCCATGTTATCTATCCTACACCCTCACAACGAAGGGGTGGTTAACTGAGAGTCTCTATCGCCGGCCCCAGTTTATGGATAAATCCCTAGGCAATGTGTGAACAAGACCACCAGAGCACCCATATTGTTGGCGAAATTTTTGGGTCAGGGGAACCGTCACGCACCGCAATCGTCGTGAATGATATCGCAACACTTGTGTGCATTTTCGCAGTCGTCTTTGTATAATAACACTATGAGGCCCATCAAGGCTTGACGATTCGGGGGATTCGACCCGCGCCTACAGATCAAGGCGCCCTATTTACACAAAATGGCTACAACCAAGTACTCTATCCGTCGATTTCACGTCCAACGTAGCTTCCGGGAGGAGAGATGGAAAGGGGGAAGCGAGAAACCCGACGGTTTGAGACGACTCAAAAGCCCCTGATGAGCTTAACAATAGACCACATCCGCATCGGCTCCAGCAAAGTAAGAGACCCCCGTGTGGGTTAAGCGGGCTACGAATCCCCCGTTCAGCCCATCAGTCCGTTGGGAAACAAAAGTTGGGGCTTGAGCTCCCATTCCGCCGCCTTTCTATTTCCAGCTTCAATGGTGGGCACTCACTTTCACGTCAATACAGGCAGGCTAATATTTCCGGATATAAAGATGCAGGACAACCCTTTCCATACTCACCCTCTCGGGCCCGATACTAGAGTCGCTCATACTTCGTACAATTCCAGAATGGTTTGGTTCGCGCATACTCTTGACTTCGATACATATCCATGATAGTAGCAGTCTACGGTCCTCGCTTAGTTTCTCGAGAAGCGCTTTGGGTAGCGGGGCCGGACAAACATTGTCCTGGTTTATGGTTTATAGAAAACACCGTGGCTTGCCTCCATGTCTCTCGGTGGTTTGCCGAGCCTGTTCCCCAGATTGCATACGATCTTTCAGAATGTTCTTTTCAAAGCGTATTCTACTTAACCTCGTTATAGTTCAACTCTGGCGATCATTGTTTTGAGGGGTCCCATACGAGAAAAAGAACAAAGAACTGTGCTTCGGAAGATAGAGTGGAACCCTGGCGACAACAGCTCTGGGCATCTGCCGCATGAAAACTGTCCGAATGCCAGACCCATCTCTGTATATATATTGACCCATGAAAGATACTGTCGAGTCCTCGACCCCGCAGGTCTTCCGTACACACACACACACACACACACACACACAAATACAATGTTATAGCGTCATGGCGGCTTCCGCAACACCTACAGCCTTAAAAGCTTTCTTATTCGTCCAACGTATTTCGACGTCATGAGCCCACTCCATATATCTCCCCCAACCTGAAACAGAAAAGGCCAGTTAGAATACCTCATTCATGGGTTAGGTGTATCGATAATCGGGGATACCGTCACTTACTCCAATACGCAAACTTCCGTCCCAGGTACTTGCCCGCGAAAGGTATTAATATCATGGTGAGTAGCATCTGAAGTTGCTCTAAACTCCTCTCCCACTCCTCCTGAGCGTCATCATCCTCAGAATCTAGGGCGCTGCTTGATATTGAGGGCAAGCTATCGATCTCGTCCTTTTCGGAAGGGGAAGGGTCATGAATGATGTATGATTCGGAGGCCATCTTGCAGGTATGAGAAAGTGAGTCGGAGCTACGAGTCGATCGCGTGGTCTAAAGATGTGGAAGACCGGTGAGGGGCGGAGGGCCTGAGGGAGGCTACGTGCTCGTAGGGGCTGCTTGGCTTGGTGCTCAGATCCCTAGGATCCAGTCGTCACTGGAGGGCCTTTCGAAGATAGAGCTCGAGGAACGGTAGGCGCCGGTCGATAGGATTCAGGAACCCGCCGAGCCCGAAGCTAGAAATGCAAATCACGCGTGGAGCGTTATAAGCGTGGGAGGCAATGCTGCTTGTCCGAGGTGAGTCGAACGAGAGCTTCAATCAATTAAGTGACGTCGAAACAAATCGGACAGGGCCCCCAGCAACATGATGCATTACATAATACCGAACTTTGTCAGAGACCGCCGCCACGTTGTGGCGTTAGAGATGATAAATGTGGCGGGAAATAATACAGACATGCGGCGATGAGTCAAATACAAATCCTCAAAAGACCATTCGAACACCTTTTACTATAAGGATAGCAAGCTCCAGGTATGAAGGCACTCTTATCACTTTTCAGAGTGAGTTATTGGTTTGCTTGAGGCTCTGCCAACGTTGAACACATGGGTGGCTCCAATAATACGTACTTGGTCCCGTCTCGTGGGTCAGTGCAGTCACCTGACTTGGTGGATGGGCGTAGGCCCGCCACGACGAAATGGGTCTCCAGGTTTCGATCCCTCGATTGGGGCGTGCCAGAAGGTCTTGGAACATGTTGTATTCTTCTTCTCCAGTCCTGCTAACGACCGTCCTTGTCACAAGTCAAGACTAGGAAGGCTAGAGGAAATCTCCGTGTTTAAATAGTAACGCAACACCGATCATCGACGGATCATTTTGGCTATCCCCAGGAACAGACCACTCAAACACATTTCACGCCTCACTCTACCCTCAGCATCACTAAATACCCCGCGTGCCCACTTCACAGTACCCCTCACCTCGCACTTGATTACTGTATTCTGTCTTTCGCCATCTGTGCTGCGACGAGCAAAGTCGCACTCACAGCACCACCCGATAGTCGTCCCTTCCCAAGTTTTGTTCGAAAAAGGCCGCACTCCAACGTTCCCAGGGCTTCTTAGCGGTGTCACAAGAAGTCCGGCCTATACCGACCCCGAGATCGCTCCTGCTCATCCACGCTTGCCATAGTATTCCCATCGCTTGCTGAGCAGAGTCTACGATGAGTTCAGTGGTATGTCTTTTTCAACTTTCATAGCCAATGGAATATTTGTGTCATGTTGTTTCCCCTTCTTTTCGTCCAATTCTTTTCCTTTCTTTTGGGGCGGACCAAGCTGGGCCGCATGCCTTAATGTGGTGAACCCTTTTGAACAGACACTACACAAGTCGAGCAAAGTCCCTCGCGAGATGCTGCGGGCCACCTAGTCTCCCTTCTTCCATTCCACACTTCACCGTGCCTTCCCACTGCTGCCATGCTATATTGTGTGGTCCTCAGGTCCGTTCGAATGGATCCTTGCATCAACTATCAATTTCTTCTCCCCTATCGCGTCCGTCCCCTACCGTGAGCAGGGAGGTTCCTCAAACTAGTTCCAACCGCCAAATGGACGCGGGCTAGTCTACGGTGCTCACCCCCGACCGAACCTTGTTCTTCCCAGCTTGCATCCGTGGCAGTGGTACTCAGAGGCCCTTCACGCTATTTTGCCCCTCCACAATTTTTGATGATTTAATCCATTGAACATTGCACCCCGCCGTCGACCAACCAAATCCCTCTTCGTCCTTCTGATCCTCGCCCCCCACCACCGCTTCCAGGACTAGGGGAAGTCCACAGAATTCCACTGTGTTGAGTCACCTTGCTGCGACACAAAATTCCCACCGGGAAATTCCTTGCACTTGACCTTCGCATGCTTCCCACATTTCCATCAACACGACACCCACAACAGACCACGACGATTCAATCTTAGGGAGCCTGAGATTTCTGAAACAGCTAATTAACATCTTATCGTCTCGAATAGGAGACCCCACAGCCCACCGAACGCAAATCCCGAAAATCGGTCACTTTCACGAGAGAGCAATTAGTTGTCGACCCCGACGGATCTGTGACCCTGGTCAACGCGACCGACAATTCTAAAGAAACGGCCATGTCGCACACACCCCGCACCCCGCCTCTCTCGGCGGCGCTCGAGTCATTTTCCGACTCGGCCAAGCCTGAGGATGATGCTGCTGCTGCCCCGGCCAACGATGACGCCCCTGAGGATGGCGGCCTCGACCTCTCCCTACTGAAGAAGAAGAAGAAGAAGCCCAAGAAGGCTGATGAGGGCGAAGAGGAGGCCGCCGCTGATGATGGTGGCCTCGACCTCTCAATGAAGAAGAAGAAGAAGAAGAAGGCCAAGGAAGGTGACGAGGACGAGTTTGCCCAGAAGCTCAAGGCCCTCGATATCGAAGGCAAGGAGGATGGTGCAGCTGAGGCCAGCACTGCGGAGACCACATCGGCCCAGGAAGGGGATATGGAAATCGGAACGGGAATCTGGGCCCACGATGACACTCGGATCATCACCTACAACCCTCTCCTCAAGCGCTTCTTCGCCCTCCTCTCCCAGAAGAACCCCGACCATGCCCTCAGCGGCACCAAGAGCTACAAGATTCCCCGCCCCAATGCATGCGTGAAGGCAACAAGAAGACAATCTTTGCCAACATCGCCGAAATTTGCAAGCGGATGAAGCGAACCGACGAGCATGTGACCGCCTACTTGTTCGCCGAGTTGGGAACCAGTGGTTCAGTCGACGGCAACAGGCGCCTCGTCATCAAGGGACGTTTCCAGCAGAAGCAGATCGAGAACGTGCTAAGGAAATATATCAGTGAGTCTTTGTCCTTCACGCACATACTACACCCTGACCCACCACAACACGTTGCTAGAATACTTGTTAACCATTCTCATTCGTAATAGTCGAGTATGTCACTTGCAAGACCTGCAAGTCGCCCGACACCGAGCTCAGCAAAGGAGAAAACCGTCTTTACTTTATCACGTGCAATTCTTGCGGATCAAGGCGCAGTGTCACTGCTATCAAGACTGGTTTCTCGGCCCAAGTTGGAAAGAGGAAGAAGCTCCCGTAAACAGCTCGCGCAGTTCTTTATCGCATCCCGCCGCCTGTGGGTATCGTCATAGAACCGGCCGGGGGCGGCCAACGCAATTCCCATGGCCTCTGGAAATGCTTGCTCTCCAGAAATCCTTCTTGGTTGTGCCGTATGAGTGCCTCATCACGCGCTCACGAGGTTGGACTGAAATGATGTTACGATTTAGCTGACGTTTGAAACACTCAAAAGGGCTTATGCAGGAGAAGTATCTTCCGACTTCCTTGATCAGAACCTTTTCATGAGCGACACCCGAGTGAGAGATTATAAAAGCGTCTAGGGAATCATGGCATTGATTCCTTAACCTAGTTCTCTCCCACTCTTTTAATCCCTCCTTGTGTACCATTTCTCGTCAAACAGGTACCTACCGAGGCCTTAACTGTCGCTTGTTGCCAAGAGAGCTGGGTTACATGTCGTTTAGTTCCGTTAGTTTTCTTTTGAAAAGTCAGGTAGATAGCATTGAAGGCGTCGTGGCCTGGGTAGAGCACAAAAATTGAGACGTTAATGATAAAATTAAAATTAAAACCCAAGCGCCTTCAGGGAATCCTTTCTCTATAATAGTAGGTTGTGAGCGATGCTTCGCCAACCATTCTTTCATATCGAACTCGCATTACTGCCACTGCAAGCCATGTGGGAACATTTAGTCGCAGGGAGCCAGCCAACCCTTCCTTATCTGCACTTGCACTTCACCTGATGCAACGGCCTATCCCGGCCGTTCCTTACTCCACACCCCACCTTTTTTCAAGCGCTTCCCCTTGTTGTAGTCCGCCAAACCGCCAAAGCTCGGGAAAACGCAGGCCGTTCAAGAGTCGCCAACGGCAAGGTTCCGTGCTCCGTGTGTGTTGCTATCAAGCCAGGAAAAATGACTGGCCTCACCCTCCAAGACGGCCAGGCCGACCTTCCGTCTCCCACTTCCACATCCTCGTACTGGCATCGGTCCCCCTCTCAGACACTCCTGGGGCATCGCACGACGGAAAGGCTACCCGAGACCGTGGATGTGGTGGTTATCGGCTCCGGAATTACGGGGGCGTTTGCGGCGCGGGAGTTGGTGGAGCGGAAGGGGCGGCAAGTGCTCATGCTCGAGGCGCGAGAGGTCGCGTGGGGTGCAACCGGCCGGGTAAGTCCATTCCTCTGCAGCTGCCTTCCATTTCTCCCCCACTCTTGTTCCTTCTTTCCCCTCCCTGTCTTTTGGAAAGACGGAAGATGGCCTCACGATTGCTTCTGGTAAAGGATATCTTGCTGAGGGGTGGTGCACGGTGGTGAGCGGCTAGATGATGGCCTAGTTCGAAAGAGAGGTCGCTTGGCACCGTGGTTCGCTAACATGGAATCCTAGAACGGCGGCCACTGTCAGCCGTTCGTGTACGGCTCCCAGCCGCACGTGGCTGCTTTTGAGCTTCGCAACTACGCCTTCCTCAAGCAGCTCGTAGAGGACAACCAGATTCCGTGCGACTGGGTTACCACGACGGGCGTTCATGGGCTGTACACCGCCGACCTCGTCGAGATAGCCCGGAGGAACCTGCAGAGGCTGGCAGAATTGGCTCCGCAGCTCGCCGCGCAGGTCAGCCTCGTCACGTCGGACGGGGAGCCGAGCTCTCGCGGGGCGCCGTCCTTAAGAGACCTCGGGCTTTCGGGTGCCAAGGGTGCCGTCGTTCAAAGGGCCGCCGCGTCTCTGTGGCCCTACCGCCTCGTGGCGTGGGTCATTGAGGGTCTGATTGCCAACTACGACAGCGCCGCGTTTAATCTGCAGACGTGCACGCCGGCGCTTGATATTCAGCGATTCGGTTCCTCGTGGATAGTCCACACCCCGCGGGGCCAGGTCGCCGCATCGGCTGTCCTGGTGGCCTGCAACGGCTACGTCTCCCGCGTCCTCCCCGACTTCACCGGCCTTGTCGTGCCGGTGCGCGGTCAGGTCGCCGCCCTATCACCGGGGAGCCGCGTAGGCCCTGGCGCCTTGGATCACACGTACGTCTTCCTCGCCGCTAGCCAAGGGCCGGATCGGCCCGCCATGGATGACTACCTAGTCCAGGCCGACGGAGGTGGGAGGGAGTTGGTGTTCGGCGGCGGCCGCATGCGAGGATCCGACAAGGGCTGGGCCATTTCTCGGGACGATACGCTAGATCCCGTGGTGTCCCAGCACCTACGGACAAACCTACGCCATGTTCTTTCCTCGCCCGCTACAGGCTCGTCTAACCCAGACCTTCCACAGGAGGACACAGGTCTCATGCCTGCGCCCTTTGAATGGACGGGTATCATGGGCTACTCTGTCGACGGACTGCCATGGGTCGGCCAAGTCCCCTCGACCCTCGGAGGGTGACGGGCTCTGGGTATGCGGCGGATACACCGGCCATGGTATGCCCGCTGCCTCCTTGTCCGCCGTTGCCGTCGTGGCTATGATGTGTGGAGCTAAGAGTGAGGATGTTGACTTACCGCCCGAGTTCCACATCTCAGAGGCGAGGATCGCGAGGGCTCGCCAGAGCCGTGCCGTAGGCTTGGAGGCACCAGAAGAGCTCATCGCTCTGATTTAATTCGCTAGGAAAACACAAGTATGGTTTCCACACATGTATACCTCTATACAAGCTACCAATAGACGTGGCTGCAGGCAAGCATCGTACAAGACCTGGCAACGAGATTGATAAAAAGAGCGATTTACCTCGGTAGACGCCCATCGTATTATGCTAAGGGACTGGCTATCATGCCTATAAAACAATACAAGGCCCATAAATTGTACGCCATCAAACGTTACTCCTCCAAAATGATGATTCTCCTTCCATAAACCAACCTCAACAGAGCGATCAAATTTCCTTTCTTTTTAGCAAAAGGAAACCCTGTTTCCTCTTTCCCCTCGTAACGTGACAGCTTCGTCTGTCCAGGTCCTCTCATTCCTTTTAAATACAACCTGTTCGATAAATCCGCGGGGTCATCTCTATCAACCCAGTAAGCTAGGTGTGCCTGTGTCATCTTCGCTCATGTAGGAGGCCATAGGCAGGCCGAGGAGCTGAGGGGTACTGGGAAATAAGGCCAAATCAAGTAGGCATGTGCACTTCTATAACAGTAGTTGATGGCCAGCATCCTTGACGCAACAAGAACGGCAAAGGCCGGCTTTCGAAAAGAAGAGGAAAAAAAAAAAAAGGGGCGGGCCGGGGGGGTTGTCGTTGGTGGGTAGGTATGGGGATCATGAGCTAGGCGCATCCTAATCAGCTTCAGCTAGTTGCATAATCAAACGAGCCGCCATATCTAGGAACGGGAAAGGGCTCATGATTTCCTTCTCGTCAAGTAGTATCCCGTCATGGGTTTCATATCCCGAGCACTTGAAGTCAACCAAGTAGACGCCCGGTTCCATCTCATAGATCTGGATATCAAGGTGCATAGCGACAAATGCCCTAACATCCCGCGCTCCGTCTTGGTTATCCAGCCGGGAGAAAGAGCCCTTGCCAAGACCTACCAAGGCTGTTAGATGATGATTCCTAAATTAAAAGGACTGTGGTAAGACTCACTGTTAGACTCCCAGCGCACTTTGATTCTCCATGGATCGGCTGGTAGCTTGTATCGAGGCGAAGGGTCCACGCTACTCGAGGAATGATTGCATCTCCGCAACGGAGCGCCACTATAGTCATCGGCAAAGCTGCCATTCGCGCTCTCAAGACCCTCGTCATCGCCATGGTCCTCGCAGTCTTGTCCATGTACCTTGTCATAGTCCTCGTCCGGGAGATACGTAGCGCCGAGCTTATTGAGTGCTTTATGGATGCAAAGCAGAGCTTCCCACGGCGCATTACGTGATCGAATACCGAACTGCCACCGCACCGGCTTGGACTTTTGGGAGGGTTCACAGGGGTGAGGCTGTGAGGTCGTCTACTGGTGTCATCGAGACGAATTTGACTGTTTCTAGAATGTGGATTGAGACGCCGTGCGGTCTCCTCTTTGGAATGTTCCGGGCGGGCTCTCGACGGGTCCTCATGTTGGTCGGGGGTGCCGGGAGTCTTCTATCCCCGACTTCGCCCGCTCGATGAAGTCCTTATGATATGCCGGTAAACTGCTGGGTAAGATACCGACTTTGCTGGTGTAAGGACGGGGTGTTGGAACGGACGCAGTCGAGCGGGCGGATGACATAGATGGCATTGGGCTTGTTGCAGCCTCCGACGGGGCGCTTAGAGGCGCTATTCCTTCTACGTGAGGGTTCAAGTGTGTCAGAAATGCCCAATCCATGGCATGCAACTAGATGGCTATGAAGCAGAGTATGAGCAGACTTACGATTCACTTCCATTAGCTTGTTTTCGCGGAAGATCAAGTAGGCGTCCTTGATAGTTGAGGGCTCTTCGGACTCGAGGGCCTCTTGGACATCCTTCTTTCCGTAACCCATGGTTTTGCTAATCTTCTCCGTAACTTCTTCGTGAAGCTTCTCTTGGACCTTGGGGGAGCGCCAGGCGCAATATCGCTCTTCTTGATAGCCTTATTAGGGTCAACACCAGTGTTGAGAAATTCTTCAGCTGTGCCCTGAAGATAAGGCGGGAGGTCCGTCATGAACCAAGGGTCATCCTTGATATCCTCAATGGTAACACGCTGAACAGGGTTCACGACGAGCATCTTCTTGATGAGATTGACAGCGCCGGTCGGCATCCATTGAGGTATGGTGTAAGCGCCTTTCGCGATCTTCGCGAACAAGCTAGGGATATGGTCGTCATCGAAAGGGAGCCTCCCCGCTAGCAATACGTAAAGGATAACACCGCAGCTCCAGACGTCGACTTCGGGGCCGGCGTAAAGTTTGCCGCCAATGACCTCAGGGGCGGCGTAGTTAGGACTGCCACAACTCGTTTTAAGAAAGTTCCCGTCAGTCATGATATTGCTGAGACCGAAATCGGCGATCTTTACGTTGAGGTTATCGTCGAGAAGTAGGTTCTCCGGCTTCAAGTCTCGGTGGACAATCTTGTGGCGATGGCAGTATTCGACGGCGCATATCATCTGCTGGAAGAACCGCCGGGCCTCGGCTTCTTTCATCCGACCGTTTTGGACAATGTAATCGAACAGCTCGCCGCCGGCGTACTCAAGAACCATGATAATTTCCGCTGGCGTCTTGATGACGGTATATCTAAGAGCGAGGGTGACTCGGTTAGTAAACGGTGGCACGACTAGGCACGAGACGCCAAATCACAAGTATAGGGATGGAGGGGGCAGGCTATATCGTACAGTTTAATGATGTGGGGTGTCGAAGAAGCTGGAGATATTCGATCTCTCTCTCGACGCGGCCAGCCATATCCCTACTAATGAGCTTCTTCCGTGCAATAATCTTGAGAGCAACGGGCTGATTGGTGCTATGGTGAATAGCAAGCTTCACCTTTCCAAACGAGCCCTCTCCAAGAGTTTTAAGGACTTTGTAGGCGCCGATGCGTTGTTCAGTCTTGATCTTTTCTCGCAGCGGACCCCTCGGGCTGTCGACGCCCCTTGCTGGTGCGAGTACACTCCCATCATCCTGCCCTTGGGACTGGCCGTTTCCGGTTGTTTTTCGGCGGCCCTGAGACGAGAGCGACATAGTCAACTCTTCGTCCTCGAATCCTCGTGAGGCCATGGTTGTGATGTGAGGGATATCGACAACGACGGCGGCTGTGGGTGAATTTGGGCGTTGGGTTGGAAAGATGGAATGCTGCCCCTCGAAAAAGGGCTTTGAGGCTGACAAGTCACCAAGCATTTGGTGGAGGGAGGGGAATAGGATTGATCCGAGGGGAAGGGAGAGGGCGGGGACTGTGGGCCCCAGCTTCCCACTGTGCAATACTGCGTTGATCGCACAAGAGCCCAAACTCCAACCCAGTGATGATACACTCTAGAAGCTTTTAGGTCTATTCCATTCCTAGGATATAGCGAGCTAGAGCCCTCTGAGCATGCGCCCTCTATTGATGATCCAAAATTTGTTTCGTTGTGCGCATCAATGTCATTGATGCATGAGAAATTGCTGACTGGATACCACCCACCAAGTCGCCAGACGAAGATTCGCCTGCGTGAGATACGCTCCAGGGTCATCACTACTAGACATCCACTATAAATCCACTGACAGAGATCGCAAACACAGCTGCGAAGAACAAATTCGTTTGACAGATGGCTAGCTAATTTAATTTCCCAATCTTGGCTGCTACCCTCATCACCGATGACGGATAAACCACCCCCAGGCTCCAGACATGAAACTAATTCGAGCGTGGGCTTGGGAGTTTGTGTCTCTATTTTGGCTTCCCTCACAACCTTGAACTCAATGACCCTTATTCCCCCACCTGGCGCTCGGCCTTGAGAGGATCCTGGAGGTGGTCCCACCCCACCCATGACACGTGACTAAATGATCGTGGCACCTTTCACCGCCTTTGTATTGCCAGATAGTGCAGTGTGAGAGGGCCATTCGAGCAGATGACGCTTTTGAACTTCTTTTCCTTCTCTGCCTCATACTTACCTTGTCCCGTGCTCGCCGAGCTCAAGAATTCGGTAGTATGGTGAGGATGGCCTGCATTGCACAACGCTGAGTTGTCATTCTCGATTGCCCTCCGGGGCTGTCGAGGGCGCGATTTTCTATAGCCTCCCTCTTTTCATCGTCTTGCTGCCCGGAGTGGTTGCCCGAAGAAGAGAAATATTTCAAGATCCTCAATAGACGAGCGATGACCACATGTCCTGTGAAAGGGCATCAAACAGCCTGAAGCCAAGCAACGAGCTTCGCCGCAGTATGAACGCGACCAAAGCATGGAAGAAGCTCTGTTGAAAAAGAAGCGCGCCGTTGACTAATACACGGAATGAGCACAGGAGAAAGGAGGGGGTTTAGACGGCCTCCCTCATCTACGTCATCATGAGATACCCGTTGTATGCACTGTCGTCAATGACATCGGCTTACTCCCAAACGCGTTTTTCGCCCCTGCGTTTTATGTATGCCCAACTTTTATAGGCTTTTTAGGGAAAATCGGGGGCGTTCGACAATATGAGCTCACAGCCATTACCAGAATGTCTACTGGTGTGAAACCAGACACAACTACCGGTTCCAATTGACGACACTGGAGGGTATGATTCGGTGGTTGAACCGTGGCCCCCTCCCTCCCGAGATGCATAGAGTCCAAACCCAGGGTTCCCAGGATTCAAAACTCTCATGATATCAGCATGATCAGATATCTTTACGCGTCCCAGATCATCGTATTTCTCCTAATTCACGATGCACAAGGTCACTTTACCGGCATTGAAGGTACACTACTTGTAAGCAACTTTATGCGATTTCCTCGTGGCAGTTTTGGCCAGGGTGGGATTCAGTCAATCACTTGCGAAAAATCCGCTCTACCGTGACTGCTGCAAACCTTTCAAGGTTCTGCCATGCTCCTCCAGCACTTTCAAAGGCCAATTCCCAACCCAGACCTCTTCGCTGTTGTGTAAGCACAAACCTCGGAAGATGCGTCTATGAGATTAAGCACCACAGCGTGGCGTTTAGCTGGGTCATGACATCTACATGTGGCACCACTAGGCTGTGCGATGAGCGTCGAACGAGAACGAGGTCACGCAAGCACACCGCCATGCTGAGGTATTCACCGTCGAGTTCGCTATCTTCATGCGGGCTTGCAGAAGGCTGGGGCCTCGACGCTGTTTGCGGAGAGCCTCACCAGTCGGAGCCAAACCCCCTGCGGCGTCAGAAATCAACGTCGAGCTGACGTTGCATTTGAAGCTGCTTGGTGAGTAATACTAATAGTAGGTCGTTCAGATCCACAATAGCATAGCTGGCTATTACCTCGGTGGCGTGGCGGGGAAAGGAGAATCCAGCTGGGGAAGATAAGCGCGCCGAGGTCAACTGACATGAACTGACTCTTGTCGAGGCCTGAGTCAGGAGAGGCTGCACCTTTTGCACCTTTATTTCAGCAAAGAGGTGGTCAAGTAGAATATAGGACGCCCTTATCGTGGGAGGCAAATTGGACCGTTAATCAAAGGTCACTAAGCCCTACAGTGCTCCTAGTGTCAATAATTGCTACGAAGTAGATAGCCTTCAGCCAGCCTCGAGACACGAAAAGAGCCAGCGAGTCTTCTGGGGCGGCACTGCGGCGCAAGGCCCACATCAAGCACGCATAGAATCGACGTCAAGGCGTTATCACGGCTCGTTATCGATGTAAAGAAGAACGCCACACCAGAGGATACCGCTCCGGTAGCATCTTCGATCGGCTTCCAGGAATTATGTTCTCGAAGGAAGAGTCACTGATAGATATCGTAGCCAATGATGGAGTGCTCAGCAATGCTCCGTGTAATAATACTGCAAGCCCCTCTTTGATCAGATAGGAACGGCAGTACTCGTTACAAAAGTGCCCATTCAATTTCTTCAGACAAACCGATGTTCCGTGATTTGTCGAAGGGAGCATACGCCGCAATACGCCCCTGTTGGTTTAATGGCTAGCCGAATGACAGGACCCTGCTCTTGCTCTGCGTCCTTCCTGACGAAGCAGACGTAATCGCTGATGTCGTGGTTACAACTTTGGGGGCAAGAGCACAGGCTGGTGAAATATTGGTCGAGTTGATTAGAGCGCTCAGGGGCGATTCCAGGAGTTGCACTAGAGAGGGCACCAACACGTTGAGGTACTTTTCCTTGGCGGGTTGGCTGCAATTTGCCGGGAGAGGAGGGGGAAAATACATCTTGGATGGATCCAGATGGATCAACTTGGCGAAGCTCTGATTTAGCGTCATTTGTTCGATCCATTGCTACAAGTATTATTATTGATGATTCCGAAATTGGCCACTGGAAGCCACCCCGTTCCACACCCCCTTGGCAAGAACCGCGCCGCTTGCACCTCCTGGTAAGGTTGTACTACTCATGGCTCAGCGGTTCCCATGCGGGTTAGGAACTTTGATTGCTCGGTTCGTGCCCCTCCCCTTTCAACTAAGATTGCCCATCTCACCAATGGAAAAGGACTGGGGTGGGCTACTGGTCAAGACGACCATTCCCAGTCTTGGATTCACTCGACTGGGTGTCGAGGTGTGTGTATGTACCCCTTTGCTAGAGCGAAAGTACCTTCAATAGCTTGTTGCTGTGGCCGCTCTCCCCTTTGAATGTACTGGGATGCCACGGCGCAGGATCGTTTGTTCCTTTTCAGTCGCTTGCAGAACATGAAAGTGGGTTCAGTTGGAATCAGATTAGGTTGAATTGATTAGGGAGAGGGGAGGACAAGAATACCTCGATCCATTGAACCAATACATCCATTGATCCATTGATACAGTCCTCTCAGATGTTGACGTTATTATATACCCAGCTTCATCAACCCTCCTTTCCCATTCCCTCCTTCCTGCCCCTTCATACAATGAGTATTCTTATTTCCTCCTCTTCTTCTCATTCCTATCTTTTTATCACCGACCCAACCATCCCCCGCCCACCGCCTTAAATCTTGGAAGCATATCATCAATCTTGGAACCGCCTCTCCGAGCCAGTTACACTCTGACGTCCCCGCCTGCATACAATCTCATGCACCAATATTCCACTAGAAACCGATAACCAAGTACGCGCGCCGCCGATAAGTTTTTCTCGTCTCCGCCGTTGCTCCCCGCTTCGCATTGAACAGCGTGCAGAACTGTGCCATCGGCGACGCGAAGCTTCCCAGAGCCAACATTGAGCCATACAACTTGTTTGGCACCGGCCCCAAACTCAGACAGCACCTCCATCTCTCATCCACCTTGGGGCAGTCAGCCTGACGTCCTGCAGTCCTCGAGCGATATCCAAGAATCGAAACCCACACGAGGTCCGACCCTTGTCGCTGCATGCGCGATCCGCATGGTGCAAGAGCTTCTACTGCAAGTCCACGCCGCGAAAGCCACCTTTTGGCAAAGCAAAAACTTGAAAGCGGACCTTTTTCAGCAGGACTTTTATCCGCCATCCAACAAACGCATCCTCTTTAGTGAAACCTTGTCAAGGTCTCTCTGGCCGATATTACGTCTCTCTTCTAATAGACGTTGCCTCCATTACATATAGCTAGTGTAGCCCCATGCTCGGAGCCAATTTCGTCGGGAGTCTCTCATCATCAGCACCCTTGTCATTCAGTCGACCGCACCTAATAACCAAAACCCCCAATCAACCATCCATCCCCCTTTGCCTTGACATAGCATCCCCACAGGCCGCTCATCTCCCTCACCTCTGCACGATCCACCATCGGCCAACATCATCCCCCTCCCCATAGGACATCAAAACAGAAGAAGAACAAAACGCACAATGGGCTTAATATCAGAAGTTGGTATCCACACGGTGGACTACCAGAATATGGCGTATGAAGAATATGTCCGCCTCAACAACCAGCATGAACGGATACGGGAGAGCTTGGACCTAATCCGAGCCAGCTCCCCGTTTAGCGATTCAACTACGACCTCGCCATCTCTTTCTCCCACTAGAGGCGCCGGCCGTCAACGGTTTGCCTCTCCACCCGTTAGCCGCCGCGATAATCGAACCCTCGAGACGATTCTCGACGAAACCACGCTTTGCGAAATCGCTACGCAAGAGCAACAACTTCTCGATGTTAACGAGGCAATCAAGAGGGCGTTAACAGAACTCCTCAACTGCGACCTCGTCCGCGCTGATAAGCCTTTTCGCACCTGGGTGCAGGGTCGCCTGATGCAAACGGAGAAAGAGCTCAGGTCCAGGCGGCGTAGGAGAGGCGTATATTAGGTGCTAGGCGCACTTGCACAGGAGAGTACATGAAATCGCCAAAAGTCGAAAAAGCGAAAGAGGGGCATATATCCTAACGTTGTGTCAATTGTTCTAAACATATACCACTGGGCTGCATCATGATCATGTTCAACAACGTGGTCGGGGCACGGAGTTCTTTCTTTTTATTTTCTTTTCATGATGCTTCTTTTATTCGGAAATTCGCACAGGAATAAGGCGGGTTGGCTCTACCAGGCGTCCAATAATTTTATTCATTCTTGATATCATATTACTACCTTACAATTCTTATATTTATATTTACATTATATTATATAGATTTTTCCATCAAGTCATGGTGGCTCTCTTCCTCAGATACAAGTATTATAGCAATGTGCTCGGCGAAACGTAGAACCCGGGGATATGGGCCTGCATCGTCACTCCTCGCCGAATCCTCCTCCTTTTTATGTGCTAATAACAAATTCCTGAAATGGGAAGAAGCTGCTGAAAGCATTGAGGGCTGTAATTGCTAGTCCCTCGCCCAGTCTCAAAAAGCGATGGTACATGTACTGTTCGTAACTATCCTACAACATCCGAGTCGTAATCCCACGATCCATTAGGACTATGTACTGCATAGACGTCGAAGTGCTGGGCTACGAGTACTTTTAAGGGATCATGCACCACTCCGTCTTGCGAGTGTGTACCTCGTACACACCACACTTTACATGTATCATTGGATGGGCATATCTCGCCAAATCACACATACCTACCCACCTCCTACACACTCCAACGTAACTAGCACAAAATTACAGGTGATTTTGGCACGAGGTAGCCGGCTAGTTTGGTCTCATCGACTCTGGTACTTGCAGAAAACTGAGCGCACACAGCAGTGGGAATGGCACATCAGAGCTATGTCGTGCAAACAGCACCTGCAGGCGCAGTTGAGGTGGGGACTCTGTGCAAGAAATGCAAAAGGATCGGGCAAGCGACCTCCCTGCCTACCTACGACCATCACAAGAGGTGAAAGGGTTGGGCAGCCATTTATTTTCGCTCTCGTCTGGTCTGTATGCATGCAATCGGGATAATGGCACGGCGGAGAGACATCCAGTAATGCAAATGCGGGGAGGAACTGAGTTCCTCTCCGAGGGGCAGACTTAGCCAAGCTGGGAAGCTCAGGACAACCCACCTGGCCCTCAAGTCACATCCCGTTGGGTAGGCCCTCTCGTGATCGGCGGTGCAGGTCCGTTCTCCCCTTCTTTTCAGGTGGCTACGGCGTGTCTGACCTGTATGTAGTACGAGCATCGTAACATTTTGGGTTGGGGAGGAGCAAAATGTTGGGGAAACACAACGCGGACATGGAGAGCTGATAGACAAAGACTCAGGCGATGGGCCAACAGCTTGAGGACTGGAATCACGCGGGCTAAGCAGCCTGCCACCAGTCTTTTTCTTTCTCCTTTTTTTGCTTTTGTGTCTCTGCAACTGTGTGGGGAGGTTTGGCATGTAAGGGTGAAACTAGTCGCAGTAGCTCCTTTTTCAGGTGTTCTCACTGTTGTTATGTCTTGCCTTTTGACGATGCCATGAGTTTCTTGCCCTCTTGACTTTGCTGGAACTGCTGTGTAAGTCCATGCTACCTCGTTGCGGACAGCCTCGATACGGCCCGTTCATCAATCCCCGCCACTCACGTTCATTTCTTTCATTGCGCGTTGGTGTTGCGCTTGCTGCTGCAGGCCGAGTCTACACTTGGTATATGACCGTCGTGGCTGGTATACTGGCGACATGCAGATTGCTTCTTGGGGCAGTCTCATCCGAATATCCGGATTGGAGGGTGGGTTTACAAGTATTCGAACGGGAACACCGAAGGATACTGCAAGGCTCACCATAGTACCTTCCAGCGTGCTGCTATGGGCTCTTCTCAGTTCCAGAAGCGCGGATTTTTTTCTTTGGGACCCTAATGGCCGTTCCCCAAACGTTTGATAACTCGGCTGTCATCGCGATCATGTTACCATCCCAGACTCGAATGGTGGAATCTCGCGATAGCTCGGCTCTCAGCTTACTAATGCCGTCAGAGGTGCATCGATAAGCCAGCCAGGTCCAGCATCGTGCAATTAATAATCTCAAATGGGGTCAAGAATGGATCCTCAAGCTTCGTAGGTTGTGATGTTACTGGAGACGCCGGCAACTTGTTGGTTTGGGGTAGTCCCTTTGCCCCGCCCCTGAACCTCCCCGGCTACGTTTGTCTTCCCTTCCCTTCCCTTTCCCTTCGTCCAGCACGGCAAACACACTGGCAAGCTCCATCTTCTGCCATTGATACACCCATAAAATCGACACTCGGAGACGATTGTTTCGGGAAAGGGAAAAGCAATGACGGAATTCAAGCCTTCGCGCATCCTCATATTTGGTGCCACCGGCCAGATCGGGGCCTTCATCACTGAGGCGATCCTGTCGGCAAACCCCGCGTTCCAGCACGTCGCTATTTTCACCAGCGAAAATACCGCTCGAACTAAGCCTGATTTGCTGCGCGGTTGGACGGAACGTGGTGTGTCTATTATCACCGGCGACGTGGCCGACAAAGGCCAGGTCCTCGCCGCATACAAGGGCATCGATACCGTTGTCTCGGCGGTCGGCCGCAACGTCCTCGACCACCAAACAGACCTGCTCCGTTGGGCTGACGAGCAAGAGAATGGCAGTGTGCAATGGTTCCTCCCTTCCGAGTATGGCACGGATATTGAGTATGGGCCCAAGAGCGCTACTGAGAAACCCCACCAACTCAAGCTCAAAGTGAGGAAGTTTGCTCGAGAGGCGCTGAAGAGGGTGAAATGTACGTACGTGGTAACGGGACCGTACATAGACATGTACTTCACGTTATTTGGGGCTGCAGACAAGGTCGGTGGTTATGACGTGCAAAACAAGAGGGCCGTGCTCGTCGAGGATGGCAATGGCAAGGTGGGGTTCACCTCAATGCGGGAGTAAGTCACACCACACTGTTTCCTCAAAACCACGCTTCTCCGCGCGTTTTCCTGCCCTCTCCAGCCAATACGGCTCTGAAATGCGAAGTTTCAACGGAGTCAACCTGCTGACTTTGTGCTTCCCTTCTTATCAGCGTCGGAAAGGGTGTGGTCGCCGCCCTCCAACACCCCGAGGCTTCGTTTGACCGAGTCATCAAGATCCAGTCCTTCGTTGTTACTCCCGAGGAAATCTTGACCGAGTTTGAAAAGCAGACTGGCGGTCAGCCATGGACGGTCGAGTACACACCTCTCGATGATTTGAGGAGGCTTGAGGATGATGCTTGGAGCCAAGGAAAAGGATGGTCGACGCTGGCAACCCTGAGGAGGATATGGGCTGAAGGAGGCACCTTGTATGAACGTACCGACAATGAGGCCATTGGTCTACACGACGAGGATCTAGAGTCGCTTGCGACCACCGTGCAGAGGAACATTGCTCAGGTGACAAGCTGAGCGTATCGTACCATGAAGAACAGAATATTTGTTCTCCTTTTTCTCTTCCAAAGACCTCCCCTCTCCGAATGGCAACTAAATCGAATGATATACTCAACTTGCTATATCGGGCTGTTTACCAGACGCCTTTGAACCCTTTGCCTGATCCATTGTGTAGGTTTCGCGGCTGCTCCCCGACTTGAGCGGCGGACTTAACTTTGCCTGTAGCTCGGTGGAAACGCAGCCAGCCATCAATTCGAAAGAACAGCTTGCACGTTACTTGCGAGTTTCGGCCTCCAAAACCCATAATAGTCCAGTCAGAGAAGTGAGACAAACTCCAGGTACTGCGAATCTCGAGGGTCCCATTTGACTTTTTAAGTCAAGGGGTGAACACGAGGTTTAAGAGTGACCCCTGTCTTGGGCAATTCGTGACTGCCAATGTTGACTTGATCCCCGAGCCTACAGTACAGAGTAGCCTCACTGACAGCACTATGCACCACGTGACGGAGCTGAAGTTCCGCGCCTCTGGGTCAAAACCGTTTCAATGGACCATTCAATTCAAGTGACCGAATCAAGCACTCTATATCGCTAAATAGAGCTTGAGCACTAGCGTAGCCTAGACTAATCCTAGGACAACCACCACTAAAGCTGAAGCTGTGCTGCCGCTTCGTTTGGTCCAATCCAGCCGCGCTTCTTTCTCCCTTTTGTTCTGGACCCCAACCCCAGCCTTGATGGAAACCTGGCGAGGCGTACCTTTTTCAACACTCCGCGAATTTTAAGGAGTTTACGCGACGATAGACGAAACTGTGACTAGTATTCTTGTCCCGTTGCCGGATTCACGATCATGTCGACATCCTTCAGGCAGTGCGTCCGAGAGGTCAGCCTCTACCTTGTCCTGCTGGTCTTCATCTCGACTCTAGGACCGCTCCAATTTGGCTATCATCTGGTAAGTAAGGTCCTGCGCTCTAGCTGTCTCTTGCTCTAGTGCTACAGTCGTCCATTTCGTCGGCGCAAATATCTCACCGTTTGTTGCATCTCCCAGGCCGAGCTCAACGCCCCGCAAGATGTCGTGACGTGCCAAAAGAAGTCGATTGGCGCCGCCCTTCTCGCAAGGGCAGCCAACTGGTTCACGTCCACGAAACCACAACCGACCGTACAAAGCCAGCCAGGCGGTGATTCCACGTGGTTCACTGATTGTATCCCAATGAGCGACGCGGAGTTCGCGACTATCTCTTCCGTCTTCACTATTGGCGGTCTAATCGGCGCCCTCTCCGCCGGCCCCATCTCTTCGAAGCGTGGACGACTCCCTGCTATGCGGTTGACGGCTCTCAGTTATCTAGTCGGATCGATCTTGGAGACTTTCTCAAACAGCGTGTTCGTTCTCGCATCGGGCCGTTTTATTAATGGCTTGGGAGCGGGTGCTTCGACAGTAATTGTTCCTCTCTACATCAGTGAGGTGGCACCGCCCAACGAGCGGGGCATATTTGGGGCCATGACCCAGGTGTCCATCAACGTTGGTATACTAGCCACCCAAACCCTGGGATATTTTTGAGCTACGGAAACGCCTGGCGCTGGATTCTCGGCATTGGCATCATGATCTCGTCGGCTCAGGCGGTGGGCTTATTTATTGTCCCCGAGAGCCCCGCCTGGCTTGCTGCGCACGGCCAAGGTACCAAGGCAAGGAGAGTCTTACAGCGGATCCGGGGCAAGGTTGTAGATATCAGTGAGGAGGCAGCGGGCTGGGATAATGGCGACGATGATGCCGAGGGATCTGTGGCAGAAGACGCGAGACTCCTCGCCCAGCCTTCTTCTGACGCCGCCCTATCGCCGACCATCTCGGGACGGCCAGGATCGGGCGCGGCTCCGCACTTGGGCTTTTTCCAGGTTATCCAGGATCCGCTTTACAGACCCGCCATTGTGGCCTGCGTGGGAATTATGTTCGCCCAGCAGCTGTGCGGCATCAACTCCATCATCGTGTACTCGGTCTCGCTCTTGGCCGACCTCCTCCCTATTAGCTCTGCTCTACTCACCATTGTCATTTCATGCGTCAACCTCATCATGACGGTGGCCTGCTCCCCGCTTCCAGATCGGATCGGCCGCAAGACCTGTCTTCTCATCTCCATTATTGGTCAGGGAACTAGCTCGCTCGCCCTCGCCCTATCCATCATCTTTGGCGCCAAAATCATTTCAGCTCTCGCCGTCCTCTTTTTTGTTGGGTTCTTCGCAGTCGGCCTTGGCCCCGTGCCCTTCATTATGGCTTCGGAACTGGTAGGGCAGGAGGCTGTGGGGGCTACGCAATCGTGGTGCCTCGCTAGCAACTACGGGGCAACTTTCCTCGTGGTACAGTTCTTCCCCCTCGTCAACAACTGGCTCAACGAGTGGCTCGGCGGCGCGGGCTGGGTATACGTCCTATTTGCCGGCTTTGCCGCGCTGTCTGCCATGTTTGTGTCATGGAGGGTACCCGAGACGCTAGGGAGAAAGGATGTGGACGAGGTCTGGGGGAGGACACGGCGGATCGACTAAGCAGAAGTCTTTTTGGCATTGACATTGCGTGATATGAGGGTGTAGTACTGGCTCCTTGTCATCTCTTTCCTTCTCTGTCTCTCCATATGATCAAAGTGCTATCTGTGCTTCACCGTTTCGGCAGCTGCAGGCATGATGATACGACACAATATATCCCAATCACGGCCTAGGATTTGGCCTCCTCGATCTCTCGCTCCCAGTACCATCCACTATTCATGCGGTTGGGCCCTCGACTTCTGCCAAAGACGCAGGAGCTTATATGTAGCCAAGCCCTGTCTTTCACCTCGAGACGGATGCTGTTAGCCCAAAAGAGGGGAGGAGTAAGCCCGGGAAGCGTGTCCGGGTTGCGGGCTCGGGGACGGCCCAACCTCGCGATGGCAAACCAGAGTACAATGGGTAGCTAGTTAGGCATAGGCATTGTATCAAGCCGCACCCGTCTGGTGCCAGCGTAAGGACCTCCTTCCTTTGTTACCCGATACGAGGCGCCGTTGACCACTCAACCACCTGCCCCCTGGTTATTCAACGCTTTGCTCCAAGAAACGTGCATCACCTCTGGCTCCTTTTTCCATTTCTGATAGCCCCCTCCCCCATGGACAGCATAGTACCGTGCTTCTTGCAGAAGCAATTGTGTGGCGGGATCCTCCAGCGTCGGATCCGGGATCTTAATCTCATTTCTTCCCCTTGCCCTGTTAGTAAAGAGTGGGAGGGAGGTGAGGCCTCAATCGGATTTTGCTGTCGATTGTCGGTCTTCTCGGGCAAGAAACAATTTGCTCCACATGGTGCATCCATCCAGCATCGAGCGAGACGGGAGCCAATAACTGACAAGCCCAAGCTTTTGATCGGCTGGAAACAATCACTGCTGAACCAGCTGTTGGTCCCTCCCCTAGTCCCTAGTCCCCCGCCCCCTCCTTCTCCTTAGCTTCCCTTGTTTGAATTGATTGATCCCTCAACCCCGCCAAGGCGTCGCAGGCAATCCTGACGAGCCGGTTTCGTCGTGCTTTGGACGTGAGAAATAAGACCCCTGCCGTCATCATCAAGCCTGAAAAAATAAAAGATAAACCCACCGAACCCTGCCGCTTACACTCCAGGAGCTTGCCCACGGCGGGGCCGGTCTTGCGCCGCAACTGATGCCATCCCTGCTCCTTGGATTGCCGATCCCCCAATCTTGCATGGCAGCCAACCTGCGTCTTAGTGTTTTTCTCAATCCAAGCTCTAGATGAGGCGAGGGGTATTACAAGTATCTGTCTCCCGTGCCTCTGGAAAGAGGGGAGAGGGTTTCTTTTGTTTCCCTTCTTTCCCCCAAAATAGAAGAAAACAGAAATACCAATCCCCTGTCGTCGAAGAAGGCAGGATCATTTCAACCCTAGAAACGCACCTCCTTCCCACGCACCCCCTCCTCTCTATGCCGTAGACCTGCATCTCAGAGGGCACCGAGTAGAATCCTTCAAGTTTGTATGGCACTGCCCCTTCGGCTGCAGCTAGTACCAAGGTTTCTTGTGCCATCGTCGACATCCCGAACCAAAGTAGAGGCCTCTCTCCTCAGCTCCAGCTCTCCTAGACCGGTGCTCTCTCTTTCCTACAAATACAAGTCTTGGCCGCTCCCCAATCTTCCTGCCCAGCCCCACACGACCGGCATCTTTCCGACGCAAGCGCAGCCCCCACCAAGAGCCTCGAGAGCTTGAAGACGGTTCCTGTCCACCTCCACCATAACTGCCCCTACAAGCCCCTTGCCTTCCAACGCAATTTCTCCGACAGCCCCCAATCGAATCGACAGCATCCGAGTGACCTCGGCGCAAACATTATGACGACCACCGACAAAGCTATTGCGCCTGAGACCGATGCCATCATGACCGGATCAGTGGCAACCGCGGCCCCAGACGTGGTCAATGATAATGGCAAGAGGGCTCGAAGCAACTCTCACGTATGTCTAGGGACACACTCTCTTACCCTGATGGGCGCATCCATCTCCGCCAAAATCACAGCTAAAGTACCACTGGTCGCAGGGGTCCAGGCGAAATCGTGAACTAGAAGGATAAGAATCGCTAACATGCCAATCAGGGTGCGGCCGGGAGCACGGGGAAGGAATTGAAACAAGGTATGCCTTACGCCGTTCTCGTCCTGGGGGCTGTTACTGAAACTAACCACCGTGGATTGTTTCCGCAGACGTGCAAGATGAAGACCTCCAGTTTACAGTGGATGTCAAGAGTACGCTCAAAAACCTACTCGACCAGGAGGATACGGATAACAACATGCAGATCACTACGGAGGATGAAGGGCCCAAGGTAGGCTATCGTCAAGTCACGTCCCCACTCCGCTTTGGGGGTTCAAGGAGAGGAGATACGGACGAATACTGATATATGCTTGGGGAACCAATTCAGGTCTTTGAACTGGTCACAACCGACGGAAGCAGCCACACTATTCATGGCAGTTACATGCTTTCGAACCTCCTCCAGGAGCTTACCATCGCCAGCGATGATGGAATCCAAGAACTCACCGTGGCCCTATCACGCCTCAATGAGAACCCCGTTCGGCGCCTGGAGCGCCGCATCGTCGAGGCTTTCTGGGACAAATTGACTCGGAGAATTGACGCCTCCACCGTGGAGATCGCCGCTGTCGACCCCAAGGACTGGACCGACGACCCGCGCCCGAGGATTTACGTGCCCCACGGTGAACCTAAGCAGTATGAATTTTACAAAAAGGTTGCCGAGGACAGGCCGGAGATTCGGCTCGATGTGCAGATGCTTCCCGAACTTATCAACCCCGAACTGCTCCGCGACCTCAGTCGAAAGCCCGGGCTGCTTGCCATTGCCATGGACGAAGTGACTGACCCCAAGACTGGGGAAGTGACACTGCAAGGAGTTCCATTCGTGGTCCCCGGCGGTAGATTCAACGAGTTCTATGGGTGGGACTCATACTTTGAAAGTCTCGGTCTACTGGAGAACGACCGCGTCGACCTCGCCAAGGGCATGGTTACCAATTTCTGCTTCTGCATAAAGCACTACGGCAAGATTCTCAACGCCACGCGATCATACTACCTGTGCCGATCGCAACCACCTTTCTTAACAGACATGACGCTGCGCGTGTATGAGAGAATCAAGGACGAGGAAGGCGCTAAGGAATGGCTGCGGACCGCGCTCCTTGCCGCCATCAAAGAATACTCGGCCATTTGGGCCGCGGAGCCCCGCCTAAACCCGGAAACCGGGCTTTCGCGATACCTCCCTGAGGGTCTCGGTGTTCCGATGGAAACGGAGCCGGGTCATTTCTCCCATGTTCTAACTCCGTATGCTGAGAAATATGGTATGACGTGCGAGGAATTTGCGGAAGCGTATACCTGGGGTAAAATCAAAGAGCCGGAACTTGATACATATTTCGAGCACGATCGGGGTTAGTCTTTTCTCTGGGTCTCCCGCCGTTTTCCTTCTCCTATTCCAAGTCCCCGGTGCTATCAAGCCCAGGCTAACATATAGACTACAGCCATTCGAGAATCGGGCCATGACACGAGCTACCGCCTGGAGAACCGATGCGCCAGCTTAGCGACCGTTGATCTCAATTGCCTTATCTATAAGTACGAGACGGATATTGCCAAAGCTATCCGCACCTACTTTGACGATAAGTTCACCGTGCCTGAAGAATACTGCGCGGGCACCATCCAACCAGGTGAGACGTTGACGTCGAGTATCTGGGAGGAAAAGGCAGAGAAGCGCAAGCAGGCGATACAAAAGTATCTCTGGGACGAAGAAAGCGGGTGGTTCTTCGACTACGACGTCGAAAAGAAGGAACGTACGGGCTACGAGAGTGCGACGGCGTTCTGGTCACTTTGGGCCGGTGTAGCGACGGCGGAGCAAGCGGCGGTCCTCGTAGAGAAGGCCTTGCCTAAGCTCGAGGCCTTTGGTGGACTGGTGTCGACGACAGAAGATTCGAGGGGAGAGTTGGGGCCAGATAGACAACAACGGCAGTGGGATTTCCCATTCGGCTGGGCTCCACAGCAGATGCTCGCGTGGGAAGGGCTCATACGGTATGGATATGAGGATGTGGCGGCGAGGCTGGCGTACCGCTGGCTGTACATGATGACCAAGGCCTTTAGAGACTATAATGGCGTGGTGGTGGAGAAGTACAACGTGACGCGTGAGCAAGACCCGCATCGAGTCGACGCCGAGTACGGCAACCAGGGATTGGACTTTCGGGGGTGGCAAAGGAAGGGTAAGGACAAGCCGTTTTCTTTTTCTCTTCTTTGTTTCTTTCCCATTCTCTCCGCCTCTTCTCTCTTCCTCTCTCTCTCCTACTTCACCTTAGCTTTGCCCCCTCATTCCTCCCCTCCTTCCTCACCACAGACTCTCTCAAGGCCATGAACTAACAGGCGATTTACAGATTTGGGTGGGTGAACGCTAGTTTCGTTGTCGGCTTGAAAGTAGTGGGCAAGGACCTGAGAAAGGGGCTGGAACAGTTGATACCCTATGAAAAGTACAAAGAAATGACCGCCGCGTCGTCGGCCTTGGACGTTGGGGATCAGTAAAGCTTGACAGACAGCGAGCTTTTGCAGTGAGGGCACGCTGATACTAAGAACACTTGGCTCTAGGCTCCACCGAAAAGAAAGGAAATTTTTATCTAAAGCAAATGCCATTGATATATGACCGGACCGAGGCACTCCACCTCCTGTCGCATTGAACTACTAGTAGCTTGAGGGTGCTTCGGCGCGGCGCGAGAAGAACAAGATAGCGTGTTCTGTACTCGTCCCAAGGGTGAATCTTGACCAGAAGCCTCAACTCCATTTTTGGTGATGGCAGGCGTGACCGGGGGTGTTGTGATGGCGTCAAACCCAAGTTTTTAATGCGTTACTTGGGTAGGAAGCTGATCAATAGATGCCGCGCGTGTTGCTGAAGCACCTGTCAATTTTCACGTCAGATCATTTACCTTTACCTTTGTGTGAGGGCCCATCGCCGACCCCCGCGTAACCTCAATTGATGAATTGTAATTTCCGGATTCGGAATCCGTTCATAGACGGCCGGGCACGCTTTCACATGGCATTTTCCCGCCGCCCCAAGGAATGTTCAGGGCAGGGAGGCGGTACCACCTCACCCGGCTCAAGCCGATGGTGGCCCGGGCCAAATTTTGGAGCGAGCCTGGCAGAGGAGCCCCCGCACGGGGTAGCAGCGTTAGTCGCGGCCCCTATCGAGTTAGAAGGGGGGTTTGGTCGATGGTTCAAGGTTCAAGGTTGCGACAAAAGGAGGGCTCGTGACCCTACAAATAAGCAGGCAACGGACATGTGGCAGCGTGTGGCGTGGACGCTTTTTGCGTGTTGTCTTGAAGGGCATTTTCCTGCACCCGCGTGTTTCCTAGTGACATCACATGTCAGGAATGTCCGGCCAGCCCATGTAACCCAGCACTGAGGCCTTCTCTCGTCTCTGGGCGGCGCGGCGGCGGCCTTATCGAACCTACGGAGGAGATTCGTATCTTTGCCTCGACTGCCTCTCGAGCTGGGAAGTACAGCCCCATGTATCAAGTACATTTCACGTAGAGTCGAATAACGGTGGTCATCCATTTTCCCATCCAAATTCCTCGCCATGTAAGAAAAACATGGTAGCCCACTTCCATCCAGCCGGCGCAGGCTTTTGGAGTCTTACTCCCAACACTGACTAGTCCGCGGTGTGGAGCAACTTCACGTCCATGGAGCCACGCAGCCCATTCGATGGCATGACTCAGCTCCCAATGGACCAAAGGAAATATCCAAACTCGATGAATCCTTGTTGGAGCCAAAACAGCCAACCAGCCCTGATCGCGCTTCGAAGGAGAGGCGTCATTGAGACGGGTGAGGGGAGGTAGCATGAGTTTAAAAGCCGACTGAGAGCCCACACATAAGATGCAGGGTCAATTAAAAAGTACAGAGACGTTTGCAAGATCTCGGAAACCGACGTAATTCCATGAACGAAACGCTCTTCCCTATGAGGGTGGGCGCGTCTCGACATTTTCTCGATAGATTCTCGGCTTCCCTTGCTATTCGGGCTGTGAGTGTGAAGGACAGACTGGGAAGAACACCCCCAATGTACATGGTCACTGGGGTGTGGGCTTGGCCTAAGTCATGTCACTAGGCTCCGGGAACACCCTCGTCATCTTTCCCCACCATTGGAGAAGGAAAAAAAAAAAAAAAAAGGTGACTAGAGGGGTGGAGGTTGCGAGCTCTCCAAATTTGTAGCCTCGGCCAAGGGGCCTAGCGGCCAAAACGCCTCGGCGCAGGTGTCGACTCATACCAAGGACCCTCGAGCTTGCCATGGCAAACCCGAAATGGGGTTGACACCGCCCTTGTCTGGATAGAACAATCTGAGTTGCACTGCGCGCACATGGCCCGCATTCAGCTCCATCTTTCCTGCGCCTCCCTTGAGCGGAAAGCAGTCTCGGCCGCCAGAGCTGGGAGGCAAGCAGCTGAGAGGGGCCTAGCCAAGAAGCTGATTCCATTTTTTGTGTCTTTATTCCTCTATATCTGTTCCTTGGGTCGTGTCCGAGCATTTCAAGGGAAAAGAAGCAGAAGAAAAACAAAGAAGACTTGGTGTAAGGACGCCAAAGCACCATCAACAAGATGTTGGTTGATGTGGGGGATTTCGTCAATGACATTGACCATTGATGATCTCCAGGACAGGGGCACATACAGCAACTCCATACCTCCTGCTATCTCTCGAGATCTCCTCTCCCTAAACGCCGAGCGGTCTCTCGGTCGTAAACAATAAAGAAGAGGGAAAGAAAAAGACGGGAAATTTGGAAAATGGCAGCAACGACAGAGACTATGCGACATCAAGAATCCTTCGTGACTTTTTCTTCTTTTTTTTTGGCGGCTTTAAGCTTCCCTCCCGAGGTTGTGGGGTACCTGGCAGCGAGTTGCTGCCGGTGGGACGGAAGAGGAAAGGCAGCAGATGCCCATATTGACCCAGGGATGGATCTATGATTGCCTTGGCCATAGCACTCGGCCATGCCATCCCAGCTCGATCACACAACCAATTGGCCCGCCATCGGTCGTGGGGACTGACTTCATCGCCTGGTACTTGTGCCTTGTACCCCGCCGTCCGGTTTCCTCCCTCCCCGGAAGGGACTGGAAGAAAAGAACAGGTATCGGTGTACTTCGGCGGACAGGTGAGACGGACGCATCTGACTGGTCGGCAACCTCGAGGGTTTTCGAGGGGCTCGAAAAGTAATTGGAGCCACCAGCAAAGCTAATGCCCGTTTTGGGGGCGCAATGTACCGACTGGTGGGCTCCGGTTTTCTTCCCACACGGAACTTGAACCTAGCGCTTGTATCTGGGAGAGAACGCCGCCCCCATTTCGAGAATCCCGTTGGGCCGACTGGGCCGAGGAAGCTGGATGATGAGTCTTTCGAGGATGTGGGTGTAAGTCTTATGACGATGTGCTCTAGTTTTCTGATTTAACGTTTTGCTTGTCTCGCGTGAAGATAATCCTCTGTTTCCCTTTTCTTCCCCTTTCTCTCTCTCTCTCTTTCCTATCTTTCCCTAGTCCAGTCCCCTTTTTTTTGGAATCTCTTCTCACATCGGGAGTCTCAAGATCTTTTTCATCTTTTTCCCTTGGCTTGTGATAATCTCTTGTAAGCCGCAGGTACATCTTGCATCATAGCCGTGTTGCGTTCCTGATACCGCTCTCTTCTATCCCCTTGATCATCGCTGTATATTTTCAAAAAGAGCCTACGACTTATTAGACATTCTTTTCTCTTCTTCTCATCATGGCTGCCAACAACATGGTTAACCCTCCCACCGACGCTGAGCTCGAGGATAAGATCTTCGCTCAGGAAGTCGAGCAGGTCAAGCAGTGGTGGAGCGATGCGCGATGGCGGTACACCAAGCGCCCCTTTACCGCGGAACAGATTGTCTCCAAGCGCGGCAACCTCCCCATTCAGTATCCTGGAAACCAGCAGTCTAAGAAGCTGTGGGGGATCCTTGAGAACCGCTTCCAGGTATGCTAATCCATTGCTCCTTTCCCACTACCGCCGCCAGGCTGGGCAGGTGTCCTAGAGATGCTCCCAGGTACTAGAAAATAGGGAAAACGGGCGAGACCAAAATGGAAATAGTCGCACCGACTTTGCTAACCTTTCCCCTCGGGTCCTTTTTCGCAGAGCCGTGATGCCAGCTACACCTATGGTTGTCTCGACCCCACCATGGTCACTCAAATGGCCAAGTACCTAGACACCGTCTATGTGTCCGGATGGCAGTCCTCGTCCACCGCCTCGTCGACCGATGAGCCCGGCCCCGATTTGGCCGATTACCCCTATGTGAGTTTCCTCTTCTGCAGGCTCTCTCGCATGTCGGTGCAAGCAAAATCATTGCCCTAGGGAGCCAGCCTATTCTTTCTCGAGTGCCAAACCAAGAATCAAAAGTCTAACATTGTGATTACCTTGCCCCTAGACTACTGTTCCCAACAAGGTTGGCCACCTCTTCATGGCCCAGCTCTTCCACGACCGAAAGCAGCGCCAGGAGCGCCTTGCCACGCCCAAGGAAAAGCGATCCGCCGTTGCCAATATCGACTACCTCCGTCCCATCATCGCCGATGCCGATACTGGACATGGCGGCCTTACCGCCGTCATGAAGCTCACCAAGCTTTTCGTTGAGAAGGGTGCCGCCGGTATCCACATCGAGGACCAGGCTCCCGGAACGAAGAAGTGCGGCCACATGGCCGGAAAGGTTCTTGTGCCCATTAGCGAGCACATCAACCGTCTCGTTGCCATCCGAGCTCAGGCCGATATCATGGGTATGTTTTCTTTTCGGGCCCGTCCGCCACTCCCAATTCCTGGTTGAACAAGGCTTCAGTGCCTTAATGGGAACGAGGTCACACCCTCTGGAACTTGAAACCCCATTTTCGCTAACCTCATCTTGCGCCCGTTCCAACAGGTTCCGATCTTGTCCTCGTTTGCCGAACTGATGCCGAGGCCGCCACCCTCATCTCCACCAGCATCGACCCCCGTGACCATGCTTTCATCGTCGGTACTACTAATGCCTCGCTTCAGCCTCTTTCCGATGTCATGGCTGCCGCTGAGCAGTCTGGAAAGACCGGCGCGCAGCTTCAGGCTGTTGAGGATGCCTGGATTTCCGAGGCCAGGCTAAAGACCTTTGATGAAGCCGTTGTTGAGGCCATCAACGCCAGCCAGGTCAGCGACAAGAAGGGAGCGATCTCCCAATACCTCGCCCAGGCGAAGGGCAAGGGCAACGGTGAGGCGCGACAGATTGCCAAGCGCGTGGCTGGCCTCGACCTCTACTTCAACTGGGACGTCCCCAGGACGAGGGAGGGTTACTACAGGCTCAAGGGTGGCTGTGAGTGCTCTGTAAACAGGGCTATCGCTTATGCGCCTTACTGCGACGCCATCTGGATGGAGAGCAAGCTTCCCGACTATTCCCAGGCCGAGGAGTTTGCCAAGGGCGTCCACGCGAAGTGGCCTGAAATGAAGTGAGTCTTTTTCCCTTTTCCATTTTCCCTCTTCGGGCGGGGGAGGTTTCACTCTCCTCTTTTCCCCAAGGAAGAAAAGGGGTCTTAAGTGTTGCGGACCCCAAAAGAAACCAAGTTTTGTGCCCTGGAAAAAAGGTGTGATGCTAATCTTGTTTGTTCTACATCAGACTCGCCTACAACCTTTCACCCTCTTTCAACTGGAAGACCGCCATGCCCCGTAACGAGCAGGAGACGTACATTCGCCGCCTCGCCAAGCTCGGTTACTGCTGGCAGTTCATCACTCTCGCTGGCCTCCACACCACAGCCCTCATCAGCGATCAGTTTGCCAAGGCCTACAGCAAGGTTGGCATGAGGGCCTATGGCGAGCTTGTCCAAGAGCCGGAGATGGAGACTGGCGTTGACGTAGTCAAGCACCAAAAGTGGAGCGGTGCTACTTACGTTGACGAGCTCCAGAAGATGATCACTGGCGGCGTCAGCAGCACCGCGGCGATGGGTGCTGGTGTCACGGAAGATCAGTTCAAATAAAGGCCTCGGCGTTTGGCCGTGAGCATATCCGAGGTCATGCGCAGATGCCATACTGCACTGAGGGCCTAGCAACAGAGCCCAGGTCTAGCACCTGCGGCATCGTTTCGGTGGTTTCGTCGTCATGCTCTTCTTTTGAGCTGCGCTTGCCTTTTGGGAAGAAAAACGGCGAGATTGCGAGGCTTGGCGAGGGCCTGTCGCCTTTTGTTTTATTCCAATTTCCCTTTGTCTTTTTCTGATATCTATCTCTTTGGTCTGCTTGCACATCTTTTTGCGAATTACACAATGATGTTAGTACTGTTATGTACATGGATGAAAATAGATCGCATCAATCGTGCTATCAGTGTTGATAGAAAAAGCTTTTATATACCATATTGTGAGGTATTTCTCACTATAGCATCTACCAATACCATACCAATGAACCAGGCAGAAATCTCGCAGTTTGAAGCGCAAATTATCATCACGAGGCAGCGGCTGGCTGAGGTCGATGCATGGATTCACATACCTGAAATGTCCCAATGGCAAGAAGTCACGTGTATGAGAGGAGGTGACGGACTCCGTTCAATTGACGTTGTCGATGAGATGAGCCAAGGCATGTATGCTTGTAACTCCTTACAAAGAACTCTTCTCCAGGAGCTCTCACCCCATTGATCAGGACTCTAATAGCCCCAGGATGATCCAATCCCTACAATACACGCCCCTTTCCGAGTGTCCCTGAATCGTGAATCGACATAGCTGGAACACAACTACTCTGCTTGAGGGACCTTCGGCCCATCATTAGGTGTGTCCGTGTGAGTTCCTGATGGCGGGGCATTTTATCTGAGGTCTCCCATGTTCCTCCGCATTTTTGTTCGAAGACACATAATTCAAAAGGGGGACACCAGGCGTAATCAAGGGCAGAAGCCGGGGATTAGCATAGTTCACCAGCAACCTCCCGTTTTGGTGCACCACGCCAACTCTTGTTTCAACTTGAGGTGGCATACCTCACCCTTCTCCATATGACCTCCTCCATTAACCCCGCTCGCCTTGGCTTCCTCGCCATCTATAATCCATCGCTGAGCTCGAAATCTTCCGAGGATGACGATTCCCTCGCTGATCAGATAGTTTATTATGCCTCGGTAACTACACAAGCCCGGCGCGGCGCCGCCGGGGTAAGGGAAAGGGCCGTCGAGGGCGCTCCCGTCTGAGTGAAGACGTGTCCCAGCACGAGCGTCACGAGCGCCTACGTCAGATTGGCCTGGCGCAAGGCATGGTCGAGTTTGCACGGGGATTTTCCGCTGGTGACTCGGTGGATCTGATCGAGACGGAGAGGACGAGGGTCGTGCTACACGAAATCGAGCCTGGCTGGTGGATCTTGAGCGTACGTTTATACTTGTTCCGTCTTATCCCTCATTCGACTATCCGTCTATCATCTTCCCCCTCATTTCCACCTCTATGTCCATATCAATCCAGGCCTTTCTTTCTGCCCGACCTCAATCTCTGATTTAGCGCTCTGCTATTGAAAGACTTTTCTTGTAGCCCCCAATCATCGTTGATGGGGAGCGTAGTAAAGAAGCGTCTGCAGCGCTAACCGTATGTTATCCAGTCAATTGACTTGACCCGAGTGCCCTTGCCTCCCAAACTACCTACCGGTTCTTCACCATCGCAGGGCGAGGATATTGTCGAGTACTCCACAAAGGAAGTAAAGCCCGCCGCCCTTCTAATCCATGATCTTGTACGCGCTCATACCCTCTTTCTCCTGCATCACGACGTGTCTCTCTCTGGACTCTTCAAGAGGCTGGGGAGAAGGCGGTTTGTCTCTGTCCTCGCCAAGTACTGGGATTTATTTCTGTCAACTTGGAGCGTTATTATGCACGGCAATCCCATCCGGAGTGTCCTTGGAGGTGTCAATGTTGCGGCATCCGGTGAGCTGGGGATCGGCGTAGGGGAAGAAGATCGCGGAAGCGGTGAGCGGGAGGTGTTGGAGGGGTTGGTCGGAAGGATAGATGGGCTGGTTGACCTTGTCGTTGCCAGGTTCGGTGAAGCTGAAGATGTAGATGGCGGCGGCAACATCGAGAGGGATCTTGGAGAGGGAACTGGCGCCGCCTGGCTGGGGACAGGTCAGGATCCCGGGTCCGAAGATGGCGCCATATTTCTCGGCGTAGGTGCGTTGACGACGCGGTCATTGAGAGACGTGGTATACTGGACCGAGGACCTTTACATGTGGGGGAGAACGCGTACGGGGTCATCGGCGCCCCTTCAGCTCCCCAGTTCAGCAAGAGTCGAGGGGTGCTCTCAAAGGTGTCTTCCAGTCACGACGAGCCTGTAAATCCCTCGCCTCAGCCTGTTCCCCTTGCCCTGCCGGTGGATAACGATGGGAAACAAGGAGCGAAGCCCACCGCCATCCCACCCAACGAAGGAGAGGAGGTGAATGCTAGCCCGGCAGAAGCGACTCTACCAACTTCTGATACCGCACCGGGGATAAGCGAATCAATACCGGCAGAATCGCACCCGGATGACCAAGAAATGGAACGAAACATGGACAAATTTGTCAACATGCTCAAGCTGGGCTACGGAACGTACTGGTCCCTTGGAGGGGGGCTGAGAGCAAACCTAGCAGTCCCGTACCTCCTGCAGGACACTCCGCGAGCGGTGGCCGCAAATCCTTTGCAAGCGGTACTAAAGCCCCAATGGGCGAAGCGGAGGGCTACTTCCTCATAGGTCTCAAGGGCACCATCGAAGAACAAGCTCCGGCTAGCTCGTCGTCCTCGGAAGAAGAGTCTGCCTCGGAGGAGTCGGCCACGCATACGCGCACGCTGCACGTCTCGCTAGCCGCATCTACCGCTAGCGGCGCACCCGGCCAGGATGTTGCCCTCCGTGCCGTCGTCTACGTGAATAAGCCGTTCATCTTCACCTTCCTATTTGACCAAGAGACCCCCTCCCTCTCGAGCGAGACCCTATACCGCTCGCTGCACTACCAGCTTTCGCCGCTACGGAGGCACTTGTTGCTTTCCACTCGCTATAGGGCCCCTCGCCCCATGGACCTCGCAGGCGCTTCAACCTCGCCCGCTTCCTCCCGCGATGCACGATCTAGTCTGGGACCGCGGCCCGAATCTCGTTTATTCAACCATTCCAAACATTCCCGCCGGCCAGCCCTCCCTTTGGACCCGCGCCGAGGCCGTCGCGACCCACACCCATCTCCTCGCAGTCTTCGCCTCCCGGCGGGCCCGCGATACAGAAAAGACTCTCAAGACGAACAAAGGCTGGTGGATTGTCTGGAGTAGTGTGTCCTCCAACCACGCGAATTCTTCGGGCGGGAAGCAGCGGACATCCTCGCCACGCTCATCATCGTCACTGGACGACGACCAAGGTGATGGCTCGGCCAGAGGAGGAGACAACGAGGACAAGGAAGTCATTCTGTTACGGCGGGCTGGCGATCACGCCGTCCGGTCATTTAGCGTCCCGGGACGAGACAGCACGGCGAGACTAGCCCAAGGTATCGGCCTCGATACAAGGGGCTACGTTGAGACCCTGCTTAGTTTAGGTAGGTAAGCTGGCCAGCTAATTGGCGAATACTCTGCTAGCTCCATCTCTTCTCTGATCTTCTCCGTTCCCAATAAGTCAACACCCCACCCGTTTTCATCCATCACTTCTCGCCTTGCGAGGCTCGTGATGGCCGCTCTAGCAAGCCTCGGGCCGGGGATGCGGCGTTGCCTGCGACGGTGCCAGCACCCCGAGCGCGGCCCTACGACAATAGGAAGACACCTTTACAAACAGAAGGCTACGTTCCTTGCAGCTTGCCACTACTCTTCCAGGGTGGCATGGTGAGAGACCACAATTCTAGCTCCATGAATTGGTCAACCCGGTTCATGATCTAGTGGAGTAGGAGACCAAAGAGCTACCAGTCCCCTATTAAGTGAAGTGGTCACAAAATATAAGCACGGTCAATGAGGGATCGAGAATGTGTGGCAAGAATGTCTCTGCGAACAGTACGACAAGCCTGGGTACAACATTGAAGACCCTTTTGCTTCGCCAGACGCCATCCCCAAACCGCCATTCTATGAGTATGTACAAGAAATATGGCGAAGGTCGTCTATATGCCCACTATAACATTCCCTTATACTCCGTGTTGACGTATTTTTACGTTGCATGCTCAGCAGCTCGACCTTTCCCCTCCCCTCCCCGGCCATAGACTGCATAATTCCATCAGCAAGCAACTAGACTAGGTACGCGGCCCTAGAAGCGAATGCCCATATTGCATCATCATTCCATATCCCAGACCCGAAGCGAAGGCGAAAAGAAAAAGAAAAAGAACAGAGCTTCAAAGGAAGGAAGCAAGGTTCAATGAAAAAGAAGATCAAACGGGGAAATGTGGGTGATGTAGAAAATCAAGCACCACGAAAGAGCATCTTGGAGACTTCGAAACTATCGACATTCCCAGAGCTTAGAACGATGGAAGGGCACGCATAACACGAAGACGTGCACCTAAGGTGCTCGCCTTGGATCAAGAGATGAAGAAATAGCCTCCAGACAACGAGTGAGCAGGCTGCCCGTTTGTTGGAATTAAACATCTCGTGCCTAGTTGAATTGCCACTGAACGGCTCCTCGGCCAACGCCGAGGCTACCAAAGAGATCCGTAAAGAGCTTCTTCGTGCCATCAATATGGCCCGGCGCGCAGTCGCCACATTTGTCTCGGATAGTGGCGATCGCACTCGCTCCGTTAGGGGCGGTGATGGTTACGGTCCTTCCGCAGTAAGGATTGTCGTTAGAACGTTCGCCCATAACCTCGGCGGAAAGGGCGATGTAGTACTCGGACTCGTCCTTGCCCGCGTCATTCCAGCCGCAGGCGCCGATCCCCAGGATGAACCAAGTCAATTCGCCGTTGACCAGGTCGGAAGACCCTCCATTAGACGCTGAGGAGCCGCCCTGAGGTTGCGCCTCGGGAACAACCTGGGGGATAGAGGCGGGCGAGGCAGCGGCCGGGGCAGGGGCGGGAATGATAGCCTCGGGAGTGTGCTCAGGAGGGTTGACGACAGGCTGGGGAGCAGGATCGGCGGCAACTGTGGGTTGGGGGACTATCCTGCTGAGCCGGGGTCTCGAAAACTGGGCATCCTTGCGGGTTTCGGTGTCGGCCTCGTCACTCCCATCATTGGCCAGGCTAGGCTGGCCTTTGATGGTGATGGTAGTCGTTGCATCCACATACTCAGTCTGAGTAATCCAGGCGGTTTCGATTACCCATTCGGTATGGATGGCACGCTTTTCGACAATGTTGACGGCATCCTTGGGAACGTGACGACGATGATGATTGACATGACTAGGATGCGCAAGGACCGCGGTGGCAAAGGCCGTGGTGATCATGAAGGTAAGTTTCATGGTGAAAGATGGTATCCTGGGATAGACTAAAAGACTGTGTAGTTTGTGGGGCGATTGCTAGGTGGGTTCGGAAGATCGCCAACGGTCCGCGGGCTCTTGTTCAGCACGATTGTGGAATAAAAAACGAAAAGAAGCGGCAGAGTGTAGATGCTGCGCTGATATCAATGGTTGGTCGGCGATTGGGTGTCAAGGAGTGACTTCTGAGATCCTTACGAAGGAGGAAGAGATAGATGTTCGAGAGAGCCCGTCTCCAAAACCAAAAGAATGGATGAGTCGAAAGACTGGGAAGAAGAAGAAAAAAAGAGCGTCACGGATCACAGGTCGTGGGCAGGAAAAGAAAGAAGGAATATGGGTGAAGAGAAAATAAGAAGGAGCACGTTGGACGTATCATGAAAACGGGGTTGGACAGGGTATTAAAGAGTCACCCTCCACTCCACTCGGCGAGGAGGATGAAGGGGAGGGGGTGGATGGACCTGCCGTCCCTGGCTCGGGCTTGGGCTAGCAACCGAACACCACAACACCACACGAATGATAGAGCGACAGGCTTGACAGGGGGTGAAAACGTGGCCCACCTCCTTGGGTGACAGGTATTATTAGATGCAGGGAGAGAAAAGATTCCGATCAGGTACCCTCTTATTACCAAGGGGGAACATTGAACCTCGCAATGTGTGATTGATGCAAATTTAGCAACATCGCATCCCGCTGAAGGTGGCAGCCGGACACTTCTAGCCGCATTCAACCCGGGTCCACCTCTTTCTCTTCTGGAAACCCGTCGTGAACAACACAGAGTGGCGTACCGATAATTGCCGTCTAATCCTTCCTATTCGCCGGGAGGATCATTCGGGGGAAGCCTACAACATCCAGTGTCCGTGTGTATGCAATCCGGTTTCCCTCAAGAATTGCTCAACAGCAAGCCGCAGCCGTCACCAACTCATAGTGTAGATGAAGTTCAGGCACCCATGGCCAGCCCAGGGGGTTTTGGGGCACAAGGGCGGGGGTGGGTCCGGCAAGGGGCTTTTGTTTTTGTTTCCTCCGCTCGAGGGAATGGCGATTGGCTAGCCAGGTGAAGGCCAGCCATGAAACATGCCAACTCGGTTGACGAAGGAGGCCTGGACTAACTCTCAATCGGGCAAAAGAAAAGAAAAGAATGAAGGGAAAACAAAAACCGAAGGGGGAAAAGCAGCCATGTTTTCATATTCAATCAATAAATCCTTCACTCCCCACCCAATCTCTCCGAGGATATGTATTGAGTATTCAAGCGCAAGGTACCGAGGTACGCAGAGTTCCAGATGCCAATGATTAGGGAGTTCCTCAGAGAATAATCACGGACCTGATATTGACCGCTTCAGGGCGGTTCATCCTAGAGGGATGTTGAACTCAGAGGCCAACCATCAATTGATCCAATGGATCAATTTATCCTGGATCCAGATCCTTCCATTTTTTGAGGCTTAGTGCCAAGGGAACCCCGCCACCACATGGTTTCCAGCACAAGTGTCTCCACTTTCCGTTTCTCGCTTGCCGTGCGCAGTTGCTGATGCCAGTTGATCCAATCATGTTTCCGTGCCTGGGCTGTGCCTGGGCTGTTCCTGGACCCGCTTCTGGGCGCTGTCAACGGTGAAGAGTGAAAAATCAATTTATCGGGATACCGGCGCCGTGAGGGAATATCACTATTACCGTTCTTCCGAACCTCTTCCACTCGCCAAAACACTGGACAGCATCTGAAGTCAGAAGCGCCAGATGTACCTAGGTACAACAGATGAACGAGCCTGCAGTCATGGGTGAAAGAGGAACACCAAAGACTGTCAACTGTCAATCACGACATGTACAAAGGAATAATCAGTGCGTTTTGTACCTCGGTACCAACTTAACCCCTAAACTTCAAACTATTCATCACACTCCCTCAAGGGCAGGGAGAGACGAGAGCAAAGGCAACCCATGCGGTATTAGAATATGACCCTGATACTGGGCCACACAGAGAAAGAGGGGGATGGAATAAAAATAAAGAAGAAGAAAACGGAAAAGGAGGGGAGGGGGAAAAAGGAGAAAGAAAGCGGCAGGTATTAAGATTCGGCAACCGGCAACATCCCCAATCCAGCTCAACCAACCAATGTCGGCCCAGCAATTTCTTAAGCCCGTTTTATCCATCGCCCAACCGAACAACCTTATGGCACCCGGCAGACTGAGCCAGTGAGCCTTGTGTTAATATACTCCATCATCAGGCACATTTACCCATCGCCCCTTCATCTCTCTTCCCCGTCAGTCAGGGGTACGGGCGTCTTTTCTTCTTCATCGATGCCGCCCTCGCCCTCGCCTTGTTCCCGCGTACCCATTGAAAACAGCCCCAGTGGCAAGGAGGTGGCCCAGGCATGAATTTGGCTGGGAGGTTTCGGTCCTTTCTCATCATGGCCTGTCGGCTTCCCGTTTCACCGCTAGCCGCAGTGTTGTCGTTGTTCACGACTAAAGAAGGCGATTGAGAAGAAACCACGGCCCAAAGGAAAACAGTCCCACGCCACCGAAGGGAAGGGAAACCATAGATCCTTCTCATGTTTTCCAACCCCCAACCTCCCTAGATAAGAAGAAGTCCGCTCAGTGGGGCCATTTCTACTGGCGGCTCGAAAACCCAATATTCGAGGGTTTCCAAGTGGAACAAGAAAACCTCGAGTAGCCTAGCTACGGTCATTCGGAGCTCTATTGGTTGGGTGCTGGTCTTTCCATTATTAGTCCTCGAAAGAGTCGTATTAGCCTTCGTGTTAGCAACGATCTGCTTCAAGACACAGCTGTCCGTGCAAGTGCAGTGACTGCCAGCCACTGGGTAGGCTTGCTCTCTCATCCTCTTGAGCATCCTCGTGCTGGCATGCATGGAAACAAGCCGTGACATGCTGGGGTATAGCCTGTCTCATCCCGTAACTTGGACATCATCTTCATTCATACCCAGTTGCCAGGCAATATAAACCCCAGGGCTAATCAGCTGCATTACCAAGCCTCAGTGATCCGATAATCCCCTCCCCCGCGGACCAAGATCCTGTGATGTGATGATCGCCGCTGTCGATCATGGCAAAGGGTAAGGCTGAGTGCCCCACTCTGTTGTCGTACTTTTTAACGTCGGGATGTTTGCCAGCTGCGGTACCAACTCCATTGCCACGCAGATCTCAGATTTCGCAGGCTTGGCAGGCAATTATATCGCCAGAATTTCACGATGATGATGTTGCATGCAAGGTCGAGGGACATCTCAACGAATCTGATATACAGGTAGTTACGGTTACGTTCATGTCTTCACTCCAAGTTCCACACCAAAAGGGATTTTCACAATATCATTCAATTAACTCAAGGGTCTCGCTTTGTTCTCTATGGTATAGAGGAATATATTCTCTCTACAGAAGACGTCACGCTCATCATCCTCCACTTCAGTAACTTTGAACATCCTCATGGCTTTTGAGAGAAAGTGCGTGTCCGCTCGGCGCCTCTTCTTGAAGCAGAAGTAAATTGTAGTAGATGGGCTAAGCTCGAGGAGGTCGGTAAGAGTTTTGAGGAGGAGAGGGAAAGCTGGTTCGTAATATACGCAATCAGCGGCCAGCACGATAGTCGGACTAAGATCTCGAATATCTTTGCTAAGTGATTCTCCCCTGCAAACGCGAATTCCCGCTACCATATTAGCAATTGCATATAACATGGAAGGAAAGGGAGAGAGGAGCAGGCGACTGAGAGTACAAGCTCACGGCGGCGTCCAAGCTACAGGCGCCATTGTTTCACGCAGTACGCAAAGAACGTGATGCGTAATAAATCTCAGGTTGGGAGACACCAGCACGTCGGATAGCTTTGGCGAAAGCTTCTACTCAACATACCAGTTTAAAATCCTAGCTCGAGCTTTTTTTCTAACTCGTTTAGCTGTATATTGTGTTCCATCAAGGGATACATCTCGGCCTGGTCCGTCACATAGACAGGATGCGCAACAGAGCAGCCGAGGGCAACAGCAAGGCCTACGAGACCACCGCCTGCGCCAAGTTCCAAACTGTCGTCATGTATGAGATAGTATTAGCTTGCTAACCATCGATGAGGGAGGAACGGAAGGCTATTTTTATTTTATTTTCTCTCTCCTTGCTTTTGCTTTTTCTTTTTGCTTTTGGGGGAGGTGGGTGGGCGGTGGGGTGGGAATCATTCGGATAGGTACCCCCATTTCATTACACCAGCCTTGTCGAGTTAAGATCGGCGACCCGCTTGGACGAATGGCGGCCCTTGGGATAACGACTTACATTCTCTCATCCTCAAAATCTTCGCGGTGATACTTGAAAATGTGTTTAGCGAGAACCATTCCTGCTAGCCATGTCTGACCCCCACAGCCCGAACTGAGATCCTCTCGTAGCTTCAAAGGAGGCGAAAGGAGAGAGTCGATGTCCACCGTAGCGGTGGCGGCTTCTTTGTAAACCGGGAGAGGTACGTAGGCTTGGCCGATGTCAAGAGGTGAAAGCTCAGGTGTGCTCTCCTAAGTATCGCTCCCATTTCAGCCATACCTACATTCAACTTGGACGCGAGGCTTGTAAATGTAGGAGTCGTCTTGCCACAACGGTACCGCGAAACGGTTCCCCGAGCTGCCGCAGAAAGCGATAGGGCACTGATCAAAAGAATGGCAGTAATGGCAGATGTCCATAAAGCGACGATTATGACTTCTCGTAAAGGTCGATAACTTCCATCCGACAAGGCTGGGCGTGGTAATTGCAGCAGCAGACACACACCTTTCGGAAGAATAGGTAAATTCTTTGACCAGACTCTCAAAATCGGTTTCTTGCCCACTGACCTGAATGGGGAAGGTTCAATTTTTTTTTGGAGCCGAAAGAAACCCCTCACCCCCACACGTGCCCCCAACCCCACACCCTACCTACCACATAATCGTGGCACGATTACGGTTTAATGTCGGCAGCCCGATTGGCTTTGGATCTCAAGAAGGGGTTCCACTGAAGGTTCCAAGGTTCCAAGGCTCCAAGACTCCAAGGCTCCAAATCGACTTCCTTGCCCACTCCACTGGCCTTGCGCAGGCCTTGCCTCTCATAGACCGTGACCTGTAAACTATTAATAATGGCAGATCAAATCTTGCTGCATCTTGGATGGATCCATTTCCAGCATTATTAGTCGGCTCCTCCTGCGACCTACACGCCTGTCGACCCCCTGCTCGGCTGCCTGTCTATGGCTATGTCTTGCTCCTCAGAACTTGAGTGTCAGCTGCTCTTCACAACCTAACCTAGGTGACGCGGAGAAAGGGTTTGGGTGAAGATCCACTGCCTCTCTTGAAATTGAAAAGGAAAGCAATTTTTTATTAAAAATAGAGGGGACAAAAAGGATTGAGGCGCTTGACTTTCAGTCTCATGTAGCACGTCCCTTAATTCTATCTTCCGAGTATAGGGTGCCATGGATGTGTTGCCAGCTACTTCCTCGCGGGGTGAACCTTATATACATGGCTTAGCGGCTTGTCAGGCCCCCGAAAGCATCATATGCCGCGCAGTACAGTATTATCTCGTTGATCTAACGGGACGTAACGCTCCTTCAGTACTTCTGCAGCAGACTTGGCTGGTACGTGGCCCCCTCATAACGCTGCTTCAATGCCTTCTTGATGTCTGATTCGGGTAGGTCCACCTCTTGCACAGCAGCCTCGGTCCCTTGCAACCTGCCACTCACCAAGCCCCTCGCATCTTTGAGGACATCCTTCCCCTTTGAGAGACCCTCCTCGAGGGCAGACAATACTCCTGATTTTATCTGAGAGGCTTGGTCATACACGTCTGCTTTAGCCTGAGAAGGAGTTTCTTTTACGCCCTCATTGACGAATAGGCCACCGACTCTATCCTCAAGCCTCTCTCTCGCTTGTCCCCAGTCGGCGGTCTGAAGCCATCGGACGGCTCCTTCTAGTTCGGAATTCCATCTATCCTTTGCGCTATCAACGAGATTCGCTCTCGAAGCTGCTGCAAGCTCTGCGCGGGTTAGGCGTAGTGGAGCTAACGGCCTATCCGTCGTGGAGTCGAGTGTCCGCGACTGTTGCTGGACAAGAAGCGATTGTGCCTCACGGGAACGTTGGTGCGCTACAGTACTAAGATATGTGATAGCGAGAGTGAGCGTAAGGCCACCAGTCTATTCCGATAGAGAAAGAAGTCTGAGGGTCAGCCACGCGCCGGGGCCACGCTGCGGGGAGGCAGAGGTGCTTACGAAACCTGCGGCGAAACCCATCCTGAGTAAGGAGTCGGGGAAGCTGTATGACGAAAGGGTTCTAGAAAAGCCTAGTAACACGACGTTGGCCGAATATTCAGCTTCTGCCCTCTCTAGGAGCTAATCGCCTTAAGTTCGGACTTCGACGTTGAAGAAAACGTGAAAACTTAAAAAACTTGACGATGCCTTGACATGCTATCTCACTTTGTATCGAACGAAGAGGCTGCAGATCTCATGTCCGTGGTGTGGCTGTCAAAGTGAGTGTGGTCACAGCGTGTTGGTGATCACGTGAGATTAGTTGAACCTACAAGTAGACATTAGGTTATCATGGTGGTAGATCACCCTGATATAATATAGAAGGGTAGTGATCTCCTTGATCAGCTCTGAAAATTAGCTTCTAGTGAAGCTGTCTTTCGTCAAATTTAGGTTAATATCTATCTTCATTGTCAAAGGTAAGGTGTGGTTAGGATTCACTTCACCTGTTCATGTAATGGTGAAAGATTGGAATAGGTGATTGGGATCTTAATAATGACTAAGCCATATTATGCGCGAAGCTTCCCTAGCTAATTTTTGAACAGAATTCTCTTCCATATTTGCCAACATCAAGGTCCTTCCCTCAGCCAAACGAAACAAGCTTTCCTTCCCACAACAATCAACCATGGCTGGTGGACTGGTGAGATACCGGCATCTCAGTCGGAAATCGGCTGCGAGGAAGGCTCTCCTTCGCAGTCAAGTAACCGCGCTGGTTTTACACGAACATATTCAAACCACATACGCCAAAGCAAAGGAGTCGCAAAGGCTCGCCGAAAAGCTGATCACCTTAGCGAAGCGAGATACCGTGACGAGCAGGAAAAAGGTCCAGGGGATGCTTTATGTATGGTCCTTCCATCTCTTAAACACTGTTGCGTTGATCACCCTCAACAAACCTCTTGTTTGTTCGATCATGAAACGGGCGAGGATTGGAAACGGGGCGTAGTTTTTCTTCTTGGACAACCAATTTCTGACTAACTCTGTGGATTTAGACCCCCATACTCTACTGCCTCGAGTCTTTGGTGAGCTCGCGAGCCGTTACAAAACCGCGCTGGCGGCTACACCCGTGTAACGCGAACGGAGCCTGCCAATGTGTACGACCAAGCAGAATATGCCATTCTCGAATTCGTCGATGGGCCCCGCGATTCTCGATTCATGATGACCGCTATGGCGGTAGCCCGCGACCAGGCCCGGGGTGTTGAGTCTAGCGATATCACCATGATGAACGTTGAGAAGGTCACAAGGTACAGGGGCCAGGACGTTTTTGAAAATATGGTGAAGAGGCTAAAGAGAAGATGGGGCAGCACGCTCGCAGAAAATTGGCAAGCAGACCCACCACATGTTGCAGCCAAAAAATAGGCAAAGAAAAGCCGCAATGGGGCAAGGAGCAGAGATATCCAGGAGCAAAGCCAGGCCAATTAAGTGTATATGTACTATCTTGTAAGAACATGCATCGCAACAGAGCAGTAAAGATTATGGGGGACTCTAAAACTCTAAGATTAAACCGCCTCATGCTCTCCAATCAGAAATCTGATGGAGATGGAGGGTTTTGCAATATTGCGTTGCCGAAATTCTAGTAGTTCGTTATCAAGAGCAACTACATCAATGCTCTTTTGCATCTACATGAAATCGAACGTGTCCCCCTTTCCGTTAACATCTTGCGGGTTCTCTGCGTTCCCACTACTCGCTCGAGCTTTAACGCATCATATTTTGAGAACAGAACACGAACAAATTCCTCTCCGGATGCTAGTAACATATCACGCGCACTCCGGGCGAGGTATCCTCCAGCAATCTCACGATAGAACACCGGGTTTTCTGGGAGCGCATACATGATAACGCTTCTCACCCCTTTGATCTGGTTGCGGCGAAAGTGATGTGCTCGCTCAGTGTACAAGAGAACCCGATGTCGCCCAGTAAGAAAATGCGATCTCGCCCGGGACGCCTCAGGGACCTCAGTATACTCAGAGATCGCACCAAACGTGACGTTCGCGAGTGCGGGAGACGTCACAAAGAAGTTCCTGACCCGAACAAAGTCGAGATACGAAGGAATAAAGACCAAGGCACCCGTTAAGTCTTTCGCTCTCTTTGCAAGATAGGGGACAATAGTCGCAACAAAGTAAGAAAACCTCGCATCCGGATCTTTGTTGGCCGATACTGAGTCAAATCGGGAGAAAGTTTGTTTGACTTGGATCCCCAACCGCTGGATTTCACCCATGTATTCCGGGTGTGCCCTAAATTTCCCCGCCCAGTTTTGGGAATGAGTTCTCATCAGCTCGGAGAGCTCAGGGGTGTTGTATGCGGACAATATGACGGTTTGCCGATAGTGTTTTGATAAATTATCAAGATACCAGTTTCGGATGCGGCTGATATCATAGTCATGAGCCCCGCGTGGATGAAGGTTGAGGTGTTCGAAAATAAACTCAACGTGTTCCCAGTTTTGCATTAACAAGGCATCGGCTTGATCCACAACTACGAGCTCAATCGAGCTCAAGAAGTCAAAATCCATCTTGGCACCTTTCCCTCTTCGGCTCCAATGGCCATCCTTAGGCCCAAAGGACTAGCGAAAATGATATCAGACCGGTAAAATGGTGCGAAATATTTCAGAGTCTTTCTCGTAAACATCAGTCCAAGACGAAACATATCGTCATCGTTTCCCTCGAAAAGCTCCTTAAAATCAGCTGGCTTATCTTTACCAAACGATGAGTCTTTTTGGATATATGCCTCTTCGAAGCGCTTCCTGTTTTCTTGCTGTTCTGGTTCACAAAGCTTAACCAGGCTCTCCACGATTCTTGCACAAGACTGTCTAGTGGGAAGAAGAAACAGGACCTTTGGACGAGTGAAACCTTGGTCACGAAATTCTAGTTCTGAATCGACCCCATCCTTCGAGACTCTAGCGTTATTCTTCAAAATCCGGTCTCGAGTCCTAATCGTTGGTAAGTTAGCATGAACTAAAAGCACGAGTCGCCACTTGAGAAAACAAACTTGAAGATGTGGTTTAAGGCATGAAGAACCACCAGGTTTCGGAGGTTTTCTGAATTATCAACCGTTCGTTGACAATAGAAAATATCCTGATAATTAAAAAGCATAGGAGCGAGCTGCGACTGGACATCATCGAATTTTGGGAAAACGCTCGCCACAGTAGGTCTGAGCCTTTCCTTGATCCTGATTGATTCAGGGCCACTGAACGATGGACGAGGCGGGGCACCCCAGAGGCCTCGATGTTTGGGTACATCGATACTAACCTTGACCGGCCTATCACAGCACGTTGCTGCGTCCATTGTCCATCTTCGATGGCCTTTATCTTTTGAGGAATCGAAGGGTCTTCCGAATTCGAGAAATGGCGTTCGAACGGGTCTGACAAATCTTCACAGTCATTATGTTGCAGTTGGTCCTTCAAGATCTCATCTTCATCTCCAGACACGCCATCGCTTTCAAGTATAGCGAGGTCAATATCCTCTGGTATTTGCATGTCCGGTGCAATAGACTTATCGGTTTCCTCGTAGTCCATTTCAAATTCATGAGTGAGATTGAGTTTACGCCTTTTGGCACTCGACTGAGGCGGTTCGGTAAAACTACTCAGCAAAGCAGTGTACGCCCTCACTTGTGGTTGGGTCTCTTCGTCAGATTCGAGTCCGCTGATGCTTTCGTCACCAGTGTTGGAACCTGGAGTTTCCATGCCCACATATTCCCTGTAAGTTATATCAGAAAATGCGTATCAGAATGAGAAAGTCGCAGTACACATACTCTGATTTGTGCTCTGCAAGGCGCTGCGTGTGAAAACGGCTTGTATCACGGCCGTTACGACCATTACGCCTTCCACCTCCCCGGCCCCTAGGAGCAGTCCTACTTGTTAGTGTCATCTCGAGTGGTGTGTTGAAAGACGAAAGGAAAATTGTCTGTCGAGTGACGACGTGAAAAGTTAGTGGCAGCCACACACACCAAGACTGAGGCTCCATCCATCCACCACTCGCCACACAGAGGGGTATTGCGCCACATTTCTTATCTTATCGAAGCCCTCACATTAAGAACGTCAAGCACAAATTTTGCCCGCCAAAATCAACCGCATCCCACCACCAATCCTATAGAGCCCTTCTCACAACCTCCCTCAACCCCCTTGAGTACTTTCCCCAGTTCTCTCGCCAGCACCAGTTATCAACACGGGATCCTTGAATCTTGCAAAACCTTCCTTGAGGCCAGTAGTTCCCGGCCTTTTTCTTTTCTTTTCTTTCTTTCCTTCTTTCACGTCACCCAGCATGGCAGCCGAAGTTACCAACTTCCTCCATTTGGCTCGGCCGCTAGCCCCCGCTACCGTCGGCATGAACATGTCCCTCTCGGCTGTTACTGTCAATATCCAACCCCAGGTTATCCTCTCTGTCCTTGACCATGCCGTACGTCGCGATACTCGCGACACTCAGTCTCCCCGCGTCATCGGCGCCCTCGTCGGTGTCCGTTCAGAAGATGGAACCGAGGTGGAGGTGCGATCGTGCTTCGCGATCCCCCACACAGAAAATGAGGATCAGGTCGAAGTCGATGTCGACTACCAGAAGAATATGCTTGCCCTTACCCTCAAAGCAAGCCCGAGAGAGAGTTTGCTTGGGTGGTACACGACTTCCCTCGAATTGAATTCGTTCTCCGCTCTCATCCAGAATTTCTTCGCGAGCCCCGAGACGGGTACCTTCCCCCATCCCGCCGTCCACCTCACCATATCAACTGATCCCGGTGCTACTATTGACACCAGATGCTACATCTCAGCACCAGTGGCGGTGAATGCCGAGAGTGCTGCGTCATCCTGCCTCTTCATTCAAGTTCCTCACAAAGTGCTCTACGGCGATTCAGAGCGTGCTGCACTTGAAGCTATCTCCGCCGCCAAAGATACCGAAACCCGTTCTGCGCCTCTTGTTTCTGATGTTGAGGCACTCGCTCGCTCTCTACAATCAACTGTCGGTATGCTAGATAGTGTATCGGATTGGATCAATCGCGTTCTTGATGAGGAAGACGAACCCAACAATGCGCTTGGCCAGTTCCTCATGAATACACTCTCACTTACTCCCAAGGTCGACGCCGGCCAGATTGATAGAGACTTCAACAACCACATTCAAGACGTCCTGATGGTGGCGTATCTCGCCAACACTATCCGCACCCAAATCGAGCTTTCTCAACGCCTGGCAACATCCCCCTTGCGAGCGGCGAAAAGGAAGCCGAAGGTAAAACTGGTGAAAGTGGTGAGAAAGAGGGTCAGCGAGGACAAAGGGGACAAAAGAGAGGAGGCAGGGGTGGCGGCGGTGGTCGTGGTGGTCGGGACAGAGAACCTCGAGAGCCGCGCGAGAATGCTGATTAAGGTGCCAACAGAAATTCCTGTGGGCGCGTATGCTTGAAATTTGTCAAGCGTTCAACTCAGGACCTGGAAAGAGCAAACCTTGGAAGCCCTGGAAGCTCCTTCAACAACCCTTTTCGTTGCATACCTTAGCGGAGAATGGGTAAGGGCCAGGCGTGGACTAAGTCATGTGATAGTTGGCAGAGGCGGCCAAAAGAAAATGAAGCCGGTGTTGGGTTCAGGTGTTCATCAAGTCATCGTGGGCGTTTACAAGGCTACTTACTGGTTTATTCGTGTCTCATGATAGTTATTTTCTCCCCCATTCCATTCATATCTAGGTGGCTTGTCTCAACATATAAATGATACGAGGTATATCTTGGGCCATCATGCGACCGTCACAAGTCAACTTTGCTTTTGGGGGTATCGCATGTCTGGCATTCGTCCCTCAAGAGTTGCGATGTGCTGGAAGGGGAGGAGTCGAAGTTATAAAACTGATGGACGGCATGATGTCGAAGATCAATCTACGCATAAGGCCATGAACCGGATTGCCAATCAATCAATGGAGATGCAGTGTACAATGGCAAGCAGGAAGGTGGATGCGAGGTAAACATATTCATGTGAGAAACCAGGTTTAAAAGGGGGTAGAGAGGGGGTAGGAGGGACAAAGTGCCAAGGAAACCTGCTGGATTTTCCGCAATCAATCCCGCTCAACGCCCCAGACCCACTGGTATCCGATCCATAGACTCCTTCATCAGGTTGTTCTCAGGGTCCAGGTCCCAGACCTGCAGCAACCCATCCCCTAAATCACTCCCATAACCAAGCAAGAACTGATTCAAGCTACCCCGAGTTCCAGCTTTTACATTCACGCCAGCTAGCTACCAATTGATCATGCCGGCTTTTGTGGAAGCGTAGCCGGGTTCCCAAAATGCGGCGGGAGGTGGCTAAACGGTTGCCCTGGTACTAGTTGGGCTTGAGATCCGGGGGACTTATTCAAAGATTGTGGGGATGGCATGGGGCAATATGTTGCGCTGGCATCGATGGATGAGAAGATGTCATGTGAGGCGCAGGATGCTGGATGGTGTGTGCGTGATGAAAAGGCATCATTGAGTTCGAGGAACCTTGGCGTGCCATACTATAGCCACCACTGAAGGGTTGAGGGTGATTCTGAGCTGACGTAGCGACTGGAATTTGGTAGGGCAAGGGGCATATGCCAGGTGCGGAGAGCCGATTTGCGGACTACCGTGATGGGATCCGCTAGACACGTATGATGGCGCATGTCCCTGCATTGGCGAGAGACCACTATTCGGCACAAAGGATTGGGTCTTGGGGTTAAAGGCGTGTCGATTGTAGCTTCCAGGAATGGGATGCTGGCTCTTGGGATCATTAGGATTCGCATTGGCGGGAAGCTGACCATAAAGATAAGGGACATTCGTAGGCGCTGGCATAAGCCCTGGCAAAGGCCCTGGGCTGGGACCATGAGTTCGTAGGGGGTATTGGCTAGGTGGTGAGTTGAAAGCAGCGGCTGGCCAGCTTTGAGAAGACGATGAGACAGGAGGCGCGGCGGTACCATATGCACCTGCAGGAACAGTGCCGTGAACAGAGCCGGGATAACGAGGTTGATTCAGGGAGGATACTATGTTTCCATTAGTAAAACCGTTTGCCGTAGGCGGCATATTGCAGTTGACGTACGGGTGCTGCGTTGGGATAAGCAGGAGGAAAGCCGGGAACTGCCATAGGAGGTCCATAACCATGGCTAGGGGTAGCATAGACGGCGGCAGCTGAGTTGGAGAATGGTTGCTGTTGCTGTCCAACAAATGAAGACCCGGCAATTTGGACATACTGTGGCTGTGGACCCCAAGTTGATTGTTGGGGATGGGGATAATAAGCCGCGTAATGTGCGCGGGATTCAAAACTCCCCGAATCACGCCTACGCCTCTCATTCCTACCTTTACGCCCGAGACTAGATTTGTCCTTCCCAGAAACGGAACTCGCCCGCGACACGCCATTGTCGTTTTCTAGACCCAGAGGAGAGGTTAGCGTGGACCAAAATGACCAAAAGTCTTGCTCCTACAACTTTACTATACCTTGGGTCACCTCTCCAATCTTCTCAGAATTGCCAAATATGCGCTCCCTTGCGCGGTTGTATGCCTCCTCGCGCTCTTCTCTCGTCATCCTATGGAACCTAGTTCAGCTTTGTAATAATTCAACTGGAAGGTAGCCGAACATCGAACCTCTCTTTTGGCTGTGAGGCTTTATCTTTCGCATCACTACCATCTTCTGACGCCGGTTTGGATGCGCCATAGCTAGATATTGCTTTATCACCGCTATCCTCCCGTCGCATGATCCTGCGGGGAATGATGACTGGGGGTGGAGTATTGGACGCAGAGTTGGCCTCTGCAATGCTTGCAAGAGATTGTGGTACACGGCAGAAAGGCGTTCTAAATATCCTCACGGCTCCAATATTCGGCTCATAGGAGTGAGTCATATGATAATAATCGGCCAGTTTATGGGTTAGCATACGGCAGAAAGAGTTGCACGGAGGTAAGTCCATATACGGCTCTCTAATAGGGGCATCAGCAAACTAGTAGAGAAGGGCACAAAGTAGGCTAACACTCACTTGGAATCTCGAACAAAGTCAATGACGTCCTTTTCAAGTCGCAGCAGAAATATTCGGTCCTTAGGAGATTGCATAGCCTCAAGAAGTTTCTCGTCAGGCGCCTGACGATATATTATGTTCAATGCATCAGTCGTCACGGAAGGGTCACTAGGGGTGGCTGCCCATCTTGCCCTTGGGAAATGACATCCGGTTGTCCCCCAGCATTATGCTGAGCGATACGCCTATCGACGTTTTCCTCAGCTTGAATACGGCGAACGGCAATATCTGAGCCAATCCGAGAACTCGCCAGAAGAGAGCCCCGGATAGAAAACGCGTCATCGTCATCAACAGCAGCCGCCTTGACGCTAGCGCTATCGTCAGGTCGTAAGGATTCCTTCTCATCGAGAGCAAAGGTCGTACCAGAGGTTATACTCTTGCCATCCAGGCTTGGCGGTTTGGTACACAGATCCGAGGTGGAATCCGCTTTATGCGATTCGCCAGGACTCGAGTCCCCGACCGAGACTCTCAGCTTGTTTGGAAGAAGATGGGCGCTCCCATTAACAACAAGACTAGGTGTCCTATCTTCAAGCAAGGTCGCACCCACCCCCGCTACAAGATCGTCCACAGATGTCAAGGTAGAATGCTCATCGAGCCTCGACGATTTGGGAAACGGAAGTCCTGTCGCGTGGCCCATGTACCGACTGGCTCCATTCACAATAACCGGCATTGATGATACAGCAAGATGCGCCGAGTTCGGGGTGTGTTAGAGGCTATGGAGGCTTTCTCGTTCGAGGCACTAGCAACAACCTACCCGGAGGGAGCGTTAGCTTATAGAAACTAGCAGAATGATAATTCATATTGCGCCAAGGGTTCCACGCGGATGTGCGCAGTTCTGTGACGAACATGGGTTTACATACCTTGGCGAACGATGGCTTGCGCCCGCCTGGTGAGCTCCGAACAGTTGCCATCACGGTGTTCAATAGCGAGATGAGGCTAACAAGACTCGGAGTGAGGGCTTGTACCTAGAGACAAGGCCAAAGCCGACAGTACAAAGACCCAATATGATGATATCGCCGAAAAGCAAGTCGCCAAACCAAAACAGTGGCTTGTCGAAGAAAAGGGTGGGAAGATAGCGATGTCGAGGATCGCCTGACCGACGATACAGGAAGATCGAGTAGCTGAGCAGGAGAGAAGTGTTGGCAATTGATCATGGCTGTATTTGGACAGCCATCGTTATTGTTTTAGATTCTGGTGCACTCTCGCAGGTGAATGCTAGTATATATCCTATATGCACATAAGTGGGCAGTTTTTCCAGCTCATGAGAGTAGTTGCTGTTAGAGCCCCCTTAAAGAGTGATAGAGGAAGAAGTTGAAGGAAGAATGATAGCTGAGAGTGAACCAAGGGCAAGTCGGGTTTTAAAGAGTTGATTATGCCTTCTTCTGGATTATATAGGCTGATAAGGGAGAGTTAGATGATGTGATCGCTACGATAAAAGGGCAGCGTTGAACAGTTCTTGATATTTCCATCTAAATTGAGGTGGGATAAAATTTAGGTTGGGTCAGTCACGATTTGAGGATGACAGTAATACAAGTAGCCTTCTCAAAATCGCGCCTAAGAAAGAGGGAGACCTTCTAATAAAAATGAACCACTCAGATTGGGGTTAGCCCAAAAGGAAGGGATGAAAAGAAAGAAGAACCCACTTTTCTATAGCCCCTTCAGGTGCCAGCAAAAGGTGCACTCCCAGGAAACAAGCCTTTAAGGGATATGTCGTATTGCTAAAATTAGTAGATTTCTTCAATCGTCAAAGTAATGATTAGGATTCTAGATGATTCACAATAGAGCATGATACTGAATATCGCCGTTTATCTAACCTAACTACTATATTTTCCTTATTTTTTTCTAAAGTAAAATGGAATAGATGAGAGCAGCTGAAACCAAATATAACATGAGCCCTGGGGAATTCCTCAACTTTCCAGTGTCTTCAAAGTGAGGGTACATCGGATGCTTCAAGACCTAACCTACCTCGAAACAAGTGGTTACAAACATCCTCACCGTTCAAGTGTTATTCTAGGGGTTTTTTTCCCCCAGCCTTCTCTCAAATGAGTCTCAAGCCAGCCCCAGATCTTATGAGGTTGATCACTTGATAATTAACCCCACCACATATGCTTATCTAAGCACAAACATCGGTCTGGGACAACAAATTAGCAGTTTGCTTAGCACCTTAGAAACACTCAAGCAAGCTTACCAACCTTTATCAGACTGAGGACATGAAGTGAGGTCTAGCTTTGCTACAGATCATACAATTCGCCATATTTGCAAAACAAGAATATCTACATCTAAGTTTTGAATAAGCTATCTTTCCGTCCCCATGTTCGTCCATCGAGGGCGGGGCGGGCCGCGGAGACCAACCCCAGCGAATATACAATGTCAGAAATGTTTGAAGAGAGATATGTTTCATCCCTAGGCAAGGTCTCGAGATTCTTGTAGCCCCAGCCAGTTTCCTCTCAAAATTAGCTAACATCCAAAGCAAGGCACTATTCTTATGAATGTAAAACTCCCGTTCAGGAACGGCCATATGTTCCACGCCCGTCAAGGACACAGCAGCTCCGGAATCCAAGTCTCATGCCCAAGCTTGCCAATGACTCTCTAAGTGCAACAGAACGAAGGTATCCCTTTCCGGCCCTTCTCCAGACACACGCATGCAAGCATATACATAGATATATATCTATATATATATATATATATATATATATATCTTAGAACCTTGGTGCACCATCATACTTACTTTCCACACGGCGTAGGCAGGGGCTGGCTGATAGTGAGTTAGCGAAAGGGAACCCTGAACGGGCTAAAAGCCGAGGAGGCGCACCTCAGGAAGACGAGCTGGGGAACCCCTCGAGAAACCAGAGGTCTCCGTCCACATCTCCTTCTGCACATTCAGTCTCTACCATCTCTACCAGCGGATCAGCCTCCCCACCAGAACAACGATGGCATCATCAACAGCGGAATCGATCTATAGGTGCTAACTCACAGAGTTCTCCTCGGGACCGATCGCGCAGCCGGTCTCAAACCCTCTCCAAAAGCCCTTTGGAGGGCGAAGGTCGAGCTTGTAGCCCTAGCCGTGTCCATGGGCGAAATTTTGACCGCAGCACCACCCGAAGCCCCAACCACCACCTTGGTTCCCGCCAAGAAGCCGATCGGAGAGGAAATAGCAAAATTCATAACCCTCCGATTAGCACCAGCTCCAGAGATGGCCCACAGCCCACCAGAGGTCTTCGTGCTCCAGGCTCCACTAGTCGAAGTTTATCCCCAAGGATCGCGGAATACGCAACTACCGATTAAGGGATGATGCCTCTATACCAACTCGTAGGTCTCAAAACCTGTCTCGAGAATCGTCCTGTGATCATAGCCGTGAGATCGCGAGGACACTCGAAGATGACAACAGTGATGCACAACAGGGCCAGGTTCTTGGACCCATCCATCAGAAATCCAGTCGTCAAGAGAGAAAGAGAAGCTTGAGCCCTTTTAGCAAGAGGCTAGCAATGACTCGTGGAGCAAGGCAAAATCGATGAGATGGCAAACTAGAAGCTGGAAACTCAGCAGGGTCGCACGTGCCAGATGAAGAGCAAAAGACGCGGCGGGGGAGGACCTGTCGAACATAAAACACTACGTCTTGCCTAAACCTGCCATAATGTGGCTCTGGAAGTGGGCATGTTGCTTTTTGAGCATAGTATAGCGTAGCAGATATCCATTCATCATGTCCATGAAGAGAGAGCCGGGTTTAACTTGCGGCGCTACAGAGGTGTCCAGTCACAAAATACAAGCCAATTGCCTAGCTCCCCTAATGGCACTCTCCATGTTGGCCCCTCTGCACGTATCACACTGCTTTGCCTTACCAATTGCGGCCGCCGATCTAGGCCTATCCACTCGTCCCGTCCAGCTAGGATCACCATCTGAAGAGTGCTGCGAGGTTCTAAAATGGTGTCATCTCCGCCGCTAAGATTGGATCCGACCCGTGCTAGGTACGTTGGCCCTTCCCCTGTACCTCTTCAATTCGAAACGGCATGACCCCTCGTCCTCAACCTCTGATCCCTTGATGTGGGAGAGCCATCCCTGGACCTCGGTAGCAAGCCCTCCAGGTACGTACTTGGCCAATCTTCTCTGGGGCGTGAGAGCCGGGGGTGGCTCTTCCGTAAAGATGACGCGATCAGTATTCGGCATTCTAAATCGAGGAGGGGCTCGAAACAGTGGCTGGCGAAGAGCAGCCAAGTGAACCTCTTGTGGAGATGCAGAACTCAGACTGCTATTGTCGGCCAAAATTTGGCTATTGTCCTCATCGGTTTCCACTACCACAGCTTCAGAAATCTCTATGTCATCTTGAAGGGTGCCATAACAGGCATTTTGGGTCTCTTCAAGCTCGTCTGACACTTGCCGAAGGCGCCGTCTCTTGTTCTCCCTTTCAAGTTTGACCTTCACGGCACCAGCATCATCGACACCATCTACCTCCGTACAAGACCTTGTAGAGCCAGGGGAACTCGTGGGGGAGCTCTCAATCTCATCCCACGATCTTGCCCGGTTTGTAATATGAATGAATATCTGGTTGGGTCGGGAGGTCGGGTTTTGGGGCGAGGCCGTCGCCGACGCCGTATGAAGTGGCATCGGGTACCGAAATGGAGGTCCCATTTAATCAGTCTTATTACGTCGACCTTTTTCTTGAATGGAAATGCGTTCTAAAAAGAACCTCTGTTGTAGGTTTATTCACTAACGTGCGGGCAAATTCTATCTGGAACGAGATAACGAGGTGCCGATGAGCAAGTTGAACAGTTCCCACCTACTAGAGGGGCCCTCACCGTCTGTTCAAGTGCCCGAAATTGAGATTTGCCGATCAGCGAACCGGAGGTACTTAGGGGTTTAGGTGGGATACAAGAGAAGCTGAAGCGCTCCAGGTCAACTTCTCCTAATTCCTGAGTTTGACGAATGGTATGCGTAGTCCATTTTTATGGGTCGATTTTCGATAATCATAACATTGATATAATACTGAGGAACATAAAGTGCCAATCCGGACCACTAATTCTAGCATCACGACCACCCGAAAAATATCACCACATTCACACAAGAATGGGAGACATTTCACGAACTTCACGAAAAGGTGGCCGTCTCGAATAAATGACTGAAATACGCAACAGTATAATGTTACCGGCTTATATTTGAAGATAGTTGAAACGAGTGTTGAAGCTAACTACTGACATTTTGAGTAACGAAACCCCTCTCCCCCATCTGCCAACCTCAATATATCATCAACTGATGCTATCTAAAGAGCGTGGTGCTTGGACAATTTCAAATACTACGGCCGCCCCCTCCCTCGACCCAATTTTGGGGGTTTAAAAATGGTTGCCCAACACAAAGAAGCACGGCAGCAAAGGAATCGAAGATTGGATCAAGCTAGCAGACCTGCCTAGAAAAGCTTATGCTCGAGGGTCATTTCCGACTCGGGTTGGAGACCAACACAGGCGCGGAAGATGTTGGTGAGGGCAGCCCGCTGCTTGGCGAGAGCATTGATAACGGGGGTGCCAGGAGGGGTCATGGGAGCCTTCAGCATGTAGCTAAGGATGCTGAGAACCGGATGGAAGCCCTTGTACTCAGCGGTAGTGGCTCCGTCAGATGAGGCAGCCTTCCACTGGATACGTGTCATGATCTCCGTGATAATGACCAAATCAATGATTAGGGGCTGCGAGGAGTGAATCCTCGCAAACGTTGAAGATAGAGATAGTTTGATGTCCACCCATGAAGATATCGGCGTAGTATTCGTCCAAAGCACGCTTGTAGTCGCCGACGGCAGGCATATATTTGATGACAACAGTATGGTCGGGATGCTCGTGAGGCTGGTAGAGGACACTGTTGGCCTCCACCATGTCGTCAACAACATTAGATTTAGAGATTTCCTTGGATCGGAACTGCTTGTGAGAGCTCAAGTTCTTGCCATCATTGTTTCCAAGATGGTTGTAACTAGCGATTGAAGTAAGCTTGATGCCGGCGTTGATGAGGAAGTCGACCAAGGCAGACTTCATCTTGGTCTGACCGGACTTAAAGTCATCACCGCCAATGTACGACTTGTGCTTCTCGGCAAGCTCAACGCAGCCTGGGACAAAAGTGTTTTGAGGGGAACCATTGATGAAGGGCACACCATCGAGAATGCAAGCAACAGCAAAGACGGTTGAGGAGAGACTTCTTCGTGGCCATCCTCAATAGCCTTGAGGAGATTATCAGCGGTATCGTTAACACCTTCAATGATGTCGGCATAGCGCTCAGTGTTGGCAGTCCATTGAACAATGACCTTATCCAGGTTATTGGCACTCTTGAAGTCCCTAGAAAGTAAACGTTAGATGACGGCAGTTGTGAAATTCTGTTTTAGAGATGGCTTACTGGATCTGCTTGCGGATCGTCTCAACGTGAGCGGCGCATACCTTAGTGCCAGGGATCAAGTTGTCGGCCCGGTCTTCTTGGTTAGCGGCGATGAAATCAGGGTAGTAAATGCTAGGAAGAGGGGTCAGAGTAGCCATCTCTTTCCTGACTTGCTCCTTGAGGGTGGGCTCGAGAACTTGGGCGCGGTCCATGGCATCCGCAAGGTTCAGGGAGCTGATATCCCAGCCTCCAACGACGATGTCATTAGGGTGGACCATGGGGAGAACGTCGTGGAAAGGGATATTGACGTCCTTAGAGGTTTCAGCATCAGTGCCAAGTTTCATAGTGGAACCCATAAGGATAGAGCCATAGTAGTTAGACTTCTTGGTGCCTTCACGGGATTCCCAAGTCAAGCTACGTCGGTTGGCAATGATAGCAGCAGTCACGGTCGAGCCGTTGTTACCGCCCCAGCCAACAAGCATGACACCCAACTTGGGAATCGCGCGGTCGACTTTAAAGTCATAGACCGTTTCTGGGGCGTGGCCACATACTGGCCATTGACATCCTTCTTGACTTGAGTGGTGCGGTAAGTGTACTTGGAGTTAATCTCCGAGTCGCTGTAAACGACGTCAGGTGAGTTAACAGTGAAAAGCTGCTTCAGCTCAGCCGAGGAGGGAGAAGCAGCGTGCTCGGATCCGTTCGCGGAGCTCGCGTCAATCTCAGCGTGAGGGGCCATTGCAAGGTAGAGGTAGAAGGTTGGCGGGGTTAGATTGTGTGTTGAGAGAAAGTTGTTACGCTGCGAGATTGGAGACTGGTTTATTTAGTCTCGATTGAGTTCGCTGAAGCACCGGTGGCAGAGCAGCGGGCTCCCGCGAACGGATGATGCACGCTAGATAACGGGCGGTCAGCATAACGTCCGATTCAGAAACCATGGGGAGACCAGACTACCAAACACTTACGAGTTAAGAAGGTTGGAGAACGTCTTGACGACTGAGGCGACCGAGGCTACAAGTTCCTCGACCGCGAGTGTTGAGTAGGTTGTCTTAGAGAGGGGGTAAAGGGGAAGGTGGGTGGTGGTCAAGACAGACAGTGACGAAGCAAGCTAGGGGTTATGAGCAAGAACCGGGAAACGGTAGACCGAAGAAAGGGGAGGTAGGTGATAGATGTGAAATAGGGAGAGGGGAGGAAGAGAGAGAGAAAGGAACTCAAAATCAAGGGGAAAGGCACTGGTTCATATACTTAACGAATATGTGGGACCGCTGCAAGTTGAGGGGTCTCGCTAGACCTAGATGCTCACTTCGGAGTTCTCGTGCCGCAGGAACTACATGAAGACTAAGCGGAGCTAAACTCCACTAGATATGGAAAGGGGCAGGAGCAGGAGCAGAGTGAGGAGGGACAGAGGATAGAGGGGCACAAAACAACACGAGCCCGCCACGTCGGTAGATATTCCCACATCCGATTGCATACAAGGAACAACCCGGGTTGCCCGATCCTAAGGCGGTGAAGGTTCAAAGGAAGGGTTGGTCGAGCAGGACACGATGTTGCCGGGTCTGTTCAAGAGCGATGCTGCTAGAGCTTTTATTTTATTTTATTTTTATTTTCTTCCCCTCCCGTTTTCTTGGGGTTCCCATTCTTCGCACGATTTGATCACGTCAATGCTAGTGTAGCTCCGTATCAGATCAATGTCGAGACGAGAGCCCAAAAAGGAGCGATGTCCAAGAAACTGCCTCGAGGCTTTTAGCCACCCGAGGGCTTGGTGCGGGGGCTTTCAGGTCTCAACCCCTCTACCAATTCACGCACCACTCAACATTGAATTGAAAGACCGAGCGAATTCAAACACTTGAAATGGTTGGGGTATCTCAGTGAATTTGATACTTGTACGTCCACGGATCAATGGGACTTGGCAAGCGAGATTAACACAGGGAAGCACACAGCAAGCAAGCACAACAGATGTACGAAGTAAGATGCATGTGCACGCTCAAGTACGCTCTCCGTTCACGAGCAGAGAGCTCACAATTGAAGGGTCTTCTGGAACCTATCATACATGGAGGCCCCAAGGGCTGGTTCCTTGAGTTGCTTCCTTCAGGTCGTGTGCCACCGTTAACTGGTTATTAAGGCAATGCCAGAATGAGCATTGATGCCAGATGCAGAATGGGTCTCTTCTCATCTTGACCACAACTGATATTACCCCAACATTTTCTCAATTGATCACTTGACCATTTGACACCATTTTTTTTCTTTCCGCCGGCGGGGTAGGCCAAGGGTCCTAGGAAAGGAAAAGGGTGGCGGGGAGCGGGGTGGTGGGGTTTCCTTGAATTGGAAGGGACAGACGTACCAACTATTACAACTGTCCGAAGAACGGCTGCCTCGGATTGGACTTATTAAGCCGTCGGGCAGGCGGACTTTGTTCATAGCGTTATTAGCGTCCAGGCGGATGCACAAAGCCAGCAGTATGCAACTAGGTTTGTCTTGACCCAGGGTCCCTGACAAAGGATCTCGTGGCCTCTGGGTCTCAGGAAAAGGATAGGTAATGGGACTCCAACAATAAATCGTCGTCAACGATGGCCGAACCTTCCGAACCTTCCGAGAAGAACGACTGGAGAATGGAGACCGAGTCATCCCGCCTGCGTGCGATCTCGGGGTCATCTCTCAAATTTCCATTAAGTATAGGTGGGTCCGACACAAGGACCAATCGGCTAATTATTCACACAACACCAAATAATATAGTTGCTTAACCAAGGGCCAGATCAACCGATCGATAGATATAGGGAACGTCTTCCAATGTTATATCCAAATGCGCCTTCGTTGAACTATTGAATGTATATATATATATATATACCTCGGGACAGTGGGGGTAAAACAGCTTGAAGAAATCCGGACCGGCGAAACGAAACACTCACATTTTGCTCAATAGGTGAGGTTGCAGCTGCCAATTTATGAGTCAGCAAAGAGGCTCTGGCGCTGGAATTCTTCGAACTTTTTGTATTGTATTTCTCCTTCACATGGATGTTTTATACCGAGGTACACACCCTGATATTTACTTTGAAATATCACGATTAGGCACAATGTCTTGTCTTGTTTGACCAACACACGATGCACTAAGGATGCAGGAACATCAAAGAACGGTGCACCAATCGTGATGGGAAGCGCCGCCTCTAACCCCTCTCTATCATCCTTGTAAGCACCTTTAGAAACTCGTCTACACAGTACGAAGTAGGTGACAGTCCAAATACATAACTCATAAAGTAATACCGAGGTAAAGTAAAGTATAAACTTACATAGTGTTATTAGGCTGTAAAATACTCGATCTGAAGTAGAATAGGTATTATTACCCGGCTCTGGATTTTGTCTTTTCGAAGTGGAGATCCTTTAGCGACCAATCATAAAGCTGAAGTGCACTACGAAGTACTTGTAGTTAGCAAAAGTGAGGTTGGCTGCTGGCTGGCTGGCCCATTAATTAAAGCAGCCAGCCATTGGTTGGCTGCCGTTCCAACTCTCAGTCTGCCCTTGCAGAGGGCACAAGACCAATAGAGGATAGGAGTTCGAATCTCGAAACTCTTATCAATTATTCGATCCAATCCATCCATAGATCTATTGGATCTAATATTGTACGAAGTATCAGAAGCCAGCGCAAGGGGTTGAAAAGGTTGGAACGTGACCACCCCCTCCCCCGCGGAAATATCCGTAGGCGGGCAGATAGATTATTATTCTCATTTCGAAGAAATCTACATTTCATCCTACCTGCCTACAGATCACAGGCGCCCGAGCTCAGCAAGTCATGAGTCAAGCATAATGGCCAGCTTTTATATCATTTGGTCGAACTCACCGTCGCTTCAGAGGCAAACCATGGTATGGAATGACCCCGAATCGGTCTTCTCATTTCAGCTCCATGACCTTTGGTCCAAATAGTAGCTGCAACTTGAAAACTATGAGACCGAGAGCCATGTGAGCTCCTCGCTCAGTAGTTCGTTGCCGCGGGTTGGAGTCAACAGTATTGATTGATTCTACATACAACTTATATCTGCCATGTGTCGAAGAAAAATGAAATCCTACACATCTGAACCAGATGCGGCGATCATTAGTATCAGCGTCGCGGTGTTCCTTCAGACATCAATTTCGTCCCGGTCGCACGATCACCACTATGCATTTTGTAGCGCGGAGACCCCTGTTTTTGCGGGGTGGTTTCTCGCCCATCTCTGAGTGCCTCCTCACATTGCCGCAGGGTCCACGGACGCCACAGACAGGCTAGCATCCGTGCATTTCTATTACATCTATGGATCTAATGTACACACATGGTGGACAAGGGGTTCGTCTCCATTCGCCGCCCATCCACCCACACCCCCAACCCGAGACAAATATCGTATCACCTCGACCATTTAGCCCGCACATCTCTTCGGACCTCGTGGTCGCCGTCAGCCAAGTATCAATCGCCGCCTCAAACCCCTCTAACGGCTACCCATATTCTTTAATTTCCTCGCGATGGGTCTTGGCGTCCCTCGTTCCTCTTGATTCCAAAAGCCCTGTAATACAATCTCTCAACTCCTTTCATCAGGCGTTTGAACCACGTCCGATTCGATCTTGCTCACCTTTCTCCTTTGACGATCAACTTCGCCTCAGCTAAAGACTCATATTCCCGACACCTATCTCGAAATCTATGCGAACCATCCTTAGAAAACTGCGCCCTCACCTCACACATCAGAATAAGCATTGGTCCTCAAAGTCCATCTCCTCCCACGCGGCATGGCAAATCTTCCTAGGGATTCAACGCTATTACCTACCATAAAATGTTCGACATGTGGCGGACAGATCGAAATATCCCTTATGGGAGATCACGTTTGTAGTGGAACTGACTCTCAAGAAGGTAAATCAACGCGTAGATTCTTAGACACAAAGGTTTTTACTTATGAGTTCATAGATCTCCTCACTCAAGACAAACCTTTGCCATATCGGTACGAGAGATCTAGGAGGCCCGAGAGGGCGCCTCCAAAGGTAGACACAAACGCGGCAAGTGAGTACATACACAGATATCAAGCCAACAGCTTAGGTGTGTCAATTTCACTGACGAGGTTTCCAAAGATGGAGGCTACATACGCGCAGGACAATTGACACCCGTCAGTACCTCAAGTGGGTCTCGGAGCCTCTCCCCGAAAACGCCTGATGGCCGATCCGTTGGTAATCGCGTGAACGACTTCTTTGAGCCTGCCATCGCAGGTGATTACGATTTGGTGAGATCACAGGAAAACCGAAGACCAGATGCTTATGGGAGCGGCCTCACGGAGCGGGATGGGTACGAACGTGATTCATTATACGCATCTTCGAGTCCGAAAAGACAGAAGCCCGATGTTCTACGGCGGATGAACACCATTACCCCGGGCCCTTTCGATGTAAAAGCGCGCGAGAATCGGTCCCGTAATGAATTTCCTACGAGGAACAACAAAGGATTAGACGAAAACCTCACTGGCACAACATCCTCGAATAGACCGGGTGTGTCTCTGGCCAGGAATAAATATGTAAACGGCGACCGCAATATGCCCACGAGAGTCAATGGGTATGGTGGATTGGACGCGCCAAACCCAATAGACTTTGAGCCCGAGCTATTCACCGCAAACAACCGTTCGGGCACTTTTCCGCGGCCGAATAATCCCGAAACCCCGATGAGGACTCCATCCGCGCCTGGCCCACGTCCCGACCGCTATAGACTACCCGATGATGGTAGGCCCTACTTGCTAGGCCCAGACACCTCAAGATCTCCTCCCCACGGAATAGTACCATCAAGTCCATCACCTCAACGAGAAGTGGTAGTCAATCTGTTGATCTTGCTGCAGAGTTTGGGATCGGAAATCCTTACCACACCCCCTCAGCGTCATTGTCGTCGGCAATTTCATTATCTGGCCAAGATAGTAACTCGAGGTTGTCTCGGACGATCTCTAAACGCCTATCACCGAATGATGAGGGCCTCCCGGCAACTCGGGAATCGATGACTTGATGATTGCCTTACAAGCTTCTATGAGGGACCGGCAATCTCCAACGGCTGTGCAACTTGATAGAAACCCCTCAATTAATTCAAGCCGGAGGGGCGGTCTCGTGATGGTAAAAATTCCAGTCGCAGTCGAAGTGCCTCGCGACCCCGTCAACAAGGGCCTGCCTCTTACGAGACGCCCGCGTTCAATCTCAAACTCGAGGTTGACCGCTACCAAGCGTCAGCTCGAGACCGGAGCGAGCCTAGATACGACCAAGATGCAAATATATCCTATTCGCGGACACCCGCCAGAGAATACCCCAATACGAAAGGGGTCAACTACAACCCCTCTATGCCGTCTCAAGGTTTACCCCGTGCCTCGGGCCCTCAAATGATACGCGGGCCTTGCAAAGCATGCAGTAAAGAAATCCGGGGCAAAAGTATTTCCTCTGCAGATGGACGTCTAACTGGCAAGTATCACAAGGCTTGCTTTGTGTGTACTATGTGCCGGGAGCCTTTCTCATCGGCTGAATTTTATGTTCTCAAAGACAGGCCCTTTTGTGAGCTCCACTATCATGAACTTAACGGAAGTTTATGTGGTAGCTGTGGGAAGGGCATCGAGGGGCAGTACTTGGAGGATGAAGCCCTTTCAAAATACCATCTCGGATGCTTTCAGTGTACAGATTGCGGGATATCGCTTTCTGATGGATATTTCGAGGTTGAAGGAGGATATTATTGCGAGAGAGATGCGTGGAAGCGAGTCCAGTTCGACCCACCGGTATCGAATGGCTATAATATGGCTCTAGATGTGACTCTTACTAGTCCCGCCTCCGACTACTCACCAGCCCTCGCAAGTCTTATATCCCCAACGACGCCGGGAAATGGCCTCCAGGCGAACCTTTCACCCCTTTCTCCTATTCTCAGCCGCGGTCCACCAACACCCCTCGGCCTTCCCCACGTCCGGGCGACAAGGGACCAGCGGTACCACGACGACCCATCGGCCTGCCACGCGGTCAGAGACTGCCTCCTGGGATGGGGCCGGTCCCTCGGCCACGGATGAACAAACGTATGACCAGGCTCGGCATCATGTGAGGAAGCCTTCCCTTCACTAAATTTAAACATGCCTTCTATTTCTCCATTACAACGCAGAAAGCGGAGTAGGACAGGTGGCCCACCCGCCAACACGCTTACATTCGCCATACCTCACCACCATCACTCTATACCCATCTTACCCATCTTTAATTCCCTACTCGACCAAGACGTCGGGTTGCTTTTTCTTTTTCTTTTTCTATTTCTGTTTCACTCATTTTTTTGTTACTTTACTTTTATTGTTTTGTTTTTCCAAGGGGGCTGGAGTGGGTTGGTTTTCAAGGATGAACATATTCACAAGCGTTTTTACGACAGGCCCTCGACAGATTTTTTCCAGTCCGAAATAAAATCTGCATGCATTGCCAATAACTATTCATATATCAATCTCGGGGGTGGACGCAATGCTTCCTCTATTGCCGTCTTTTGACATTTATATTTGAACGATATTTCAGACTCAAATTCAGATGGGATCGCGAGGACGGGTCCTCGTGCTCCCTCAAAGATGAAGCCGTTAGATATTGACCCTTGGACATCTGCTAGCATCCTGGTTTGGAATGAAGGCCGCCAGGGATCATGTTTAAACTACTTTAAGTGTAGGTTCAGGAACGTAGTTGTGAGTAAGTTCTACAAGTGAGGATTCTCCTTGGATTGCAAGTTTGATCCATGAATACACAATATGGCCTCTCCTCGCAACCTCACCTCGCCGCCTGTTCCAAAAGCATATCACCCGAACGCCCAGGCCATACCCTAGTATACCAGTACACTGGGTGATAATGATAAAAATCAAATAATTTATCCATGTCAAGGGAAAACAAACGAGATAAGGAGCACACCTTGCCTAGTTGTCGTCAATGCGTCACAACCCTCACTACCTGGAGGAGAATGCCGAACATGAGACCTCGAGCAATTTCCTCGATCTGAAGACAGTCAAAGACGCGCCCAACTGCCTCATTCGTTGCGGACTGACCCATTACACCTGTAAGTGCGGCAGGCACACCACTTTGAATAAGAAGTTTTCTTGCCTTTTCACGTAACTTATCCTTCTCGCCCCGGGTCATCTCTGAAGGCCAGGCGGCTTTCTCCTCTTCTGTCGGAAGTGAATTTTCTCTTAGCTTATGCAAATGACTCGCAATACCGCTATCGCAAGTGTTTGCATCAATTATCGAATGCTGAAGGAGTGACCTAATAGACAGAAGTGACGGGTTTCAGGCCGAAGAAGAAAGGATTTGGCCGCGCCTAAGAGCGTCCGTCGTATATTCAGGCCGATGACAAGGTATATAGCTCGTTAATGACAGCGAACATAAGCTCCACAGCAATGCTGGCCTCCTGTTCAGATAGTGGAGGCAAATGTTTTGAAATGTTCAAGCCTTCAGGACTCTTGGATGCCGCCATAGAGGGAGTTATTGAATTTGCTGACTTCACCGGGGAGGCAATTGCTATTCGCCAAGGTCCTATCATTCGTTTGACATTCCTTGTGCTCCCGGCCGGCAACGTCTTGGTCATCAGAACTGTCGCAAGTAAGAGGTGGGGGTCTCGCACAATCTAGACTCGTCAACGAAGAGGACCGAAGGGGCGCCCGGCTTGATGACCGACTATTATCGGTACTTCTACTCATGCTATCCGGCCGCTCATAAGGGGATCGCTGAGTGTCAAAAGTTTCGCCGTCTGTGTCAAACTGAGAGCTCGGCCGTCGCTCCATTGGCGCAATTTTTGCCGGTTGTATGGAAATGACGGAGGACCTCTGGCTATCCATGCTATCCCGTGCTTTTGGGAATGGACAGGGGATGGCATGCTGTTAATTCGAGGGGCGTTGAGATGGCTAGGCGATTTGCTCCGCTCGCTGGAAGGTCTCTAAGCAAGGGTTGAGTTGGTTTTCTTTGCCCGAGACCCATGTTGCCCAATACTCCTGTGACGCCACCAACCACAGCCTTCCCGCCCTGCATAGCACCCTTGGGTGCGGTTGCAAGTACATCTAGCATATTCTTTCCGAAAATATCGAGACCGAATGTAGTCCGGTTATCATTGACGCTTGGCAGGCCCTGATCTTTATCTAGAAACCGCTTCATACCTTCGCTCTCAGCGAGGCTTGTGTACCAACATGCGTCTCGGACATATCTCTCCAGCTCCCCACGAAGGGATGAGCGTGTGTGCACTTTCCACGAGGGAAGGGCACTGTGCTGTTCTGAAAAAGCGATGGCCCCAGAGACGGTGGCAATACGACGAAGTATTTCGTGAAGTGCCTCAAAATCGGAATACTTTCTGATAATCATCCACCCGGGAAACCGCGAGGAGCATGGTTCAATTTGGATTAGATAATCCCAGCTCGGTTTATTTCGGATCAAGTTATTTTCATTGATGGCATCTTCATGAATTGTTATGGTGGCATTTTGAAGAGTGAGCGTGGCTGGTCGAGGTTCGTCACTTCCATCTGAGGTTTCCTGAGCAGGCGGGACTATCTGGTCAAAGCTCGTAAACTGAAATCTTGAGTTTTGTTTCGCCAGTTCGCCATTTTGAGTTGAGTCTGTATCCGTAGATTGGACAGTGACCCGAGTACGGCATTGTTCTCCCTTTGTGGGATCGCTAATTATGGTATCCTTCACTGATGCCCCCTCAATCGATACATGCAATGATCGAGGAGATATGTTTCCTGGGAAGTTTGAGGAGATGTTGTGCCCTATGATATCATTCAGCAATGGGTCAATAGGATCGCGAAACGCCTCCCCACCATTGGCAGAGGAAATGGTGTCGGATACACAGTTAGCCTCTTCCGCCACGAGAAGTGCGTTCATGCGCTTCATCTCTTCGAGAGCCTCCTCCATATCCTCGTCAGCCTTGCTTAGTTGTTTCTTATGATTACACAAGTTCTCTTTCTTCCCGATCTGGGCGATATCAGGAGCGGCAGCTCTCACAACAGTGACGGCCCCTGAAGTGCTATCAACGTCGGCAAAGACGGCAGCGTTGGCATCACGACCGGTCTGCATTCCAACATCGATTGCCTGGTTGAAGTCAGGCTCTCCATCTTCCAACAGATACACGATCCAGCTGTTTATCCACTCCGGCTTCGAGCACGTTGAAAGAGTAGATTCCAGGATGACGCCCGCCAATATCTCCTTAAGAAACATTCGAACAACTTCGCAGTCGTACGCTGGTTTCTCTAAAAAGCCGAGCAGATCCTCGGCAGCCATTTTAAGCTTTGAAGCCTGTTGTTTTTGATTTATAAGATTCGCAAGGTGTGAGTCAGGGTTCGATGTTAGATACGCATATACGGCATCGACGGGTGTAACTTTTGAATCTGGGGGCAATTCAGCAAAAGCCGCAGATAATTCGGAGCAAAGGACGATAAGAATAGAGGACGAGTTGGTGAAGAAATCGAGAAAGGCACTAGCAGGTCTTTTCCGAGCAAGGTGATTTGCCGTCGATATTATGAACGAGGAGAGAAGCTTCCGGCAAGCGAGAGGAAAGGACCGATCCGAAGGAACGATTGGGCTGTACCACCATTTGATATAGTCTCGAAGGATCGCGTCAATCAACGACTTTAACGCATCGCGCGTCTCGGGCCGAAAATCTTCGAACGACTTCATCAATATCTCGTGAGGAGCTCGAAGAGCGCTAGCGTTTGCCTCCGCCTCTTCTCCTCCCGGTAGGAAATCAATCGACTGATAACATCATAACCCTTATCCCCTCGGATAGCACGGGCAACATCGGGGTGGCTAGCCTCAAAAGCAACATATAGTAGAACTCCTCCGCAGGCGCCGATCAATAAAAGACCGATTCCACCCAGGGCAACATACATGAAAAGAGAAAAGGCTAAAGCGAGCACAAGAAATGTGCCAGGGGAGGCGGTGGCGACAAAATCAATCACAGAGGCAGTACTACTGTAAGTGCCAGTAGAACTGGGCTCGACCCTCCGGTGCAGGATTGATTCATTTGCAAAACGGCTCTCTGGAGCCCCGTCGATTCAGGCGTTATTACGCATTGTCCATCCTCGGTCAGATCCATCTTGGGTTATTGTGCGTGCTTGCGTGTAAGCTCCGTGTCCAGTGTTGGCAAGTTATAGCTAAGTCGGGATCGGTAACACCTCAAGCCGGATTTCGCGACATCACAGTCTCATTTCGGCGAAGGTGGTCAAGTTGATACGCCCGAGGCGCGGAAGCAGTTCAGACCTAAATAAAACAGAGGAACTAGCAGGTCAAACGTGCTGATGGGGAGTAAGTAGGATAAAAATACCCTGACAGGTATTAAAAATGCTGTCCGATGAGATGATTGCTGTCCATTGAAAGATTATCAATTAGCTTTGTCGACAAGATAGAAATCTCAGGAACCAGAGAATTCACAGTCAGCATCCTTAGTCAGGTGGTGGATCACATTCATTCATAAAGAGGTGAAAGAGAGACACTATTTTAAAGGTATATAAAGAAATAATAAAAAATAACAGTAAGTATAAAGTTTTAAAAATAGTGATAAATTTTAATCTTTTAAGTTTTATATAAAAACTTTTAGATTTTTTAAAATTATTAAGCTATAAGAGGTTACTAGCTAATTAATAATATAGGAGGATAATAAACCTTACTAGTCGACAATTCTAACTTATTAGAAGTTATAACCTTAGTACTAGCTTATAGTCCTAGCTTAGTTAGTGAATATAGATAAGTAAGTAAAAGCTACCCTTAATAGTAAGCTATTTAGTAGAAATAGTAATTATAGAAAGAAAATAAAGGTAAGTAAGAAAGAGATTATAAGTAGGAGAGTAAGAATATACTAGATATAAAAAGGGAAGGAATTTTTTATTAGCTAAAGAAAAGAACTAACTATTTTACTACCTTATATTTAATATTATAGCTTCTATTATAACTATTATATCTTATAAGGAAGTAATATTATAGTAACTTTTAAAGATTAGTAACTCTTATAGTAACTTAAAGATTACTATATCTCTCTAATAGCTTACTAATAGTATAGTTATTAGTAAGCTAGTTAATATAACCTTTAGTTATAATAATTATAAATAAAATTTAATAAAATTATTAAAATATTAAAGATAATAGTATTTATATATTTCTTTTATTTTAAAATTAGAACTTTTAAATTTTATATTTTAAATATTATATTATATTAATAAATATTATTAACTAGCTAATAATATAAAAAGATAAATAAACTTTATAAATAGATAATTATAACTTATTAAAAATTATAATTTTAATACTAGCTTATAATTATAACTTAATTAATATAAAGGTATTATTATATAGAGTAGAGAGGTATAATATATATAAAATAGTAGTAAAGTAGTAGAGAGTAGTAAGTAAGGAGTAGGGTAGATATATATTTAAGGTTTTACTAATCACTACCTCCTTTTTCTATATCCTCCTTTCCTCTTCCTTCTTATAGTTATTCCTATAAGTTTACTATCTCTTTACCTTCCCCTCTTTCCTATATTAATTATTAGTTTCCCCTCTTTTTATTACTTTTCTTTATCCTTATCTAGCTAAAAGTCTACTATTAGTTTACTCTAATATATTAATACCCTTACTAACTTATCTTTCTTATCTTTCTCTAGGTAGACTTTTAGTAAATCCCCTAAGGGTTCCTTTGAAGGTTATTCCTAGTCTATTCTAGCTATAGGGGACTATTAGTAGCCCTATAGGTTTTCCTTTATCCTAATATAGTCTCCCCCTTTTTTTACTTTATCTTTAAAGTAGTTTACTAATTATTTACTTTTAAAAAAATTACTCTTTTATTTACCTATTATAAGGTAGCTCCTTCTTTATAGATAGGCTTAGGGTAGCTCCTTCTTTATAAGTAGCTTTAGTTCTCTTTATTTTAGCTAAAGTCTATAATACTATTAGATAAAGGTTTATAGTCTATTTAAATAGGCTCTTTAAATAGAATTATTATATTAATATATAAAGGATATTTTTATTATTAATCTTTAGGTTTCTTTTTACTTTAGGCCCCTTAGTAGTTTATAATTACCTCTTTTTACTAGAGGTTTTTAATAGTCTATAAAAAGGCTTACTTCCCTATCCTAAGGTCCTTTTAGGTCCTCTCTATAATATTATACCCCTTTTTTTTAAGAATTTAAATAGATATTATAGCCCCTAGTAAATAAAATACTACTATAGCTCTTACTAATACCTTAGCTATAAAATATAATAAGTTAGGTAAACTATTAGATAATATATTAGATAAGCTAGAGGAAGTAGTAGTAGAGCCCTTAGCTATTAGTAGGGACCTTATTTTCCTTTATTATTACTACTCCTACTACTATATTTAGTAGAAGCCTTCTATTTATAAGTAAGCTAAGTAAGATAACCTTTTTATATTCCTACTAAAGGTAAATTCTCTTTTTCTAGTTCCTTACTATTAGCTACTAAAAAGTTACTAGACTAATCTAAGCTTTATCTATAGGGGAGTTATAGAAGTATAATTAGTATATAAAGTAGGGGAAGGCCTATATACCTATTCCTTATAAGCTAGTCCCTATAGTATAAGTTATTAAAGCTAACCTTTAGGCCCTTCTTAATAAGATAGTTAACCTTACTATAAGTTTTCTTCTTTTTATTAGAGGGTTTATATTAATAGGTTTTTCCTATAGCCTACTATTAAAGCCCTCTAGGTATCCTTTAAATATAACCTTATAATATTATATTATATAGATAAAGTAAACTTTAACTCTACTAATACCTAGTAGAATAGGTCTTATCTATTATTAAATTATCTTAAATATATAGCTATTATAATAATATACTTAGTAATATTTTATATAATTAACTTTTATTACTAGCTTTAGAGAGATAATATTCTTAATTATTATATAGTTATTACTATATAGACTACTATTACTATTACTATAGCTCCTATTATAGCTTTACTATTAGGTATATTAATAGTAGCTCTTATTATAGTAGTTTTTACTACTACTATAGGAGCTCTAGTAAAAGTAGTAAGGGGAATAAAGATAGTAAAGGTAGCTCTTTATATAATAGTTTTAACTATTACTATAATAGCTAATATTACTATAGTAACTTTAAAGGCTAATAGTAGTAGGGATAGTAGTTAGTAGAGGAGAAGGGGGTTATATAAAGGTCTTTATATTTTTAGTAGGGATTAAATCCCTATAAATAGTTTATAAGTTAATTTTTATTTTTAACTAATATCTTTATCTTTATCTAATAGTTCCTCTTCCTTAATAATTAGCCTTTTAGTCCCCTTAAAAATATATATAACCTTTTCTTCTATTTATCTATAAGCTAGATAGTATTAATAAATTAGTAACTCTCCTATAAGCTATCTTTAATAGGGTATCCTTTCTATTAGATAAAGTATTATTAGTTATATAAAGGTCTTTTATAGTTAAATATTACTTCTACTTTATAACTATCTTTTAAGATATTAGAAACTTTATTACTAGATATAAAAGGGTATACTTTATTATACTAGAAAGGTTTTAGTAAACTAATAAGGAATATAAGGTAGATTTATAACTATAGGGGAGTATAAAGTAGTAGGCTATTTTATAAGTTCTAATAACTACCTCTACTTTATAAAGCCTAATAAACTTCTCTAATAGCTTCTAGTTAAGCTTTTAGGGTTTAAAGTTATAAGTAGATAAGAGGACCTAGTTACTAACTTAATATTCCCTTACTTTTCTTTATTAGTTATAATATTTTATATATATCTTAATAGCTTTTAAAGATATTTCTATATTTCCTCTTTTATTTTTCCTATCTACTATACTCTTTTTACTACCTAGAGGGTATTACTTTATATATCTATTATAGGTTAGATAATCTAAGGTTTAAACCTAAAAAGTATATTTACTAAGATATCTTTAAGAGATATATAGAAAGAAGTATTATATATATACTAAATAAAAGGTAAAAGGGGTACCTAATTATCTTATTCTTTATTATAAAAGGTTTATAAGTATTATTTAAAGACTTAGTTTATCTATTTAGTTTATCTATTAATCTATAAGTAATATATAATATTAAGGTAATACTAGGTATTAAATACCTTATATAAGGTAGCTTAGAATTTACTAGTAAAAAGAGATCTTCTATTAGATATTATTCTTTCTAGAGGGCTAAAATAGTAATATATATAGTAAAGTAATAGGTTAGTAAACCTTTAGCTAATAAAGGTTTTCTTAATCTTAATATAAAATATATATTTAAAAAGC